AAAATTGAAGTAAAGTTCCACAGTTGTCTTTTATCAATATTTACTTTTCGCTATGATTTAAACTATCTGTACAGAAAAAACTCTTAGCAATACGAATTTTCATTGGGGGCAAGGCGATTCCCTCTTCTAATATCTATCTTTACAAAATTCCTTCGGGAATCCGCTCCTCTATGTTTATCTGTATAGATTTAATAAGTTTCTTACCACTTTTATTTCGGGAATCCGCTCCTCTATGTTTATCTGTATAGATTTAATAAGTTTCTTACCACACTTTTATTTCTCAGCGATATTATAAACTCTATTCTCTTTTTAATTATCTCGTTGCGAACTCTCAAACTTGAATTAAATCTTTATTAGTAACGACACAAATATATACAAAAAAAGCAAAGCGAAACTATTTTCCTACTGTAAAGAAAATAATATAGTAAATAAAAACCAAACATAAAAGTATAAATACCCAGTTCACCGTCGCTCCCCATTCCTTTCCCTAACAGAAGCTTAAAAATGCCGAAAAATGATCTTTTGGGAGCTTCTATTTAATTTGAAATAGACGGGACGATTTTTGGTTTTTAGTCTTCTCATAATGAAAGTTACATTATATCTCTCACTTATGAGGTACTTTATTATTATTATGGGATATTTTCTAGTGCCTTCTCAAACTCTTTTCTCCCGTATTTTATTAATTCTTTTGTTGGGCATAGCGGGTGCGATGCGGATGACCTGCTCATATTTGCAGCTTTTTTCGCCATTTGGCGACACTTTCATAGGTCTTATTGTGTTCTTAAATAATTGAATGTGTCCAGTTATCGCTGATAATAATGGAATTTTTAATGAGTACAGTTCGCGGATGCTAAAGCACAATTTTATTTTAAGATTAATAATATTGGCTATGCCGAGAGACTTAAGGATCAATTGCTATGTGCTCGAGCTACAATTGCTCAACAACAAAGAATAATTCAACAGAATAATAATCAGGTTAATCATTCTGTAAGATTTGCTACATGTTAAATCCGTTTTTGCTGTGGATATTTTAATTTATTCTGAAATTTGACTAACTTTGGCTTTCATTTGCCATAAAAAATAACTCGAGTTTATCTAATAAATGTTTGAAAATATAAAAATTTAAAAAATAGCTTGTTGAGGTGTCTTTTGAAATCGCCATAAGATCCATCGATCAAATTTATCCTTTTTAAATTGCGAAAAAAGATACAATATTTGATGTTTAACTAATTTAACTAATTTAGCTAAAACTGAAACTTGCTGGAGTTTTTAAGAAGATTACGTTGTATGAGAAATATTTAGGAAAGGTTGGCTTTGTGTTACAAAAAATTTCAGCCAGAGAATGGAATTGATTTTTTCGCGACAATCACTCATCTACAGAATCAAATACTTGAGTTACAATCTAAAAATGATAAAATAGAAAGAGAACGTGATGACTTAAAGGATATGAGCGAATTGCTTGAATTTCAACTTCTTGAAAACAATGAGACTATGAAGCATGAATTGGAGGTGTGTGAACTAATTTTGCTAAACTAAATCTAACTAAATCTTCTCATTTCGCATGCCATATTTCTTGTATTTTATAAATGTGTGCATAATTTGCGTAGTTAAAAAGTTTTTAAAAATATAATATCTGAAGGAAATTATGACGAAAAAAGAAATGATTGAGAAATGCATCGAAACCGATAAATGGATTCATGAAGATGATTGCGAACTTTTATCGGAAACACCTTTGAAACTTGTTGGTTTTGTTTTGCTTTTTATCACTCATCTTAAATTGTTTTATTTATTTTCCGTGAATATTGTCAAATAAAATAAATAAAAATAAAATAAATAAAAATAAAATTTTCAGTTGACTTGTAGTAAAAATGAAACAGTTATTATTAGTCGTAAGTCGTCAATGCCATTGTTTTTTTAAAAAATGCGTTTCACTCAGATTGGGAATAGAACGCGAGCCGTGTCTCTCTGAGATGGATGCAAGAAACCATTGAGCCATTCTAAAACCATTACCTATTAGCGTTATTTCGTAATATATTATTAATAATTTTGGACATCCTTAAATCATATAAGAATACTATCAGCAATCAAGAAATTTTTTTTTCAGGCATTCAGTGAAGTCTGCAATTTAAAAAAGGAGATAGCGAATCTTAAGAGATCTTCTTGCTTAAACGATTCTCAGCGATTGTCGATTCATAAATTACAATCACATTTAGAATTTATGGAAAATGTAAATTTTAATTCATTGCCTTTATTTTTTTTGCAAACCCATTACGACAATTATAATTTAAGATAAATTTTCAGCAACAACTTCAACTCGAATTGAATTTTAGCGCACAAATTGATGATTATCTTGCAAAAGAAGATGAAAATGAATTAATAATTCACGATTTAGAGGAAAAAATAAAAAATTTCCAGTTGAAGGAGAATGAGAATAAGGTAAATTTTGGTGCAGTTTAATAGCTTTTGTTAAAATTCGATAAGCTTGTCACTCGATAAATTGGCACTTTTAATCGCGCACAATAAAAACATATTTATCACTGTATGAATTGAGCGCTCTCATTTTGGCTTTTTAAATGGCTTCTCAATTTGTTTGCTTATAAATGTGCTTATTACTCTTTATATTATTTGAACAAAAAATCTGATTAAATATGATAATTTTAAAATCGCTATAAAAGATGAAAAATGCAGAAATTTTAACTTTCTTTATCGAATAAAAATTACTTCAATTTTTAAAACGTTCAATGAAGGAGGAAACAGTCAAGTGATAAGTGCTTATTATTCTTGGTTAGGCTGACTGATAAGAAGAAATTTTTGCCATGGATTCCCATTGAGACAAATAGATATATGTAGGTTGTCAGCACTCAAGTTTTCTAATAGGTTTACTCTTGGTAGAAATCGGACTCGAACTCTGTTACTTTATTAACTGATAATCACTCTGTTGCTCTTCTTAGGTCGTTTAGTTTTGCATTAAATATTAAAGAAAACGAGTCACTTCTTTGCACAATGAACAAAATATAACCAGTTGATTCAAATATTTTCTTCACTGTCATGATTTTTCATTTTTTTTTTCACAAAAATCTCGCAAAAATAATAATTCAAAGGATACTGACACGAATCAGTTAAATTTTTAAGATCGCTATGCTTGGAACACTGCGTTTTAATCATCGTACTAACAGAAATTGCACAAAAGTATTACGCTGCTTGAGCAACGCACAAAGTATGAGATCACGAAGTGTTCAATGTCGAAGCCTTTCTCCCACATTACATTACTGGCGTGAAAAGGTCAGGTTTCTTTTTGGCTCTGATATGCACCTAAATTTCATCCTTTCACGCTTCTTATTATGCAAATTTTTACGATACCATAAATACTTAAGATGCAATGATATGATAAAATAGGATAACATGATATTATTGTAAGATAAATGATAATAAAATTTGCGCTTTGGATAAATATGTTCAATTTGTGCAGCGAAACATTTTTTCATCAAAATAATTAAGACAGATGAATATGTAAATTTTTATAATTTTTTAAAAATATATTTATATTTTTGACATATTTCTTTATAAATCGCTATCAATATCGGTCAAATATTTTTCGTCCAATTTCCTTACACTAATATTTAGTCGTCGCAATAATTAGCAATAAAATGTTTTTTATAGTAGGATCTTTTTTTAAAAAGCACTCGCCATTGCTGGTTAGACTCGCTTCACTGCCTTCTCGGACTAGATAAATATGTCAGGGAGTTCCTTGGCGATAGATGTACGAGTGAGCCGTCATTATTACCCGCAACAGTAGAACCTCGGCCGATTCTATATCAAATTTTAAGCGAATTTCAATATTTGTTTGATATGATTTTAATTTTAATATTTGAATATTTCAGGAATTGCAAACCGAAATCGATGATTTGTCACTGAAGAATTCTGAACTGAGGAAAGAAAATAATAAGGTTCGTTTAAATTCAAATATTTTTTTATATATTAGTAGAGTAATATTAGTAGTATTAAAACAAATTGATTTTGATGTATACTAAATGAAATGAAAAAAAATCAGAAAATTTATTTTTGAAAATAATTGGAATCAGCGATTGGATTTGCTACTCGAGTGGTTGCTGGGGACAGGTAATTATATCCCCAAGTGTCTCTATGGTGAATGGGTCAGGTTTTTTTGGCGTGGCATCGGCGTCCTCCAATACGTATGATATTCGTAGCTCCGTGGTTCTTGGGATAAATATGTAAGCCGGACGTAATCAAACGACTTCAAACGACACAGAATATGGTCTGGCCGCTAGTCAGATCAATTGTTCGATACTTGTTACGAAAAATGGACCTGCACGCGCGGTGTCAGTCGAAGCAATTCGGAAGAATAGAACTCTTATGGACGTTGCAAACCAAGCGACCACTCTTTTTAAATATCTAAATATCGTTTAGATGTCAGAGGTTTATTCCTTACTTCTGGTCTTACTAATTACAAATTTAGCTCTGAGCAGAAGTAGGCCAATCACCATCTGAGCTGAAAAAAAAAGAAAACATATAGATGGACCAGCAATATATGGACTTAGATGATGGAAAATGGAATGGCTTCTGTCAGGAATGGCATTGGGTTGAACTTGTTGGAAACATCTCATTCTTGTAGCCAGCAGTGTCAGCCAAAGCATTAATTATGATTGTTTTTTTAAGCGTCCTCATCATTAATGGTTAAACTTGCTCCACTGGCTTGTCTTATTGAGCAGTATGCTAGCGAGTCCCTTGGCGATAGAAATACAGTTGAATCACCAGCATCACCTGGAATTATGACAATTGTTAGGAGAATGCCTTGAAAAAATATATTTTAGAAATTCATGAAAGCACCTTTGTTCGTTATTGTAAATTTAGCTTAAAATTAGTAAATAAATTAATTTGTCGAAAAATTTTTTTATCAAATAAATGTGGGTTTTCCTCTGAAAGCATTTTTTAATTTATAATTAATGTTGCAAAAAAATATCATTTATTTATTAAAAATGAAAATTATTCGAAAACTCTTTGAAGTTTGGATTTCATATTCTTCATATTTTTGAGATAATTCATTATAATCTTTTCACCACTTTGTTTAAATTTATTTTCTTTTTTAGCGAATTTCTTACTAACTTTTTTATGAATACAGTTACAGTACAAAAGGAAGTCAATGAAATAAATCAAATATTTATTGTCTTGTTGCTTCATTAATAATCTTATCAATTTTAAAGAATAGTAATAAAATTTGAAAATTTGATAATGATAAAGCAAGATAGCAATGGCAATATGGTTATTATATTTTATGAAATTCTTTAAGTTTATTGAATTCCGTCCATTTGATAAAGGTTTGGAAATTTAGTGCTTCTAGATTCTTACAGTTAATTATAAATGGCTTGTGCCTTAGTGATTTATAGGGGAATGCAATGGTTAAGCGATCGAGTCCTATGGTACCCTAGTTGAAAAATTTTTAAATTTCGCATTTTTACAAAGTTAATGCGCATTTCTTTCCATATAATTTTTCAGCTGAATGGTAAACTAAATGCGTTAACGAAAGAAGTTGATAATCTTCGAACTCTACTTGCAGAAAAAGATAAAATAGTATCGAATTACGAAAAAAAATTAAATGAATTAGAATGGTATTTTTTCATGTCAATTGCTGATTTTTTAGCATATTTAACTGTATTAATACCTCGAAAAATTCTTTAATATAACAAATTAAATTTTTAAAAATTTGCAAAATTTATTAATAAAATTAATAAATTTTATTTTGTTTTATAAATTAATAAACGTATTTGCTATAAATTTTATAAAAATTTATTCAAAATTCTTGAAATTTTCAAGTTTCGAATTAATTTGCAATAAATTTATGAAGTTTTTATTTCGAATCATTTACTTTCATAATCTTTTATAATTTAAAAAAATGATTTAAATGAAAATGATTTTTTCAGTAATTTGAAAGTCGTCGTTGAACAAAAATTTAAAGACAATGAAGAATTATCAATGAAAATCAATGATTATAACGAATTACTTAAAAATAAGCAAGTATGGTCTTTAATTTTCGCTGTTAAGTTCCTTGCAATATCTCTTTGGCAGCCTTTTTGCTTATTTTACCTCTTTTCTGATTAATAATTATTTTAAATATTTCCAGAGTGTGATAATTCACTTTATAGCGTCCTTTCCATTTTTCGTTTCGTTTCTCATAATAAAAAATTTCCTTTTTCATTCATCAGAATTCAAATTGACCATAATTTTTTTTGGCTTTATTACAATAGAAAAACAATATTTAAGGAATTACAAGTCGAAGTTTCAAGATTGTCTTCAAAAAAATCTGAATTAGAGATGCAACGACAAAAGGTTTGTTAATCTTTTTTATTTTATTTCTTTATAAAATAATTTTGACTTAAATTTGCCGTACTTTTGACGTAAATTTGCCGTACTTTTGAGTTCTAATTGAAAACAAAAATAATTAAAATCATGTAATTGTTTTTGAGAAATTTTCAATAATTTAAAAATACGTCAAAAATGCGTGCATGGAAATGTAGAAGGAAATAAAGGAAATTTAAAAAGTTGGTATTTGGTGATTAATTCAATGCACCAAAATAATTCAATAATTTGTTTTTGCAATTTTCAGCTAATGGATGAAGTGAAAATTCTATCGAATGATAATGCTAATCTTCATTATTTGATTAAAGAAAAAGACCAAATGATTTCTGCAAATGAAATGAAATTAAGTGAATTGGAAAGGTAAAGTGATTGAATTTAATATTTGCTAAATCAATTTTTTTTTTGTCGATTTATATATGAAATTTATAGATTTGTATTTATTTTCGATTCACGTGTCAAATATTTAAGCGAAGTTTGCTTTTTTTATAAATTGCTTCTTATCACAAATATTTGGTTGATAATATGATAACAAATAAGTTCTATGAAGCCACCAAATTGCAAGTTAATATTAATCATTTTTATTAAAAGAATTTCAGCAATTTAAAAATCTCATCAGAATATAATCTGAAGGATCGTGAAGAAATGCGTAAAAGCATCGCTGAGCTTAATGAAACAGTTATGAATATGCAGGTGATTTTCTGAGATTATCACTTATCACTTATTATCATTTTTCCCAATAACTATATCCATTTTTATTCTAACTAACAAGAATAAATTTTAGATATTTTTTTGATGTTTACCATTGCATAATCTTTTGAATTATACGAATAGCTTAATAAAAATCCAAGTTGTAATACGCAGTTTTGAAATTGCAATTTATTTTTTGTAAAATTTATATTGTAGAATGAATCTGCAAAATTGAGTAGTGATTTGGAAATTGCCGAAAAAGAAAAACTGAAACTTAAACTCGAACTTGATAGCGCTGTAAATACAGTTAAACAGTTACGAGATGAAATCAGGCCAGCTATCAAGTAATCAATTCAATCACTCTTTTCATTTGCCATTTTATAATTTATGGAATTTTCTGATATTTCTAGTTTAAGGAGCGATCTGGAAAGACGCTTTGAAGAGTCCAGATATCGACTGAAATGTGCTCTTGCAAATATACACGAATATGAGGAAGAAATTTCGATGCTGAAAAGTCAAGAATGCGGACTGAAAGCACGAATAAAGGAATTGGAGGATATAGAATTGCAGTATCAACGTGATCGCGAATACACAACTCAACTCGAATCTCAGTTCGCTTCGCAAGTTCAGATTATCGATGTTCTTAAACAAAAGGCAATTCAGGTTTATCCGCTTTTCTTTCCTTATTTTTTCTAACACATCGAAATAATTCACTTTTTTTCTATTTAAATTTTCGAAAATTTTTTTCAGCATAAAAAACTTATGGATTTTATTGTAATTCTTTCTAATACTGGAAAAGATTCAAATTTTACTCGATTCAGAGATGAAATAGATAAATTTATATTAACTGAAAAAGATGAAACAATTAAGGAGTTTTGTGAAGTTATGAGACAATTAACACTGTTAGTTATCATTTTTCAAATTATTTTCTTCAAAAAAATCAAAGCTTCAATTACTCAAATACTCTTTTTTCATTTATGTTACAAAATATATGAAAGAAATTTTTAATATAAAATTTATTGCAAAATTTAATTAAAAAAGCTCAAATATTAAAATATTAAATTTACAATAAATTACAAATTATTATAGATAGAATGCTTGATAATTCGATGAAAATTTCTTCGATTATCTTTATTTTTTTCGACAAAAATGAGATTTTGAATTGTCTATAATTTACAATTATTATTTATTCATCGGCAAAAAATGAAAAATGCCAGGAATTTTTTACAATTTGTTTTGGATCGATGTAAATAGATTTCGAAGGGTCCTTTTTTTGTTCAAATTAACATTTATGCCACAATTTTTTTTTCACTTTTTCACAACTGCAATAAATTAAATTTTAGTATATAAAATAAAAATAAATGCCTTTTTCTTTATTTTTCTTTTTTTTTGATTTCTCGTTTTTATTTTCATATTTCTGGTTGTGCTCTAGCATGTATATATTTTTAGCATGTCTTTACATTAATAATCCCTCTCAGCACGAACATTTAGAAAATTTGAAGCGTACGGTATTTTATGGTTGATAACGGAAAGTGATCTGCAAAACATGTGGTACCCTTCTATAATTGTCGAATATTTTCCCAAAATAGCCCTTATTTTATTCATTTCCCGACAGCTTATGTGTATTTTTTTTATTAATTTATTATTGTTTATATTAGTTTATTCAAAAAGTTTATTGTTCATTTCGTTTGAAATACGAAATGGAATTGATGAAGATTTTTCGATTTTCGAATTTATATTATTATTCATTTTGTAATTTGTTATTAAAAAATTTGAGAAAAAATCTTTCTAACTGGATGGATGATTGTTAAATGTGAAAAAAAACGCGCGAGGTGAATTTCTTTATATTTTCCACAAAATCGCGGACTTTCATTCTGAAAAACTGCTACTGTTGCAATTTATCACCTGCAACGAATAATAAAATATTTAATAATGTCATAGTTATTATTTCAGAGATGGGTAATTAAATCATTAAAATTTTACAAATTAGGAAAACATCAAACAACATTATTATTATAAAATTTATTATAATTTATTATATACATAAATTTAATAAGAAATTATAATTAAATTATAAAATATTATAAAATTTAGTAAATATATATATTCTTCACAAACACAAATAACCCAGTTTTAGAAACTTCTTTTTCCCCCAAACCCTTTTTTCTTCCTTTACTATTCGTAATTTCCACAGTGTTTAGGAAAAGCTGAAGTCGGCTACTTATAAAAAACGTTTGGTTCTTTTCCACTTAAATATTACAATTTACATAATTTGCTTTTTTGCCAATTGTTTGGTTTTTAAATATTGTTGTTAATCGGGAAAATCCTTAATAATTATGCACCAACTGTACTGAATTAATCCGTAACAGTTAAAGATATCTAAAAAGTTAAGTAAAAAAATTATAAGTGAAGTAAAAGTAAAAGCGAGTAAAAAGTTGTCTGAGAAAGGGCTAAAATTTTTTCTTGAGCGCCAAATAAATTGTGAAATTTTGGTAGAGGTTCAAGGAATCAGAAATTTTTTTACAACTGCTAAATCCCAGATTAAACCAAGAATTATTTTCGAATGACAATATAATCTAATCGGCTTAAATCATATAAGATGAATCGCGTTTTATGTACGAAGTGCTAGTAGAACGAGTCAGGGTTGGTTATCTCGCAACAGAAATATGATATGACTCAGATTTTTAAACGACATATTCGCTGTTGCCTAGAAAAAAAGGCGAGCTCAGAGGTCGCCACCGTTATCACATAAACTCGAACGCTTGTTCACGATGCAACCCTTCATCCATAAATATTGGAAAGAGAGGAGTAAAATATTATAACGGAAAACAAAAATCGTCAAATCATTCTCCAATTTTCCTTCATGAGCGCTCACCATTTGTGGTTAAACTCGCTTGCTGAGCCAAATAAAACTGCCACTTGGCAAAAGAGATACAAAGAAGTCACCACATCTCTTGTTTTTTGTTGTATTCAAAAAGAAAATTAGACGGCTTCCGTTCAATAATAAAACGTAGATGGAAGTGAGACGCAGAATATTGCCTAAATTGTTTTGCTGAGAAACGAGTTTTTAAACGAGAAAATAAATTTGTGCGCATTTTTGCTGCAAAACTTGCACTCCAAGAACATTTTAAAATGGTCGTTATTTCGAAGAAACACTCTCACTGCAATTCACTTACTCTTATATGTTTCCTTCGCAATCATTCTCTCTCAAATTTCCAGTTTATATCAGCGAACGAAAATTTATTCCAACCAAGCAACTGAACAATTGTTAGACGGCAGGGCACTATTACTATTTTTTCAATCTTTTTGCACCATTCACAATTCTTTATAAATACCCACATTTTATGATATTTCTATTTAAAAGCTTTATAAATTAAATCGCTTTTTAATCCTTTTTAATTTTCTTTGTTTTGCAGCCAAAGAAGCCCAAGGCCAGTTGTTTTCTGCCAGAGACCTCAATCCTGGTGGTAAAATTACTACCGAGTGTTGCATTTATTAAATTCGTTGCTGCTTATTGGCTTTTCTTTCATTCTTTATCATCCATTCGCCATTCGTTATATTCATTAGTCTAATAATTCCAATTTTAAAGTATATTGTCGAATTTCTTTTTTTTTCTATAAAATATTATTAAAAGAAAATTTAACAGTTCGGATGAATCGAACCTCAAAAATTCTAATAGAACAGAAAGAAGGTGAGGAGGATTTTTGCTACCGTAGTGATTTCGAGGTTTAATGTGTTGCATGGAATTAATTTAGCCGTAATCGAAGCAAAATAGTATTGGTCCGTACCATTCCGAAGATTTTTTAGCAAATTTATTAACTATTTTTGATGTGAAATTTTAAAAAATACTGGAAACCGAAAATGAAAACTTCTTCGAAATTTTTTTATGTTTTAGTCGTATGAATTTTTAGATTTTCTCTTAAATATCACTTTATCATAAATCGGTTAAATACGACGACTTGTCCTCGATTCCTTTAATCGATCGATCAATAGCAATTTTATATTTTTGCATGCGTTGGAACTGCATATCTGCTCAGATGGTACGAATAGTAGCAACAATCATAGATCTTCGCCGCTGTTTAATATTCCTCTTTATCGCATCGCATAAACTAAACATTTGCTTGGTTTTACAAAAAATTAGATTTAATGCATTTTTTACTTTATATTTTAAAACCCAATAATTTTTATAAAAGGAAAAATTAAGGTTAATGCAATTTCGAGATTAACGAAAATATGAAATTTATGAATGCGACGATATTCGAAAAAAAATTTAAGGAAAAGATTTAATTTTATAGAAAATTCCTTTCGTTTCTACTTTGGCTTTTTTGCAAATCTTTTCAACCGTTTAAACTGGTTAATAATTTCAAAACCGGTTGATTTTATGTTTCCTTATTATTTATTATTTAAATTACAAATAAATTTTCCTCATATTTTCGCGCATTTAAAATATTTTCCTTTCATTTTAATCTTATTTTCGACACTTTTATTTCATTTACATTGGCAAATTTTAACATTTAACATTTTAACTTTTAATAGGAATAAGAAATTCGTTTGTTTGTCGTTCGCCATTTTAGATTTCCTTCACTAGCAAGTAAGATAAGATTCCCTCATCGATTAGAACAATTCATAGACTCGGATTTTTCCAATATTCGCAAGAATGATTCTTGCGAATATGATTCTTAAAATGAGAATAATCTAAGTTAAATATCAGTCGGCCATTGTTGTTACCAATATTCATTGAGATGGCACTAACAATTCTTCCTAAAATTGTTTTTCATAACTATTTTTTTGTATCACTTTGGCCCATTCTTTTCAAACAATTTTTTTTTAATATAATTATTTCTATAATTCTTAATCGCCATATTCTTTCGAAATATGTTTCTCAATATTCAACTTTTCTCCCTTCAACAAAAGATTCATTCATTTCATTTTTTTACTACAATTATAGCACCCTAAATCGTCTTAAAAAGAAAACCTCCTTTATCTGATAAGTTTTTTAATTTACTTCTATGCTTTTTTCGGATGAATCGGTATTACAAGAAGAAAAGGGAAATTTTACAAAAAAATTTGCTTTCGAAAATTAAATAAATCAATTAATTAAAACTTTATTTGTGTTGCCAGATATTTTATTCGTTATTTTTAATATATTTGATTGTTAACTGTCGTTTTTCCACTTTTTTTTTTAAAGAAATTCTCCACCAAAATAAGCACTTTTGATAATAATAATATTATTATTAAAAATAGTAATAATTGCTAATACGACTGATTTTCTTTTAACAATTTTGGGAAATTCTTTGAGAAATTTTTAGGAAAAAAAATTTTGCAAACTGTCAAAATTTTGTCGATTTTAAAATTAATTTTTTTTCGATTTCTTTACTTTTTAGTTTTTTTTCTCTTTTGCGAAAACATAGTTTGCATTTCGTAAAATTGTTTTTGTTCTTTTTCGTGCAAAAAGTTTAGTTGCCAACTTTTTTCAAAAAAACTAAATTTATTCAAAAATGAAAATTAAATAATAAATAAAAGTTTAATAATAAAAGTTATTTATAAAAGATTTATAAAAAATAATTTTTCAAAAAAAAGATTTTTTTATACTAATCAACAACTTATTTTTTCTTATGATAAATCTATCAGATAAATTTCGCGCAAAATATTAATCCAATTTTTTAAAAATTTTCCACATAAATAATTAGTACTCAATGAAACTTGCACCCCTCACATGAAAAAGAATTATTATTTTTTGCAGTAAATAAATTAGGCAATATTTGGAATTCGATGAAAGTGAACAGCAGCTGTGTTTATGAAAAATATTGGTGTAATTTGCTTTCCTTTGATTTTTTTCTAACTGATTAAGTACGTTTCTCCGGCTTATTGGGCCATGGAAATTTTATCAATTTTACGAGCCATTTAGCGATAGAAACATGGGTGATTCGTCGACATCACCTCTGTCTTTGAAAGCCTAGTTTAATCCCACCGGGAATAGAAACCCAATATCGGCGCCCCGAAAGCAATAACCTACTGAAACAAATCCCTGCATTTTCCTTTTTATACACTTCAAATGTATTAATTTGATTTGATCAACCAAAATTTATGTGGTTTGTAAAAACAGTTTGTTTTCAATTTCAAATCCTATTTATTTTATTCATATTTGTTGTATATTTGTAAATTTCTACAAAATCTGGGACAATTTCTTTCCGTCACCATATTTTCCTTATATTCGAATAAACTCAAAAATGAAATGGTTCATGCACTTTCACTAAATATTTTCGTTAAAAGAAAATTAAGTAAAATTATTTCTTAAAGCTGTATTTGGTTAATATACTAATATTTTTTGGGGGGGTAGAATGGTTCAGTGGGTTGTTGCTCAATTGGGAGTGCCGGCACTAAGGTTCGATTCCTCACAGGAGTAAACCTGTACAAAATTCCGGGTGACGCTGGCGGCTAACCCGTATTTCTATCGCCAAAGGGCTCCCGGTATGTTGCCCAATTACGACAAGCCACTGGAGCGAGTTTAATTAATAATGGTGAAAACTCTTCAAAAAAAATATAATATACTAAAAATTTTAGATAAGATCGAAATATAGTTTTTCGAGGAATTTTATTAATACTTCTCATGTTTTTTTATTTTTAATGTAATTTGCAACTATTCTTTTTTTTTGCATGAATGCTTGCTCTCCTTTATAACTGTCTGTTTTTCATTCTCAAACATGACTACTAATTTTGCCAGGTAAAGTTTTTGATAAATAAAATGACCATTTATTAAAATTGTTTGTTATTAAAATTGTTTGTTCAGAACGCTTTTAATAATCGCTTTTTTCTTCTCGATTTTCATTTTTATATTATTCCTTCAAGTTTCATTCTTGTTTCATTCTTATTCTCACTTTGTTCAATACGCATTGAATAAATAAATTAAGATTTGAATAATTTTAAAAAGTAATTTAAAATTCAGATATGATAATAAAATATAATATATTTTATCAATCTCTCATACTTATTTTTCTTATAACAATTCATGCCAGAGTTGCATTTTGTCAACAAGGAATAGTTATCAATGGTAAGTTTTAAGCTGGATTTGATGATAACATATCACAAAGATATACTATCGACAGCTTTAGCTCTTTAAAAATTTACTGATATAAATATAATTTACTGATATATAATCTTGCGAATCTGTACAGGAAATTGTCTTTTCAGAACTAAATCAAATGCCACCTGCAGCTGACTTTTTAAATCATGACATAGTTAGAAAACCGACTGAAATTAATAGTTTTACACAGAAAATCACATTTGATCAAGATTTTGTCCAAGACGCACTTATTGATCCCGACGGTCGCATAGTTGCCGAATCACTTAAGAGACGGCGAAGGTTGATTATCGTTTCTTATCACTATTAATCTGAATTTTGTCCCAATTTTTTCAAATAAAATCAATGATAACACCGATATAATACAATTTTAATTACTTGATTATCCTTTTTTTTGAATTCTCCAAGAGTTTTCGGTCCAAAAGAATTCTCTTACGAGGGATCTCATGAATTTTTATTATTTAAATCAACAAATATTTTTTTAGAGCTCTTAGCCATGTTTGGAAGAATTTTAGGAAAAATGCTCAACTTGAAGAAGAAAAGCATTTGATTGAATATGTTCTCAGCAAATCTGATAATTCGAAATCCGATAATTTTTTTAAATTGCGAACCTTTTTATCATCGTTTATTGGCTGTTTGTGCATTGTTGCTTGCGGCATTGTTCCCGCATTTATTTTACCTACTGAAAGTAATGTTTTTCGACAAACTGAAGGTGATTCTTATTAAAACTACAAATTTTTGTAATTTTTATTTAAATTCTAGAAAGAAAGGTTTTTGCATTGATGAATCAAAAATTCTTAAATAAAATTTAGAAATAAAAATGATTTCAAAATTTTAAAAGGGCCAAAGAAAAATTTTAAATCCATAAACGAAATCCATAAATCCATAATGCGCGAATCACTTAATCTACACTTTTAAAATTTTTTAAAATTTCAATAAATCGTCGGATCAATATTGCATTATAGTTTTCTGTAATGCCTTAGGTAAATTCATTAAAACAGGTCGTTTTGAAAAGTTCAGTTCTATATTCGTTGAATATTGTGCAGTTTCATGACAGAAGTGTCGTTTTATTGATGGTTATAGACATCAATAATTCAGTTTGCTTACAATTCTTGTTTCTTTTCTCTCGAACTTATTTTAAAAGCTAATATTTTATATTATTTTTTCTTTTTTTAAGCTGGGCAGCGTAAACTCAATTTACTATTAAGTTTTGCTGTGGGCAGTTTGTTGGGTGATGTTTTTCTGCATTTGCTTCCTGAAGCTTGGGCAGACTCAAAGGGTATTCCATTTTTTTTGTTTTTCATTTAATAAGAGTTTCATTTTTTGCCAAATGCAAAATTATAAATATTAAAAGAAATTCCATAAATAGAAGGGGGGATAAATAGAATTATTTGTTTAATTTTTTTCATATTTATTTTAATAACCATCATCCTTTCAGCTGACAAATTTGCAACCGGAATTTGGATTTTAATCGGCCTTTTATCCTGTTTTATTATTGAGAAATGTTGTACGACGACAGAAGACAGCCAAAGGAAGGCAAATATTTTGAAATAATTCAGATAAAATCGAGGCATATTCATGGAAATTTCAATATGCGAATTATTTATAATATAACCAATAAATAAATATTTAAATTTACAAATAATAAATAAATAATAATAAATTCAAACAAATAAATAAAGTAAATTCAAATATGCATATCGATATTTAAATTTCTTTTTTTTAAAGGCTTGTGCAATTGTGAATTTAATTGCTAATTTTATTGACAATTTTACTCATGGACTTGCCGTTGGAGGATCATTTGTGATAAGTCATAAGGTATGTCCATTTAAACCAATTCGACCTGAACTATATGGCCTAAATCGAATAAAAAATGAATTTTAAGTTGGGCATTCTGACTACATTCGCAATTATCATTCATGAACTTCCTCACGAAATTAGTGATTTTGCAATCTTACTTCGAGGTAATTTTGGAAAATGGACGGCTATTAAAGCTCAGGTTACATTTTCTTTTATTTATAATTTTTATATTTCATTTATATTTATATTTATATTTCATGTTCTCGCCAATATTTTTCATTTTAATTATTTTAGTTAGTGACGGCAACGGGCGGAATTTTTGGTGCATCTGTCGCCTTATTTTTTCATGTTGGAAGTGGAATGGATGGTATTGTTCAACATATATTACCTTTTACGGCTGGTGGTTTTCTTAATATAGCGTTGGCACAAATATTACCCGAATTGTTGCAAGAATCAAACCCAAAGTAAATTTTTTGATTTTTTGCTGCCAAATAGTCGTATTCAAAAAATACGAAATTTATTCATTATATATTTCATTTTCCACTTAAAGAGAATTACACTGGATGGTTTCAATTTTTTAGAACCAATTATTCATCATATGTTTGTACCCTAATTATTTGCCCAGTTATTCAGGGAAAGTATGTTACAATTGCTTTTGCTATTTGGTGGCGTAGCTGTGATGGGAGTTTTAGGCCAATTCTGCTAAACTTCTCATTCAAACTTTTCAACTAATATGGTAACTAAAGATAATGAAATATTTAAAATAAAATATATCACTGTATTTTCTATAATATATACGAAATATTGTAATATGCATAAATAATATTGGTTTTAAGATATTTTTTTTATTTATTATAGGCCTATATGAATACGTCTTAGATAACTCTTCACTGACATTTCGTTTTGCAAAGTAGACATTGGTCAGTTAGTTAATGGATAAATCTACACAAAATAGGTCCAATCTAAGATAATATTCTTTTCTTTTCTTCCACCTTTAATATTTCAAGAATTCGGGCAAATTGGCCAAAAAAAAGTTCAGATTTGTTCGGATGTTAGAATTATCGCGAAACAAATGTCGCTACTATCAAATTCTTTTCGAATCCATTGCCCATGTATAAATATAGAAAATGTATTATATATATAGTAAATGCCTTATTTTACGTGTATTTATGAGCATAATAAAACAATAAAATATTGCAGTTTTATTCTTTCATTGTTGGACAATTTTTTTTCAAAGGAAGAAGGCAGTAATGAAATAATTTTGGATATATGAACGATAACGATATATTTAGATATATAATTGTTTAATGCTCTTATTTTTCCTTCATCGATCATTAAAAAAATATCTGAGAGTTTTTTCGGCTGGAATTTGAAAAAATTTGAGAAATTTTGCAAAATTCTTCATTTAACGTATGATAAAATTAAGATTTATTAACCACTGAGATGAAATAATTCGAAAAGAAAACTAAATTTTTTTTACGCGAATTATTGGTATTCGTGTAATTGCGCGATTTTAAGGAAATTTTTATGTGCATGACAATTTACGAAAAGTCTTTTTGTAAAGTAACACATTGCTACATTGGAAAATTTCTTCTTCTTTTTCGGAATGCTCACAATTTCTGGTTTATTCCTCGCTTAATCGGCCGACTGGGATGCGACCATTCAGCCAGAAAATGCCGTCACTCATTTTTTTTTTTATTATATATTTCACGAAATTTGCGAAAGAAATTAATAAGGGGAATACGAAAGGCATAAATTTCTTATCTGCAATTATAGGCAATAACGAATAATATAAACATAATTAGAAGTAATAATGAAACTTATATTTACTCAATTCTCATTTTATTAAAGTTAAATATTTTCGAAACATCTATAATACGAATAAAATTAATTGCATAATAGCATTTCCATGGTAACATTTCGCTGCATCTGAGCGAATTTCGAACACTTTTTTTTACGATTAAAGGTTTATTACAGTCGTTGGCTGAGAAATGCGTCGCTTTCATGGGCTTTTTTCTCGTTTCTCTTCTGCTGGCTTATAGGATTTTTATAAAGGTAAGAAAACAACTTGGAGTATTTCACAAATGAAAGATCGACCACATCCATCATCACTATATCCACCAGTGTCATGGAAATATCGCTTTGAAGAAATTAAATATTTTTAGATTTTCCTCTATCGTCATATGCAAGTTTTTCGCTAATTTCTTCCATTTTATAAAACTTCAAAATATTATAGATAGTTGCTAAACTCATATATAATAGTTACTAAACTTTCGTTATTATTATTACTGTTTATTATTATTATTACTACTAATCATTAAATGACCTATTAAATGGAATATTATGATATGATATGATAAAATAAAATAAATTAATGCATTTGATATTTGACATGTCAAGGAGAACTATCACGCAAAACTATATGTATATATAACTTTATTATTATTTGCATTATTATTATTAAAGCATTCAGATTCCCAAAAAATATTCGATTAAAAATAGAATTCCTGAATCAATACGAAAATGATTTAAAAAAATTTTTAGCCAACAAAAGAAGGGATTAAAAAAATGATGATGCTTTGTCATTGACTAAAACAAATTGAAACACATTAATACTCATATTAAATGAATAAAACAGAATCGAAAGGTGATTTTCATCATTTTTTTTCTTTTACATTATTCATCTTATTTATAATTAGGTTCCATATGTTGACTATAAGACAATGGCGATATTGATATTTATGATCTTATCAATATTGATATTTAAGATATTGATATTTATGATCTTATCAATAAAAAGGTGAATGTGACGGAAAAAAAGCGATCAGACCATAATGTCTGAAATGATAATCTAAGATGATTATTATTATTAAAGCTATTTCCCCAATTTTCCGCTAAAATTTGTTTTTAAGTTTATTTATTATATTCAACCCAATGAAAATAATAATTTTTAATTTATTCGTAAATTTTTTGCGTATGAATTCATTATGTTGATTCTAAATAAATATTCATTTGAGGAAAGAGTGTTTATTCTTAAACGCAAATAAGTGAGCCGAAAAATCGTGGAATATCTTTCAGAAATATTTTTCCATTTTTTTTCGAAATCTTAAATTTTCGCTTAATTTTCCAAACTTTAATGATATTTTAAAAGTCTTATCTTTCCTTTTTCTTGAATCGAACTTAATTCTCTTCAAAGTTGTTCAGCGCGACCAGTGTATTCAGCTGTTCGCTCGGGAATAATCAGTTTAACACCGAGCTCTATACAATGTAAATTATACTGTGGAGGCAATCACTGCAAATATTGTACGGTGGATAATTGGACTGATGATCAACAAGCAATCAAAGGACTGTATTCACACTGGTTAATTATTTAATTTTTCCATAATAATCTTCACTTTTATCAGGGTTAGTGATTAAATTGCTAAAATAACAGCCATAATTGACCACTACCATGTCGGCAAATAAAATCGAAATGATCGGAAAACCGATATACTGATAAGAAATTGCAAAAAGCATTCAGCTACTTTTTCTATTGGCCTTATTTCAGGATTACTGATAATATAGTCGCAATGGCAAGACCAACGAGGAACACTTTCGAGCACTATAATTTTGTTAATCAGCTTAAAATGTAAGTATACATATTTATTTGGTTGCTTGTTAGAAGAAGATTTTTTCTAATTTCTAATTTCTAATTTAATTTTTTCTAATTTCAGATTAAATATTCGTTCGGTGATTAATATGCAAACGATTGGCGAACATGCTTTTTGTGGACCAGTGATGGATGCTTCTGGTTTTTCATATAGTCCCGAACTTCTCATGGAGAATAATAGTAATCATTTTTTATTGTCACATTTTCACATTTAAAAATGATTTCGAAAATTTTCCCTTTTAATTCTTGTAAAGCAGCGTGCTAGTGCTCCTAAATGATAAAATTACATTTTTTTTAAAGATAATACCTTAGATTTTTTTAAAAAACTCCTTTTAACGATATTACGTGGATATATTGGAACCATTTTCTAACAATGAAATTGTCCAAATAACTTTCAAATTTTAAATTTTTTACATTATTTTTTTTCATCCGGCCAATCATGATTAATGAAAAAAATATTCAAAAAACGAGAATTTTCTGTAAATTGAGAAATTGTAATTTAAAAATTTAAAAATTTAAAAAAGCGATAGGTATATAGAATAAGGATTTAATTTGAATCAAATGAATTTTATCATTTCCGTTAGACTTCCTCGCGTTTTATTTTGATAAGATAAGAGATTACCGCATTATAATGTGCATATTTTGTAATTATTATTCATTAAATAATAAGAAAATTTTTCATAACAGATTTTTGTTATAAATATGATCATCAGAGATATTTTGCAGTATATTTCTATAACTTTGCATTTCCTGACTTCGGCGTGCAAAATATTGAAACTCTTCTCGATGTTGTTAAAGTGATTCAGTTCGCGATCACTCAAGGTGAATAAATTTATTCCTTTGTAATATGGTATCATGAATTCTAATTGTTTCTGCGTTTTCTCTTATAATGAAAACTTGAAAATTTAGCACAATTTATGCCTTATCAATTTATCAAATAAATTCTTATCACTGTTTAATATTTAACTTTAGGAAATATCGCTATACATTGTCACGCTGGTTTAGGTCGAACGGGCGTAGTTATTGCAGCGTATTTAGTGTGGGCTCATCAATATACATCCACAAAAGCAATCGAATATGTAAGATTAAAAAGGTCGTTTAAATTGATTTCTTATTTTTACATCTTCCATTACTAGTTAGGCTCGCTCATCTGGTTCGTCGCACTAAATGAGGGAATCCCTTGGCGATAGAAGTACAGGTTATTCGTCAGCATCATTAGAATTTTAGGTTTACTTCTGTCTGGAATGGAACTTCGGCATCGATGCCCTGAATTCAGTAACAACCCATTGAGCCATCCTGCTCCTTTTTTTTCTTGGTTAGCCAACCTTGCCGTCCGACAAAGAGTGGTTTAGCGGATTTGAACCCAAGCCTTATTTTTAATTCTCAGTTAATTTTAAATTTGAATAATTCAGACCGAATTCGGTACAAAGTATGGTACAAATTAATGCCATCGATGAATTTTGGCAATTCTTGAAAAAAATTCGAATTATTCCAAAAAATGGAACAATCACTCTAAATGAATATTTGACGGTCCAAAGAAAAATCATCAGTACTGAAGAAGCCCGTAGATACGATCATATTCCAAAGGTTAAAAAATTCAAAAAGAAATTTTGCCAAATTTGAGCTGTTTTTTTTCAAAATTTCCTCATTTAATTAATTATCCCTATTGTTAAAACTGCTAAATTACCAAATTATAATTATCAGAATTGATTTATTTTTCAGATTATCCAAGTAATATTTGAAAATATTCTCGCAGTACTATATATAAATAGTATTAAATTAAAGTTAGGTAAGAATTCACGCGATAACAGTCGTACTTGTAGCTGTAATCAGTCACAGTTAGAATTCGTACGCAAAGTTTATCTCAACGGCATATCCAAGAGGTTTATCATTGCATTTAAACTTAGCCAAGTTTGCCCGTTTGCCATTATTTTTAGCCTTTTAAATAAAGAAATAGTTTAAAAAATAAATAAATTCATGTATTTTTTAGAAATGAAAAAGTGTATAACGAAATAAAAATTTATTTCGAGCATTTGATCACAAAAATCGACGACTTAGAAAATGAGAATCAATTAAATATTTGGCTAAAAGATGGTTTTCTAAATATGGTAAATCAAAGTGCCTTCTTTCGCGATAAACTCTATGGCCGAGTTCGCCTTGCATTATATATAATTAATCGTTTTATGGATTCATTTAAAAAACCAATAGCTGATAGAAAGGAAATCCTTAAAGCATTTACGGAACATCCAATAATTTTATCTCAGGTATATTTCAGTAATATAATATGACTCCTTTTTAAATTACACCGCATTAAAATGCATAATATTTTCATGCAATTGATGCTAATCGGAGGCAATTTTTAGTAGAAACTCTGATAATTTTAATTTTAACTCTGATATTAATAATTTAATATAATAATTAATAATTTAATAATTTAAGTAATAATAATAATCGAAAATTTTGTAGGAACAACGGTAGTTTTATTAACTTTATTGACTTATAATTGCTTAGCCATTAGTAAAATAATAAATAAAGGGAAAAAAGGAAGGTATTTCACGAACTTTACTCGATGATTTTTATTTATTCTGAGGTGGTTTTTTCCATGTGGTTTTTTATAGTTGGATGATCAATATGGTTAAAAAATTGTCGATCATTTTGATTTTCATGCTATATTTCTTGTCTCATTCTTTTGAATATTCCATTTTTCAGTTTTACGAGAGTACTTATCATCACTTATCATTGATTATCATATCATAATAGCATAATAGCAAAAAACTATTCAGATATTCAGAACTAGAATGCAATTTTTCTTTAGGCTTGGCAATGTTTATTGCGTTATTTGATGAATGCGATGTCATTGTTATGCGTAAAAGACAATGAAAACGCAGTGAAATTATTAATTCGATGGTTTATAGGAAACGAGAATGAGAATGACGATGAGCTGGAAAATTTGTTCAAAAAATGCATGGAATATTTCTGGATTGATCCCTCCAAAGTTGTCGATTCGAAATAAAACTTTTGTCTTCGCTATTTGCCTATTTATTTGGGTGCTAACATTTGATAGCAAATTTTTTAAAAATAAACTTCCATCGCATGAATTAATTTGAATAAAAAATTTAACATTCTAGGAATATAATACTTGTTTCGTTCAAAAATCTGATTTCATTCCAACAATGCTTTTCTTTTCAGCGCTGAGCGTTTCCATACATCAGATGACCGCGTCCTTCCCAGCTGATGGAGTTTTATTCCACGACCTCATTTTCTCAAGAGTAATCTCTTAACCAGATCGGTTGAGCGGTTCACATGCATTCATGATTTCTCACACTTGGCGGAATGTTAGCCCCAACAAGGCCCTCTCCTGAGGGTCCCGCAAAAATTTCCTACGGGTCTTGAATAAGGCCCTGAACTTAAAGGAATACGTCTTTTCCGTGTTTCAATCGCATTTAGTTTTTAGTAAATGTGAAGCATTGAATGGGTTAGTGTTTGTTTGCAGAGAAAAAAAGTTTTTCTCGTGCCATTCATTCAATGAAAATTTGCTATTTTTATATTTTTACTAAATCTAAACAAATATTTATTATTTATTATAATAACAGCAATAATATTAGCAAAGTTAATGTCAGTAATAATAATAGTAAATAAACAATAAATCAAAAAGTAAGAAAGACTAGCGCAAATGATTTTTATATATTTTGTAAAATCCAGAATTTTGTTTTTTCATGGAATAAGAACTTCGAAGGATTGGATGAATTAATTTCTATGCACAATAACCTTTTCGAATCAAAAGGTCTCTCAAGGAGAGAATTTTTAAACGATTGATTAATTAATAAATTCATTGTTGACAATCATTTGGCGAAAAGCAATCAAAATTTTCAATAAGACCACTTAAATAGAACGGCAAGGGACATTATTTTACCAATTTAGGCCTAAAAGCTCGAATATTTCAATGAATTGGATTTAAAATATATAATAAGTAGACAATTCATTGACAAATTAGGATGTGAGAATTAAAATAAAGGAAGAAAGGACATGAAATAGAGCAACACAATTAAATATGAATTATTATTGATAAGTATGCACTGACCAAGTAAAATTCGATCCTCGATTTATCAATTATCAATTTTGGTAGGTTTAAAATAAAATAAAATGAATCAGATAAGAAAATATAAGTGAAATGGTAGGAAGAAGAAAAAGTAGGAAGATGACGTAAACTCTAAGCATATGAAGTTGAAAATTATCACATAATGATATAGTGCGTTTGACCAGTGAAGTTTGATAACTTAGATATCAGTTCTGATAATTTAAATATCTCTTATTCAAGTTTAAATTTTAATAAATTGGTTAAATTAAAGCAATATTACTAGTATAAATAATTATTTCATTCAGTTCCATAAGGGATTATTTAAATTTTAGGAAACTTTTTTTATTGACTATTTTGCCTCTATGGAAATAAATTACAAACAAATATATACCATCGCAAAAATAAGATTTTCCATTTGCATCTTAGCGACCGAAAGCGATTGTAATCAAAACGAATTCAAACGAAAATACGCTTAGTTTTTCAAAATTCATTAGCGCAAGAATGCTTTACTTATTTCATTTTCTGCTAAAATAATCCAAAAAAAATAAGAAAATTATACGACTAAATTCGATTTTATCGTTTGATATGCATTATAGAATTGTCATTAAAAAATTGCGCTTTTTCTGGGCATCAGCGTGCACTTATATTCGCCAATAATTCCCTAGCAAAATTGGGAAATTGTCTCGTTATAGAAAATAAGATTTTGTGAGAAAACAGCGAAACTACTTTCTTCCCTATTGCGTATTTTTAAAGTAGACAGTTGCAAAATTTGCCTTAAGAATGTGGTAAAAAATAGTCATTCTTCCTCCAGTATCACTACTGGTTAGGCTTATTCCACTGGCTAATAAGGTGTAATAGCATATTTATTACAGTAAGTTTCACATTTATTATAGCGATAGTTGTTTCCTATTTGCAGGAAAAACCTCGAAAGAACTGAACGAATGGTGACCGAATCTCTTGTATGATTTACGATTTTTATAAAATTATTTTCTAAAATTAAGAAATCTTTAACGAAATCTTTGAGCCGAGCTGAGTTTTTTCAAGGATTTTTAGCGAAATTATACTTTTCATTTTACAATTCTACGATTACTTAAGAATAAGTAGCAAGAACGTTTTTTCGCGAATTTTATAGATTACTGAACGAAAGAAAAAGAGACGAGGAAATACGGAAATAATAGCAGATGGCAATCTAGAAGGTTGCATGTATGATACAAATGCACTCGACATACCACCCGCAGTTACGACGCCAAAATCCACAATTGCCGCTCTTGAGGGCGAAGTAAGATAATGTTACCGAATCAAAACACATTCACAGCTTCCTTCTTCGCAAAAAATGCGATTAATTTAGAATTATTAGTGGTTCATTGGTTTATAGTATTGTAATAATAATAGTAGTACAGCGTGCAAAGATAGCAAAACTTATAAAAGTTTTAATAAATTTAGGAATTTGAAGATGATAAATACAAAAAAAATAAGGAAAGAAAAGGCAAAGGGAAGCGTGCAGCATTTTTCGATGGAATGCGATGTATTTTTTAATTTTGCTTTTTAATTTTTAAAAAATTTATTTCAACAAAGTTGGCTTAACTTGGTACCATATACTTGGTGCATTGAAATAAAGTACCAATTTGATTACAAAAGCCGACTTCTGGAAGGGCACTGAATTCATTGGTTTTTCTAAATATTATTTCAATCATTTCATGAGTTCGCTTTTTTTCCTCTTAAACCAGAAGGAAGAACAGAAGGTTGGGACAGAACAATTAATGAATGAATGTATTTATATAAAAATATTAAATTTTTTGTATTTCTATTTCTTTATTTATATATATTTATTATATTTGTATATATTTATATATATTTAATTAAAATTTTTCAGCAATGTGGTTAACTCGACAGGGCCAAGAAACAAGTCGCATAGTTTTGCTAAAAATAACAATCCGAGAATTGATCACTTATCTTATATTCTTAACAATTTGCTCGATTGGTAAATTAGTTGCCCATTTAAGAAAATAAACGAGAAATTTATGAAGCAAAATTAAACATCATCCAAATTTAATTCTCATAAAATTAACAGCAATCAACAATATTAGATTTTTTTGATTTTTTAATTTCCAACGAACGAAAAGTAAAAATAATAAAAACATAGAAAAGGAGAAAATATTTATCGAAAAAAGAGATTTATTGAGTGAAATTTATTAAAATTTCAATAAAAAAGTGTTCAGTGGCATTTTCGATAACATCCGAGAATATGTTTTTTTACAAACAAACAATTTCAAATCTTTTCGTCGACAATAAATTAACGACCATCGCACAAATTGACGATATATGGCCGGTAAATTATTTCAGTATTTTTCCTTCTATATTTGCTGTGTGGCAGATTTAATCTGCCATAAGATAGAAATATTACCCATCGCTATTGATAAAAATGGCGGCACCATGATTCCTCTTATCACAAGGCTTTTACCCATTTATAATTTAAGATCTACGAAGGATTTATAGCACTCGATACATTGATGCACACCTTATTTAAATTTACAATAATATAATAATAACAACAATATTGACAATAATATTTAAATTTCATTATCTGGAAACTTCATTGCTGAATGGGTTATATTGGAATAATATGGCTGCTAATGATAACGAAACTATGCAGAAAATTCGTTGGTCGACCATATATTACGAAAGTCGACTTCTTGGAAGTCCAAGGATTCGAATGCTTAAAGTAAAGTTTTCATCACGGAAAGGATTATGAAAAACGACTTCGCCACTGTATTATGCATTTCTCTCAATTCCTTATGAAATTCCTTATGCTGTAATTTAATAGGTTTCGTCCGTCCGTTTTCCACATTTTCCACGTTCACTTATTATTGCTCATTGAAAAAAAATTTATCAGCCTTTTAATGAAATTCATTACCATTTAAAAATTTTCATGTACGACGCAATTCGTGTGAAGTTGTGAAAGCTTTTAAACGAATAATAACTGATTGTTATGGTTCATACAACGATGCAAACGAGGATCGATCGGATTTTTTCGGTGATTCCGGCAATTTGACAGTGTACGTTTGCATTTGTCGTATATAATTGTGTAATCTAATCACTCCATTGCTATCAACTAATTTATATATTTAATATTACAAAAGTTGTTTATAATAGTAAAATGTAAAATAGTATTTGATACATAGGTATGTTCATAAAAATTCAGTTATCATTACGAGACAGAAGAAAAATCGAAAACGGCAGCTTATTGGGGAAGATTCGCGATCTATGGTGGCGGAGGATTTGTGAAGTATCTCACGATGGATGACCGTGATGCGTCACTTAGGATAATCACAGAATTAAAGCAAAATCGTTGGATTGGACGTGGAACACGAGCTATTTTCATCGATTTTATCTTATACAACGCTAATCTAAACTTATTTTGCATTGTTCAGTAAAGTCTCCTCTAAGCTTTTTCGCCTTAAATTATATTTTTTTCTTTCAATACTTCCTGCAAAATCATTGCACATCAATTTTAATCAACATAAATATTGACAAAATATCTTATTTCACTAATCAAAGCATCCTTATCATAGCTGATTAACATATAATCATCTAATAGTGTTTGTAAAATTGAGGTTAATTATGGAACTACCAGCGACAGGTGGAGTATTTCCAAGTTCAGCATTATATTCGCAAAGGCTTATTCGTTATGTAACTAATTATGATTATTTCGTATTCGTTTGCGAAATCATATTTTGTGCATTTGTAATTTATTACGTGATCGAGGAAATTCTCGAACTAATCAGATGTCGCCTTGCGTATTTCAGAACATTTTGGAATTGCCTTGATCTCGTTTATCTCGCAGTAAGCCAATTTTAATTTATTTGTGTAAATTTATCAAAAAATCAATTTGCTATAATAAATATTACTACTTAGAGCTCGATGGCTTAAGATAAATAATAATTATAATAATATGTTTTAAATAAATAATAAAATAAAAAATAGATATTTTGATCTAAATAAAATAAAAAGGAGCAGTGGTTAAGATGGACGATTAGTATGGAATATAACAACAAAAGTCCGAATCGCAGCCAATCCCTTCCCTTGAGGATTCTTGGGCGAGAAAACTTGTCCGCCTTGCTTCAATCTCCTAAGCCTCTGGTAGAGCATTTCAGGTTGAAGGTGACCCACACCACCTACAAGACGTGAAAACGGTATTATACATATATATATATATATACATATATATGTATTTAATACCTGAAATTATAAAATTAACGAAAAAAGCAGCGTTGAATCTTATTTTAATTTTAAGAATCTTGCATTTCTTTAAATTAATTCGTTGTATTATATAATAATTGAATGAATTAATTATTAATTCGTAATTTTTGTTGTAATAAATTTTATTTTTGTTATTTTGATCAAAAATTTTATTAAAAAGAGATTTTAGTGATGGTGAAAGATAGAATTTCGAATCTATTTTTTATAGATTTCATTTACTGTTATATATTTCGATATTGTACTTTTTATACTAACAAAAAAACGCTTAACGAATATAATGAATCAGTATAATGAAGAAAATTATATAAATCTGGATGAATTGGTGACCGCACAAAACAATTTTAGTTATAGCGTTGGAATATTTCTTATATTCGCCTGGATTAAAGTTAGTAAAAAAGAGAACTAAAAGAAAAATTTCAATAACAATAGTGAGGTAAATGGAAAGAATGGTTTATACCTTTTAAGAACTGAATGACTGGATGGAAAATTCTAGTCAACTACACGTAGATGAACCTCCCCTCCACCCCCCTCCCCTCCATCCCAGAGCTTTTGAAGATTCACTTGCATTTATTTCCCCTCTCAGATGATTTCTTCTGTGTAATTTCTTAGCAGAAATCTTAGCGTCCCAGCGAGTGCCTAACTAGAAATGGTATTAACTTATTAGAAGTTTCGAGGCAAATATATTAAAAAATCAGTTCGAAATCAGTTTGAATTGATGAACTGAAATTTGCAAATTTTAGACTATAGGACTTAAGTTAAGTTAATTTTAAAAGTTATTTCCGACTGATTTTGGCAAGTAATATTATATTTGCAATAAAACACTAATAATAATTATTTGTTTGAGATAATGAAATACATCAGTTTCAATAAAACAATGACTCAGTTAAGCGCGACATTAGCTCGGTCTGCAAAGGATATCGGTGGATTTTCGATAATGTTTTTCATATTTTTCTTTGCATATGCACAGTTTGGTTACCTCGTGCTCGGCACACAGGTTAATTTCGTAAATTTCCCTCTAATTATCGTTTCATTTTTCCTTTCTGTTATCATTCATTATATTATAAACCATTCAAAATTTATTTAATTAAACAAGTCAATTTAAACAATTTAGAATTAAAAATTTTTTTCATTTCTATTGTATGCCAATATTTTTTTATCAAAATTTAAATTAATTCTTCTTCTTCTAACAGCTCTTACGATTACTGGTTAGGCTGGCTTCGACGGTTACAAGAGCTATAAGAAGCTTTCAAATAGCGCGGTCTGATGCCATCGTCGACAGTAATGGAAGCCATTCTCTTTCCCATCATCTAAGTCCATATATTGCTGGTCCATCTATACATTCAAAATCTTTCCTGACCGTATCAGTCCAAGTCTTGATTGGCTTTTCATGCTATCCATTACACGGTTTAGCAAGTAACGAAGTATGCGTCAATTCCTGTGGTGGACGACGGAGAACATACCCTAACCACCGAAGGTGACGCTCTGTGATAACATTATTAATACAGATGGTGTTTGAACGAAGGTTGATGCGATCATATGATATCTTATCCGTAAGGACGCATCCCTAACGGACACCAGTTCTTATTTCGAAGGAGTCTGTCAGCTTCCCATAGCTTCCCATAGCCTCCCAACAGCCACATTCACAAGTATTCACTAAAGATTAACCGCATTTTGACTGATTAAAAAGTCATATCAACTCAATATTGTTATCAGTTTTAGGCTTAGGCTCCCCATATACACATATCTGCGCCGACGTCCGCTCATAAAATGCCTTTATGCCATTTAATACCATTTAAATTAATCAATAAATTAAATTAATGAGATGAAATTAATACAATAGATTCTAATAAAATAAAAAAAAAAACAAAAAAATTTATTGAAATAAATTTTTAAAGTTTAAAAATTAAAAATCGCAATAGAAATAAAAAGAAAAAATTTTATTTAAATAATGTTAAATAATGTATGAAATAATGTTATAAATAATAATTATTGTTTAAATTATTTTATTATTATTATTATTAGATGGCTGATTACTCGACGCTTTTTCATTCAGCATTTGCATTATTTCGAACAATTCTGGGTGATTTTGATTACGACGCATTACGAAAAGCGGATCGGTTTCTCGGACCAATTTTCTTTTTCACTTACGTATTTTTCGTTTTCTTCGTTCTGCTTGTGAGAATAATTACAACTTATTTAATTCCGATTTATTCGTCCAAATAGAATTTCTTCCGAAAACTGAAATTGAATTTAATTTATAGAATATGTTCCTCGCAATAATTAACGATTCATACGTTGAAGTAAAATCGGAATTAGTAAAAGCGAAAAATGAAGTAGAAATGATCGATGTTGCAGCAAATGTGAATTCCACAAAATACTTAAATTGTCGAAATATTTAAATATTTAAATTGTTCATTCTTTTCGATTTTAAATTTCACCTTTTACTTTTACTTCTCCCATTTACATTTTATTTTTTTAGCGAATTTAAGCTAAAATAAATTTTCAGTATTTCAATAATTTTCTTCGAATGATTGGCATTAAAAGACAAACAAATAAGGAAGAAAATAATTTCGATAATTTTCGAGATAATTTATTAGCGTTTGTTTCGCGAATTTTTTTCGCTCTTTGAGTTTTATTGCAACGAAAGAAAGCGTTGTTTTTAAATAGCAATCATAAATTAATTTATTCTATTAATTTTTTAATTTAATTAATTTTAAATTAATTTAAATTTTTTTATATTAATAAATTAAGAAATTATTAGCGATCAACTAGAAAATCTTTAAAATTCTCTTCTTGCAAAATTTATTTGGGTTTTAGACAAGGTTTTACAAACGAGGAAATAAGTGAAGCATTCATCAAATATGATATAATTGATCGAAAACTTGAATTGGACGAAATGCAACTTGTTGTAGAAGAACTGGAAAAAAAACATGGAATCACTCAAGAACAACCGAAAGAAACTGGAAATTTCCGAGATATCAATATGTTGGTTTAAATAAATTTTTAATGCACATACATCATTTTTGCATTATTTTTAAATAGTGAGGTTCCAACAAAAACTGATTATTTCTCCATCCATGAACTATTATCCTTGAAAAATTGAAAAGGCTTTTCGATGTTTTTGATGTTTTCTTTAATAACGAAATATGAATAAAACTAGAAAAATTTTGATTTTTTGATTTTTTGTGAATTATTTTTCAATCCCACTGGTACATACGATAAGTATGCAATCCAAGCGTAGTCAAACAACCTCAAGGCGTAAGAATATGATGTTCTCGCGAGCAATGAAACCTGTCACGGGAAACGGCTCTCTGCAGGCGCGAGGTGTCAGCTTATGATTGCATTGCAAGCTAAGTGATCCATATCACACTTTTTCTAAATATCATGTGGATGTCGCTTGCTTGTCCATCTTCCGCACTTCAGGTCTTGTGCAGTTGCTAAATCTGGCTCCGAGCATCTTCATCGCCCACCACAAGAATTTTTTTTTCGTTAGTTGCTAAACCCTATGACATCAAAAGCGATGATGATCAGTTAATACCTGTACTGGTACAATCGAGAGCGATTTTGAACGTATAGGGAGACCAGTGATATATGGTCTTAAACGATAGCTTCTACTATCGCAATCAGCAATCGAGCAGCTTGGAGACGTCTCACCCTTATAACCAGCACAACCAGCCTAACCAGTAAATGGTGAGAGCTGTTAAAAGAAGAAAAAAGAATGTGAATAAGCAAAATAACAGAGGTGGTATTCAAAAAATATTACCATGCATTTTGGTTTATAAATGTGAATTAAGAATAGAATGGTAAAGGAAACAATGAAAATAACACTTCAAAATATGCAAGATTAGCTGATTATTTTATTATAGACTTAACCATCGAGTTGATAATCTCGAAAATTCAATATTCGGTATTTGCTATCAAATTGATAATGTCATATCGCTTATCGATCAGCTGCAAGCTGAATCCGCTCGTGCACAACGACACCACAATATATTGCAACTTGAAGTATATATATTTTCCCATATATTTTTAAACAACATTTTTCTCATCTCTTGATAAATTAATAAATGCATTCAAAATATATTTTAAAAAAATATTTTAGGACGCCGCTCGCAAAGAAGACCCTTACAACTCTAATTCGCGAAGATCGCTAAACAAAATGATAATTGAAGATAATGGAGATAAGAGCGGCAGTAAATATAATTGTTGAAATTATCATATCAGTATGAAGGACTTAAATATTTTGAATGAATTGAAATATTGTTTTCAGATGGTAATTAGCAAAATTAGATAAAAGATTTATAGGCTTTTTATAATACAAATATTTCTTCGAAAAATTCAAAACCTATAAAAATTGTTGAAATTTAACATCGTTGAAATCCCGAAAAAAAAGCATTCTAAATGAATAAATAAAATCTTTTCCTTCTTTGCAAATTTTCGATCCAACCGTTGAGATATTCAACAACAAAAGTAAGAAATTTCAGTTTTTCCTTGAAATAAATAATTGTTGATAAGAAGCATTTCGATTTTGAAATATTTTCCGAAACAAATCTAATGTTATTCCAAAATTTTCCTATTAATCCTATTATCCTATTTAATCCAATTTATCACTTTATCACAACCAAACTATTTATTATATCAATTTTATTTTGAATGCCTTTAATAACGTTAATTATCCACATTAGTAATCGCATTCACAATGGCGTTAAAATCGCTTACTGATATTTCAGTACTCTCAAAAGTTTTATTATCAACAAACTTTTTCCGCCATTTTCTTTTATCGTACTTCAAAAATGTTCTTTTTGCATTCTCCTGAAATAAATCATCAGCCAATATAGATCAATTATCAAAATAATGTTGAATCGAACATAATGGTCCAAGTCGAATGAACGCCAATAGGCGCAGACTAGAGGAGACTTATTAGTTACCGAAAATCGAAATTCCAACGTTATTTCTGCATATTTAAATTTTAATTCAAAATATTTTATAAAATATGGACGAAATCTTTAAAATATTTTATGGAAAGAAGCAAAGAAAACTTCAATTTTTTCATTAGCAAAAGCACCAACTTTAGGAGCTTCAACAGAATAAAATCTAACAAACTTAATTGAACCATTAACCATTAAAATAAATTAATATAATAATTAAACGTTAACCGATCAATTTAACTATATGAAATCAGAAATTAATAAGTCGCGTATTGGAAGTATTATCTTTATACTTTCCCAATTTTCCCAATAGCAAGAAAGCGAATTCTGTAGGACTAAAAAATGAAAAAGAATCATGAAAGAACCCACGCAGTTATGATAAATAAACAACAAAATAACAAAAACTCGTAAAAAACTTAAAAAATAAGGAAAAAATAGAAGTAAAAACTTAAAAACCTATAACTTTAAAAATAGAAAATAGAAAATAATCAAAAAAATCATAAAATGTCGAAATAGACTTTGGTAATAAAAAATTAACGAAAAGTTGAAATATGATACTATTAAAATATTAAAATTAATATTACAATATTAGGATATCCTATTAAAATACAATACTAACAATTTATAGTACAAATTGTGCAAATAAAAATATTCATAAAACAGAATTAGCAAATAATTTTTAATATGTCCATCTAGAAAATGAATCTCAGGTGGAGTGCCGCTTACATCACTAAGATTTTTAGGTGTTTAAGCTTAAATTAAACGGCGCTGATGATAAAAAATATAAAGTATGAAAAAATATAAAAATTATTAAAATGAAAGCAAGAAAAAATTTATTTTCCAATAAAGATAGAATAGGCCTTTAGAGAACAAAAGCTACCTTGAAAACATTATTTCCTTGCTTAAATCAATAAATGTTACTAAAAAGTGGAAGTGATGTACATCAGAAAGCAGCCCGCATATATAAATAATTAGCGACTGAAAACATGGTACTAACATTAAATCTAATGAAAATAAAATGAAAATTCGATTATCAGGAATCATCTTGACCAAACAATCGCAAATCATGGACACCTGTTGAAAATCCAGCCATACGATCCCTTCCATCAAAACTTTCACGACCAAGCCATGCTGATTCCATTTGAGTATTTGACACGGGATGACCATAAGGAGGCAAACTCATCGGACGATGGCCGCTCTGAGGCATTGATGGTGATGCATCAGCATCCATTATTGATTGAACAGTTACACTTTGAGGACTACGTAATACCGGGGTTTTTAGAGAATCAATCGGAGATTCAAGCACAGGACCAGCCAACGTTATATCCTTATTTGCACCCATTAAAGGAGAATCAGTTGTAGCTGAAAAAGAAGAATAGAAATAATAAAGAATCATTGAAAAAAAAAGAAAAAACTAAGAAAGCAAAAAAAGCAAACAAATTTGAAAAAACAGCTTTAATATCCTTAATTAATATTCTATTTTGATAAAACAACAGGTAATTTTTTTTTGAACACATACATTTAAAGTAGATTTCACCGAGTTAAATTCATGCTCTAATTTTAGTAATAAAGCTATAGTTAAACATTTTTATTAGGCATAAAACTACATAAAGTTATAACAAATATAAAAAGCTAAGATATTTAAAAATCATATATAAGAATTATGAATTTGTAAATAAATTTAAAAATTCACATACTCAGTGGAAAATTAATAAGGCTTGTTGTGGGTGACTGATATTTCATTGGAGATGGTGCTCTTGCAGAACAAGGACGGCTAATGATATTATCGGTAGCTCTCATTGAAGTAAAATCGAGGATATTCTGAGAATAGGAATTTATTTCTGCATTAACTCCTTGCCTTCGATTATCTAACTGATGACTTTCAATACAAGGTGCGCTAACATTTAAATCATTTAATCTATAACTGACATGGTTTTGAACTTCTGAAGGGTTAGGAAGATTATTTTCGCTAGTCCCAGGATTTTCCACGACTTCGGATGGTTGGATAGGTCGAAAAAGTGCATCGAAATTCGGCTGCACCTTAAAAAGATTAAATTTAGAATCGTTGTCACCAATGATACAATAAAAAAGACAGGAATGAATGAAAAAATTTATATTATAATTAAATTTATTAATTTAAATCTAGATATTTTAGCAAAAAAAATAAAGATTACCTTAGTTTGAGCGGCTAATTGAGCAAGTTGCTTAGCACGACGATAACGGCGACGGTGTTGTTTTCCTGCATTTGCCATATTATGATGTTTTTGAATATGCTCTTTCAGTTTATCACGCCGTGAAGAAGAATAATCACAATTGTCGCACCTAAAATTTTTTAAATAACCAATGACTTCAGTCCAAATTCAAATGAAATTGTTTTGAAGCTAATCCATCAAAAATAAAGATCAAAACAACGATTAGCATGATTTGAAAATGAATTTTTTTTTGAAACTGTATTTTTCTTTTGAAATTGTACTTGAATCTTTTCATCTCATTTTCAGTTTAAACAAAAAAAACGTTTAGGTTTAGGACTTAGAAGCGATTAAATATATCGCAGTGAACAAATCTTCGTCTTCTAACAGCTCTCACCATTACTGGTTAAGCTGGCTCCGTTAGCTACAAGAGTAAGACATCTTGAAGCTGCTCTGTCCGACGCCATCGCTAGTAGTAATAGAAGCCATTTCTTTTTCCATCGTCTAAGTCCATATATCAAATATAACAATGATATTTCAATGAACAATATTTCATTAACAAATATGACACTGAAATTTCAATTATTAAATAAAAAGATTTGTTTACTTGAAAGGTTTGTCTTCTAAATGAATTCGCTCATGGCGTACCAAGTGAGATTTCTCAATGAAAGATCGATTACAAATTTTGCACTGATGAGCTCTAACAGCAAGATGTGTTCTAAAAAATATTCAAAAATGGTTACCAAAAAACTTTATGAGTCAAATTTAAAAAAAATTAGAAATTAAATCAAAAATTAATTCCTTAAGAAAAAAGAAAGTATTTTCAAAAAAACTATGAGAATGAGAACCTTAAATGAGCGGCTAGTTGACTTTTTTTGGGAGATGAATAAGTACAATCTTCGTAATGACAATGAAACACGTCGCCTGAATGTATTCTACGATGTGATATTAAATGACTTTGATATTTCGTCGAAAAATCGCAGTGGGAGCATTGATAAGGTCTAAAAATAAAAATAAATCAAGATATGCTTAAAATAAAAAGATTTAAAAATTAAAAGCAAACCGAGATTCGGAATGGGCTGCAAGGTGCTGATCAAGCGTACTTTTCATAGCAAAACCTCGACCACATTCTGTACAATGAAATGGTTTTTCAACTGAATGGTTTAAAACATGCATTATCAAATTGTTTTTTGATCGAGATTTATATTCACATAAGGCGCATTTAAAAGGACGATCATTTACTGAAATAAAATTTATTCAATAGTTAGATAAAACAAACAATTCCAAATAATTTTATATTAAATAAAAATTAAAAATGCTTTTACTCTCATTCAATTTTGTGAAAACAGCCGCTACTAACCATGCGTAAACCGATGTGAGAGGAAAAAATGCATGCGATCTGACGTAAAATCACATGAGTCGCATTGAAAAGGTGGCCCCTTAAATTTAAATTTATTGAAACAAATCTTACAAGAAAATAATCTGCAAACTAAATACTTTCAAATTTTACCGAAAAATGTGTCTGCATATGACTGTAATATTCACTGTTCCATTTGCATTCATATGGGCAAAGTGAACAAACATAAACAATATTTCTCAAATGTTCCCGAACAACATGACTCCTGACGTGTGTTGTTGTTAATGCTTTATAGTTACAATATTCACAATTAAACGAATTTTCATTATTGTTTCCTCCTAAACCATCTCGTGAGTCTACTGGCATTTCAGGTTCATTAACCTGAGTTAAATCAAATTCATCTTCTTCTTCAAACGTGACCTTAAAATAAACCGATATTTCAATGCAAAAATAAAAATTATATCGACTATATCGAAAAATCACATTAACTTTAATGCTCAACTAAAAAAATTATTTACTGAATATGTTAAAAAAATATTTACAAATGAATAATTTTATCATAAATAGAGCCATAATAATAATAGAGTCATAATAATTTTATCATAAATTATTTATTTTATAAATAATTTTATTATAAATATAATATAATTATATAATGTAATATAATAATAATTAAATAATTCAAAGCAGAATTATTCAGCTTAATAAATATTTTAAAAAATGAGAAAATTTAGAAAAAAAAGATTTTTAAAAAAGGAAAATATAAAAACCTGTTCAGTATAATCCAAAACCGATTCTGAACCAAATTCTTTATGAGGATAAATATAATCATTCGATCGTAAGGAATCAGATAAACCATCATCGAGGCATTTAGGTGGTCTACCCCTCCGTTTTGCAAGCATTTGGTTTGCAGTGGATATTGATTTTCGATATAGCTTGTGGCGACCTGTAGCCAGTGGTGTCTTCCCTGAAATGATCAAATATTTTTCATTTCTAAGTGTGGAATAAAAAAATCTGCAAAAAATGCAAATATTTCCCAAAAAATACCAAGAAGGCGGTTTTTTCGATTCATGATAGCAAGAGAATCCAATTGAATTTTTAGTTTCAGAGCTGGCCTGGTATCGTTCGATGTTGACGGTTCAAGCTGTAAAAATCTTTTACTTTATTTATAAGTTTAAAATGAGCATCGCCTATATGAAGAGATGAATAACTTACTACTTCATCGGTAGTAGAAGCGCCAAAAACAGGTGGTTGCCCAGTATCCTCGTTACATTTCATTTGCTTATCAGGACACAACTGAATATTGCTATTTTCCACATATGAATTCTTGCCATTCTCATGGAATCCACTAAACTTGAAAATTCTGTGAATTAAGGTATGATGAGGCTCTATTTATGATAAAAAAAATCTATCAAGGAACGCTCCCTTCACTCCCTTCATTTTTTTTACAAATCTCATTCTTAAATGTAAAATAAAGGAAAAGCAAAAAAAGTTACCTTTTTAATTGATCACCTTCGACCTTTAATGTATTATCACCGCTATCATTAAATTCATTAAGAGCTGAATAAATTGCTGGTGCATCATTAAAATACATATTAACTTGGCCGCCAAACTGAGCCAAAAGTTCGCGATGCTGTGTTTGGTATTTTGACATAGGCATTGAATGTTCATACCTAAACAATATCATTATCAAAAGTGAATCAAAATATTTATTTTTATTTATCAATTCATAATTATTTGTATACAACGTTGAATATATTGCAGAAAATAACAGATTCTCAACATACATGGTTTGCAATAGCGTGAGTCTTGATGATGGTGAACTACTTAAAAATGGAGAAAAGTCCAAAAGTTCTTCCAAAGTTGAAATTTGAACTCTTGAAAAAGGGCAACAAGCCAACATCTCCTTGAAAAGTGAATCACGCTGGTTTGGATAAGCGCTTACCCACCGGATAATTAATCTAAATCATCTCAGATTATTTAAATTTCAGATAATTTAAAATAATTTCTAAAATAAGCTATAAACATTAATTATAAAATTTTGTATACTGTATTACAATTATAAGGAAATAAAGTATACTATATGAAAAAATTTACTTCAAATGTACATCTGGTGATATAACTGCACTGTATTTCGGTTCTGCTAAGATTGAGTTGATCTGCGAAAGTGAATATTCAATAATGTCGACACTTTCCAATAAACATCGATTGATATTTGCATCGAAAAAATCGCAAGAGCTTTTCAAAAGTGCTGGTAAATTGTATTTAAAGGCGAGTTCCTTTATCGCGAGACAATTTGAATATTCCATATAGCGATCCAAATATTCGGCACAATAATTTTTGATTTTTGTCACCTAAAATAATAATATGAATAAAACAAAACAAAAAATATTCGAAATGAATTTTTAGATAAATCATTAAAAATTGGTACCACATAACCTTTATAATTTTTATAAGTCAAATTAATGTGCCCCTAAGATTTATTATTACTACCCTTACAATCCATGTTATTTTAACATTCCTAAGACTCTCATACAGATCTACCTGATCTACCTGAGCGCTATTTCGTCTCCTTAACGCCAAGATAAACTTTTACAACGTTAATATTTCTCACTGATACTCTCTTAATATATTTTCTGCTTGGAAAATTGGTGGCACAAATGCAAATTCTACATCTGCATTCCTCTTAATTCTCTCAAAAACCCTCAAATTCACCTTGGCAGACTCATTTTGAACCTTTTTAATATTTTTCCAAGCTCTATTATATTTAAAACCCTCCCATGTAATATTTCCTTGATATCCCTCAAGAAATTCATCTCTAAAAAATAAATAAACAACAAAATTGCGCAAAATTGCGGAAAGAAACTCATGAATATATCAGCGTTTTTTTATGTTATGAGTTATGCAAAAGCTCTAAGCACTAATAAACCTTTAAGCTCTAATTTGAACAATGCTACCGACCTTTATGAATGAAATTGTTGAAAAAACCATGGAAAAAAGTGAAAAGAAACGTTTTACCAAAGTCAGAAAGATGGAATAATGAGATAAATAAAAAAAACAGAAAGAGCTCGAAAGGATATTAAGGCATTATGGTGAACTTTAATAGGATTTTAAGAGTTTCTGGAGGTCAATATGATGGATCCTTGGTGGTGCTGAAATTTCAAAACTACTCAATCTCCCTCTTTAAATTATTATTCTAGAACCATACAAATGATATTCACCAAACGCTTTCTCAAATTCTTTTTTCCTCCTTTCTAAACTTTCCGACACTCCTCGAAATCACCCAGTTAAATAATTACTTTAGTATTTCAAAAAACGTTCAAAATAAACACCTATAGATGACGCTATGTTCATAGTAGTTTTTTATTTTTTTCACTACTAGGATAAGCTTGAGCCAAATGTTCTGATTAATTGCCTATTCGTGCTATTTTTTTTCAACATCTCATTTCTTTTTCTGTTGCTCATTAAAACATACTTCTTCGTGATTAAATAATAAATAAACACAATAAATATGCAAGCAAAAATAACCAAAAAGTTATTGGCAAGCTTCAATAAATCCGTTACATTATTTCGATCAATGACAACACTCCCAGTGTACATATAATTTAATAAAAGTTCAAAAACATTAGGATTTTGACAATTAACGGTGACCTAAAAAAACCGAAATATTAATAATAGCGAAAATGCAATGATGCAAATCAAAAGATCACAGAACAAATTATTTCTATTCTTCATTTCCATAAAAAATTTTTTTCAAAAATGAATTTCTTCTAAAAAAATGAATAGTTCTTTCTTGTAAGAATAAAATTTAAGAAAAAATAAAAAATAAAATAACAAACAAACAATAACAAAATAAATAATAAATAATAAAAAATAATAAATTGAAAAAATAAAAAATAAACAATAAAAAAAATCTTTTCGGTGTTTATTTTTATTTATTTTCGGTGTTTATTTTAAACAAATTTTCAATTTATCTGTATTCTCTTAAAGCAATTTTCAATTTTAGCAAAAACGTACTTGTTCTTTGACAACTTTCGAATTTTTAAAAATCGAATCAAAATACGGACTACACGCAGCTAATATATTACGATGAGCCGAAAAACGGCGATCTTTTACGATTAAATGAACATCACAAAAACGACCCGTATCTCGTTGATATCGAAGTCGTTCCAATATAACACTGCCGTGCTGATTTGTAAACGACATTGGATTTATATTAATATCGTGCGAATCAGGCGAATTTCTCGATGTAATATTCATTATTTATACCTAAAAATTTGTGGGATTAAAATTTCTCTACAACAAAAAAAAAATTAGATCAATGAAATGCAATTTGATTTTTAGAAGGAAAATAGTAACAAAAATTAAGTACTATAACTATCCAAGAATTTCTTTTTTGTAAGCCAATTTCCTTTGTATTTTAACAATATACAGTTTTTGGTTAAACTGATTCCACTGTCTACTGAGCCTTTTGCCAGAAAGTCATTTGGGAAAAGAAAAAACAGGAAGCCTTGAGCAACCTGAATTTTATTCCTATTGTGAAGCAAAGATTGAGCCTATAATGAATGCAAATTATATCGAGGCAAAACAGCACTTGAAAATCGTCTCCCGATATATAGTTTATTAAAACTGAATTCTGCTGCTCTCAACAGACAGCAGCGAATCGAGCAGCTTGAAAACCTTTCTAGCCAGCAAAGCCTAACCAATAATGGTGATAGCTGTTAGAAGAAGACAGTGAAATGAAATAAAAATAAAAATAAAAAATCATAGGAAAATAAAACTCGCTAAAATAATTCGATAATAATTAACAATAAATAATTTGTTTCTTCATTATGAATAAATTGTTCGATTTCCACGTTCTCACGCTCCATTCCACGTTTTCACGTTATAAACAGAAGCGCACAAGCGCACCGAGGCTATTACCAGCGGAACTACGCTATTTATTTTCATTTTTTAAATTTAAAAAAAATTTTTTTTTAATCACAAAATCAATCCATTTATATTGAAACTCGTTGGCACAGATAAAATTCACAAAAAAAAATTTCACAATTTCAAGCAAAATCATGAAATGTGGGCAAAACAAAATAAGTTTAATTAATTGACCCATCTAGTAATCACAGTTTTTCGAACTCGAATTCACGAAACTCAATAGGTGAATCCGAGCAGTGCTCTGAGACACTTCCACTTAACCTACTCGTGGGAATTTCCCACTGCACTGACAAGATGACTTAATTTAAGTGAACGCAGTTCAATTCAACTAAAAATTACTCATCGTTTCTTACCTGTGACCTTTGACCTTTGAGCTAAATCTCTGGGCCAACTGCAAATAATTTTACAATTGCTCTCAGCTTTAAAATTTTTAAATAAATTTTAAAATTAGAAATAAAAATAAAAAATAAAAATTACGTCCTTTTTTCTAGTAAATCAAATTAAAATAGAATATTTTTAAGAAATCGAATAATCCAAATAATTGAAAATAATTTAATAATAATTTAAGTAAATAATTAATTTTTAGAAAATAATTTTAGGAAATTATCCGATTTGAAGATAAACTTAGCACGAATTTTGCATGAAATAATAAAGCACCAAAGATTTAATCGCAACTACTATAAGTCAGACCAGAATGTTGCAGATCGGTGACCGCTATTTAGTAAAATTATGCTGCTGCGTGTTCATTAAATTCGTGCATGCGAGTAATTTTTTGGTGGTTTTTGCGCTTAATAGCGGTCGTTTCATACATTTTTTTTCTTATTTTTATTTTTTATTTTATTTTCGATTTTTCTATTTTCCTTATATTTCCAAACTTTAGTCTTAATTTTTAAATTTTCTTTCAAATTTTAGTGAGTTTTTTCTTTTTATTTATTTATTTTTTATACTTTTTAATAAATATAAATATAAAAAAATCGACTGAGAAAGTTGAATGAAAAATTCAAAAAAAAAGCTACAAAATTATCGAATGTTGGACGAATAAAGTAAAGGAAATGGCCAAAAATTCAGTGAAAGAATTAAGCGAAGATCATTCATGGCTCTCTTTTCTTTTCGTTTTGCTTTTTTTAAAAATTTAAAATTTAAATTTTAAAATTTAAAATTTTAAAAAGTTTTGGCAAAGCTTTCTTAATTTTCTTATTTCTTCTTCTTCTTTTCTAACAGCTCTCAGCATCACTGGTTAGGCTGGCTCCGCTGGCTACAAGAGTAAGGACATCTCCAAGCTGCCCGGGCCGGCGCCATCGCTAGTAGTAAAAGGAGCCGTTCCTTTTTCCATTGTCTAAGTCCATTTATCGCTATCACCCTATATATTCAAAATCTTTCCTGAGTGTGTCAGTCCAGGTCTTGATCGGCCCACTTCGCTTTTGACGACATCCATCACACGGTTCAGCAGTACCGAAATATGCGTCAACCCTTGTGGTGTATGACGAAGAACTTGTCCTAACCAGCGAAGATGGTGATAATATTATTAATGCAGGTGGTATTTGAGTGAAGGTGGATACAATCATGTGCGATTTTGTCTGATCGGTGGTTTCTTAGACGTGAGTGGTGAAAAGCTAATAGCTTCTTAATATCTTCCAATCTCATTGGCCATGTTTCGAAGCCATGTAATATAGCAAGATCGAACGAATTGCAGCTATATGACGCGGATTTTCGTCTTTATGGTGATTCTGCGACGGTTCCATAAGGTTTCATCAACCGAAAAATGGTTCTAGTTGTCGTTGTCCAGGTTAGAATTTCATGCTTGCCTGGTCATTTGGGATTAGAGTGAATCCAAAGTATTAGTATTTAAAGTCCAGCATTTCTTCAACCGGCAGTGAATAGATAAAAATAGGTATAGGTATTTTTTCAGCATTTTGTATATAAGACGAAAATACTTTCGCTTTATGTTGATTTACATTGATTTTACATTGATTTTGAGTCCAATTCTTGCTGCACTTGTTGACACATTGTTTAACATTATTTGCATTTCCTCATAACTAGCAAAAAGGACTACATCATCAGCGTATTCTAAGTCTGTAATGCTGTATTCTGGACTGATTTGCACACCTCTTGGGTGCCGATAAGCGATGCCCATTATCCAGTCTATCGCATAGTTGAATATTGTGGGGAAAGGGACACAGCTCTGACGGACAGTAGTTTTTATTTCAAAGGAATTTTTAATTTTAATATTTTAATATTAGTGAAAGATTATAACTTTTCAAATAGCTGTCCTGGAAAGCTACTGGTGGATTTTATAGTAGTAAAGTTGGTGAATTACTTAACTTTCGAGTATTATCATCAATAACATTGCTCAAAAAATGTCTTTAATGTATATTTTTATGGCAAAATTTTGCTTTAAATAAAAAAACTAAACCACATTCGTTTCTTTATTTTATTGGAATAAACCTATTGGCCAATTCTAGGAGTGCTTTTTTCTTTATGAGACGTTAAGCGTAAATTATTGGTGAGGAAGTGATTCAAAGTCGATTTTATAAATACTCGAAAGTAACTAATGTGAGTTTCATCTAAAAATAAATTGTATTGAATTTATTTCAGAAATATAACATTTTTCACCGATGAAATATTATGATTACCGAGATACATGAAAAGGTGAATGAATTATGGCAGTGTTTGTTAGAATAAGAGGAAAAGAAGGAAAGAAAAATGCAAAAATATGACAAAAAATATCGTTAGAACGTCTTAAAAGTTTTCTTCTAAAATTGCAATGTCTTTTTATTCATAAAAAAATTGGAATTCTTTCTTTTTTTCGATGAGAACACCTAATAATTTGAAAATATTTTGCAAAAATCATCGCTAAAATAAAAAACTAAAGAAATTAAAAATAGATTTATATGCATGAAAATGGTAAAATTTCTCATATATATCGTTGTTAGATGGAAGATAGAGTTATTTTGCGTTTGGTGTGCACCAAGTTTCACCTTCCTGAAATATCGGGTTCTTTGAAGTATTTCTTTTCTTTTTTTTGATTACCCACACTGGATATATTTTTGTAATAATTGATGATTTAGTAAATTATGCAGTTTTTAACGTTTTTTTAATTGATTAAGTTTAATTTTCTTCTTTCCTCTCACCATTACTGGTTAAACTGGTTCCGCTGGCTATTAGGGTAAGATATCTCCAGGCTGCGCGACCTGACGCCATCGCTGGCAATAACAGGAGCCATAGTTTAAGTCCATATGTCTCTGATCCACTTATCCATTGAAAATCTTTCCTACTTTATCAGTCCATATCTTGGCTGGCTTTCTTCGTTTTTGACGCCATCTGCCAGAAGTTTTAGCGAATAACGAAATATATGTCAACTCCTGTGGAGGGCGGCGAAATTGCCATAAATTGACTTACCAAGCATTTACATTTTTGGTTCTCATTCATCCATGTTTCTCCGTTTAATTTAAATTTTCCCGAGATTTCACACATTAGATTGGATTGTTGTGAGCGTTTTAATCTAAAGGTAAATTGTTTTTATGCAAGAGCTGAAGCTTATTATTTCAATTTATTAATTCTGGTAGGAAAGCCTCTTTTGTGGGTATGTATTCAGCGCTTGGTAAACCATCTTTTCTTAAATCTCGTCATGTTCCATTACTCCTTCTTCGATATCGTTTAATACTCTTTGATTCTTGCTACATTGCTTTCACTCTCGCAAAATCATCAATCACCATTCTATTTCTTTTCATTTTCACCAATTCTTATCAATAATATTCGATTAATTTTTGTACTAAATTTTGCTGTTTAGCTTTTTTTAGTTTGCGACTTTTCAGTTTGTAATATTTCGAAATCTGATGGCGCGTTTGAGGAACTCAAATTAGAATAGTAGAGCACTAATGGATTATGATGAAAGACTAAAGTGAAAGAGAAATTAGGAAGCATGTATTTACTGGAATTTGTAGAGATTCTTCATGAAATACGATACGATACGAGTTTATAGGATATTAAAGCCTTTTAGTAGAATCGAGTGTCGAGTCGAAATTTGATTTCGCACCATTGCAATTATCGAGGTATACTCAATTCCAAGTACTCCATTGTGCTTTATTTCTATTTTATGCAGTTATTAATTTGCAAATAACTGAAATACTTTACTTTACCTTCTAAAATTTTGTTCGACGGATGGTAAACAAGATTTCTCACAGCATGATTGCCAAACATTTAAATTTATTTGTTGGATATCGCCACATTTTTTATAAAAATTCATTGGTCGTTTACCAATATATTCAAATACATCTTCCTTGAAATAAAAAAAAAAAAAAAATTATGCGTTTCGATAATTTAATAACGTTAATTTTTGTATGAATTTTGCATGAATTATTAGAAAAAACAATAAAAGAACTTAACGGTCCTATCGAATCCTTTTTATTTAGCTCTATTTATTTCGATTGTATTTAATTAAGAAAAAGCAAATTGGTACTTGAACACGATCAATATCATCGCCATTATTGCAAAGAACAGCTGCCAATGAACTTTTTCGAATTTCTTGCAACTGAAGTTTTGTGAAAATTCCTTCATTTTCGTACCTAATCGTATGGATTATTTCATTTACATGCGTTATATCATTAATTAAAGTTAACTTTTAGAATTTTTAAAAATTTTTTTGGATGTTAACTTTAACTTATTAAAATGGTAAGTCTGATTATAAGATTAATTTGAATAATATTAATTATCATTAATTAATTGCTATGGAATTTTGAATAAATTTCAAGAAATCGCTAGATTACAATATTCGAATGTTAGTTGGACGTAAGCTATGATAAAGTGATAACTCACCAGAATCGATCACCGCCACGAAGTCGTCGAAATTGATCGCTTATAATGCATGAAATTGTTGGACCAACGAGAGCTCCAGCTAATCGTTTTTCTGATATTAATCCAACCCAAAGATCAATATTACCTTTAAGAAAAAAAAATAAAAAATTGTAATATTTTTTGCTCGACTATTATTTATTGTAGAAAATCATTTATTTTTAATTTTCAGCATAATTTAACTTTGAGAAACTCAACCAATTTAATTATTTTGGTCGAATTTTGATTGGATTTATTATAGAAATTGATAAATAAACTCTAAGACAAACCTGGGTGACCGTATAATTCTTCCATTTTTCGCCTAATATTTCGGTCGGGAATATCGATAGCAAGGTCGTCCCAAGTCTCTACTGCAGTAAAATTGCACCAACGACGAAATTCAATATATCTAAAAAAAGAGATGAACATATTAATATATCTGTGAAAAATACCACCAGTCTGACTTCTCAGTAATATCCAAAAGTTCCTACCCGGGTAGTCCGTGGTCTCTTCCACGTTGAATGTTTATTGTTGCCAGATCGTACATCGACTGCAAATACGTTTTAAAAAGCATCAAAAAACATTTCTAGAAAAAACATTTCAAAAACATTAAACATTTCTAATGAGAGAAATGCCAAGAAAATTATCAATATTTTGCTTAAAATCGTGGCAAATTGGCAATAATTAATGGTGAATTAGCAAAGAAAGGATTTAGTAGAATTACTTCTTCTACTCTACTGAATAATTTGGATGTTAGTTCCTTGTTAACAAGTTGTTGCTCTTTTGGTTTCTTCATTGGCATAGCAAAAAGGCCTCGTAATAATGGATCAATTCCTCCTTCAGAAAGTAGCCTTTCAGGCGCGAAAAACGCTTCATGCAAAGGAATATGTCCTGAATGTTAATTAATTCATTGGAAATATGAATTTTTTATGGAAATTTTCTGTTGAATAAAAATATGACCTTCTTTAATTTCCTTGAAATCCTTGTCAAGCCTATAAAGAATAGGATTAACTATTGTATGACCGAATCGAAAGGCAGCTGCAGAAAAACTATTTGCCAAAGTTGGATTCATTTCTGGATCATAACCTTTATAAGGTCCGATTAGTTCGTTATAAGCATCCTGGAAATCGATATATTTTGTCTGCTGAAGTTGTCACGAGCAGTGATAATGTGACAAGGTTGTAATACATAAAATGATGTGATAAGCTAATATACAAACTGTTTGAAATATATTTCTGTGAAATGATTTCTAATTGCAATAAATTCTGCAATTTATTCTGTGCATTATCCCACTTACTGGGAAGAAGTACCAGAAGTGATGCATAAGAATGGTACACAGACAATGCAGCCAAAAAATTAACTTACTGTGCCGAGCACTTTCGGGAGCCAATGTTCAAAAGTAATCACTTGAAACATCGCACCAACAATTTTTCTCGCTTCTTGATAAATTGTTTCACCATCCCAATGAGGATTTATTTCCAAAAATTTAGCAGCTATTCGATTATGTTCTCGAAGCCAAAGTGTGTGCATACTAAGTAAAGCCAACTGAAAGAATTTAGAGAAGAGAAGCGTTTCGAAAATATTTCAAATGGTCAACACCTGTTCATTGGCTCGGTAATCACCAGCCAAGAAGCAGCTTATTGGATTCTCGCGTGATCGATTTCTTCGACATTCCATGTTAGATTCACGTTCAAACGGCAAATATGGTTTTTGAGCGTTTGAAACAATATCGAAACGAAGGAGTCCATGATCACCAAATAAATCTCTCAGATCAAGTGCATCCACTTCTGCGCTACCATATATGCCCGATCCATCAATATAGGACGTCAGCTGAAAATAAGTAAAAGTAATTTGCTACAAAATAGCTCAAATCTGGCTGAGTTGATGTGAAAAATTTGACTCCGAAACTCAAATTTCAAATTTTAATTAAAAATATTTGGGAATCATAAAACGTCTTCTAATAATATATACTATGTTCATCTGCTCGCGATAGGTGAGTTGTCGATAAATTGGCCCAGTGACACCAGAACCGCATGTTGCACTCGATCTCTCCACTTCGATACAAGGTGTTTCAGGTTTTTTCCTAAAATTTTCAGTAGCGAAATTGTTTTTCTTGTTTCAGTGTTGAAATGATAGCGAAACGAAAAAATCACTTTTTTTGCATCCTTGGGTCTTCTGGAGGAATAGGGACGTTATAGCATGGATCGAGGTGCTCGCAGGTTTTATTGCATATAGCCCCCTTCATATACGTTTGCCTTGCTAGTCCTGGCGCTGTTTGTTCGATATCATGAGCTGAAATTTTTCCATAGCATCTTAGCACTTCTATAAAATTTTTACGCAAAATTTTAAATTTTTTTCTTAAAAGATTATGCATCATGGAAATTTTTTCGTCCATAAAACAACGGTGAATTTTGAAAATTCATTCTTTAAGCTATATTATCATTGAATACTGCTTTTCTCTTAAAAACAATGAAAAAGTAGCGAAGAAATTTGCCTAAAAATTGTCCCCATTGTTTCATCATTGCTGTATAACCGTGATGCGGTGTTATTTCGTCTGTTGAAATAAGCTTCATTGAAATAGAACGTGGATTTGGTTTTTTGAAGCCAAAATATAACTTATTTGGATCCCAACCAACTGGCGTATTAAAGCCATTTTCATATATTGGCGGAAGATTGCGTCGGAATGGAGTTTGCGCGACACCCCAAAATGGATGATTCAAATTGTTGCACTGTCCATCATAGGATCTGAAGGAAGATTTTCAAAAAAATTGGCTTTATAGCTATTGAGCCAATGTCATCAAAATTGCAAATAATTAATTGCATATGAGCTATAAATATTTTTATTTTTTGTATAAATATAAATTTATATTCCTCCAGAAGACCCAAGGATGCAAATTTTTTGAATAATAAATATTTTTCTCCATATGAATAGAAAAATTCATTTATCTTTTATATTTTACCTATATTACCTATAAGATAAATTCACCTATATTTAGAATGGAAACACATATTAGTGCATGGTCGCCTGAAAGGTCCTGTGACACATCCAGAAAGTTCCATTATAGTTTGGATATGTGATACGGCTAAGGTTGACTCGAATGAAAAATTTGTTGGTAGCTCGCTGACTGATAAATTTAGGCCTATAAATTTTTATCAGTAAATTTAATAAATTTTTATAAAAATCATGATAAATCATGGCATGCTTTTCTATAAATTTGAAAACGAACCAGAACGGATGTATTCTTTTGCAAGTAGCAAACTTTGTTCATAAATTTCTCGAGCTTTGCTTAAATCATTGTTATGCAATTTCGTATTGAATTTAAACATCTGCATAAATTCCGCTGGTGATAAATTCGGCTTACTAAGCATCATTTGCGTGTCCGCTATTGCTCTGAAAACTCAAATTATTAAACAATAATCTCTGATCACTTTTAATGTCGCCTAAGCAAGTATATAGCTAAGCAAGTATATTTCCCAAGTAATGAGACTTAAATAATTAACAAATATTAATATTATAAGTAAGTTTACCAAATGAATTCATAAACGTACATACCTGTCTATATTGCTTTTGGCTAAGTTGACGATATTTTTTATCGCCTCATCAGTAAGGCTTTCATCGATATGATTTTGATAAGGAAATACCACTTTTAGTGTTGCCTTCTCAATCGACGATCCTAAAGGATTCGTAGCTAAGCAAGTGTATTCTCCTTCATCTTCTCTGGTTACATGAGCTATTATATATTCCGTATTATTTTTGCCAATCTATAATATTTTATTTAATAGTATTATTTTAATAACAGTTAATATTTATTAATTTAATAATTTGCCGATTTAATTCATTAATTAGTTATTTAAAAAAGAAAAGTAATAATAATGAAAATAATAATGAATTTTTTAAATTATTGGTATGAAGCAATATCGTCGAAAAAATAAAACTAAAAATTTTCGATGAAAAATGCAAAAATATTTATGTTTGTATGATTTACCGAAATATGAAGATCACTTCGATCAATTTCATTTCCATTAAACAGCCAACTGATCTGCGGTGTTGGTTCGCCAATAGCGCGACAAACAAATACGATTCTACGGCCAGGTTGAGCATTTTGTGATAAAGGCTTATCAACGATTAATGGTGCTGCATTTTCTCTAATATTCAGTTGAAAGTCGTGCTTCACTTCGCCATTTTCATTAATTGCGATACATTGATAACTAAAAAATGATAGGAAAAATCTAAATTAAAGAAAATGAAACAAAAAATGTATCAAATAAAAAGTTTTCAATTTGAATTTCAATTTAAACTGCAATATTTTAGAATATTTTTTCCATTATTAAATAATTTAAAAAGAAATTTAGCAAAAAAAATTATCTTTATTTCAGTTTTATTTGTTAAAATCTTCTTTATTAAACAGTTTCGTAAATCGAAAAATAAAAATAAATCGAAATTCTTTAACCTAAAAGTTTTATTGTGTGAAATTAATTTCATTAATTTGCCATAGTGATAAAAGATAAAAAGATAAAGGAATAAAAAGTAATCACGAATTACTTTCCGGTATCGCTTTGTTGAAAAGGAAAAATTTTTAATTTTTTATCATCAGTAATGAATTTTTTTGACGAAATTATCTCAGTATCATTAAACGTCCATGTAATAAGTGGTTTTGGATTGCCTAAAATGATAAAAAGTTGATAAAATTGTTTTCAAAGAACTAATTAGTGCTAGGAGATTGGATACTTAGAAAGGCGATTGTTAGAATCACCGGAAAAATTAGAGTAGTGAAATTTGAAAAAAAGAGATTTTTTGCAATTTTTTAAAAACAAATACCAGCAGCTTCACAGTATAATTCAACCGATGAACCTTCACGATATGTCTCATTTTTAGGAGTTTTTATAAAATACGGTATACGATTCAGACGTTGTCCTTCGTAATTGCTACAAAATGCTTGAATAAAAACGATATATAAGTTTGAATTTCAATTCATTTCAGTTTACTGATAATTTATCAATACTGATATTTATCGATCAAAATTAATTTATGTTTGTGATTTACTGGAAAAATTCAGCGCTTTTTCGTAAGAAAAAAGCAAATTAATTCAGAAGAAATTTTTAAAATAAAACAACTGAATAATTAGTTAGAAGAAAACAAACCTATTTGAGATTGTTAAGCGAAATGTGGTGATAAGAATAAAGCTTAACAGCATTTTATAAGTGATAAAAAAACCGTTTTACCCTTAAAAAAAATTATGTAAAATATAAGAAAAAAATATATAAATATATTGCTAGAAATATATTTAAAGAAAAGAAATTTTTCATTATTCAGAAATAAATTTCACCCGATTTTTACATTTTTCAATTTTTTCAATTTATTTTTATGAGAAAATTTATAAGAAAGAAAATTTTTGGAAGAAAAGCGAATTATGAGAAGATATGCGAAGAAAAGCAAAACTCAGTAGTATTTCGGTAAAAAATTAAAATCGCGACATTTGCCTTCAATAGTTCACGAGCAGCAACCAACTAACGCCTCAGCCTCTTCATCCACACAACTCCTCGATGTTGTTCTCAAAGGATTCTTTGTTCTCTGGCAACTTTTCTCTCAACAGACGGTAATAAATCAACATTAATGCATCAACATTAATGTTCAGCCTAACGGCCAATCTATAAAAAGCAGGGAAACTTCACTCGAACGATAAATCTCTCCCTTTTATTCTCTTATAATCTTCCTTCCTCTCTTTATCCTTTTTCTGCAGTATCCCTGCTTCCTTATCATCATTTGAACATTGCTTGGAGCAGTACCATCTAATAATTTTCCCATAACCCTTCCTTGAATTTTCACTTCTTATTAGCATTCGCATTCATTTATTTCAGATAAAAATAAACATCTATTTTTTATAAGTGCATCAGCGATTGAAGAATTTCGAATATCATGGGTCTGTTTTTATATGAAGCGGCCAAATTTAATAAGAAATTCGAACCCGCAGCCAGAAATGCTCCTCTGGTCCGAAATCTATGCAATCGTCGCCAAATCACCATAGAAGTGGAAGTGCGCTTCTATTTAACTGCACTGTACATTATTCATTTTATGCCTGCGAAAAAATGATAAACGAGAATAGAGGATATCGAGACCATATATCTTTGACCAGCCATTCCTGAGGTACATTTTGAGGTGCGTGCCCCCTGTGCCGAAAGAATCTCACATGATTTCCATCCGCTTCCTCTCGGATACCATCTGCATTAATTTTTTTTGCCTCACCATTACTGGGTCCCTTTATGCCAGGGAGTCCCTTTGCATTAATAATCTGCATTATCTTCATAGAGAGCCGCGTGCGCCATGTTCTTCGCTGCCTATTTTGGGAATTGAGGCATATCTCGTTACTTGCTAAACCTATGAGAGATCAAAAGCGAGGAAGCGAGATTTTAATTGATCGGGGAAGAATTCGAAGGAGCCCAGCGAAGAAGGCTTTCAGGAATGGCGTCGGGTCGAACTGCTTGGAAGATCCAACCTCGCCGAGTTATGCGAAAAACGATATAAGTCGAAGCGATCGATGATCTGTAACATTCAACTTGCATTTATTTATTTATTATGTATTTCCCATTTAAATTTTTAATTATTTCAATTATTTAAATAAATTTTTTAATTGAATTTGAAAAAAAATTTGCGAAAAGGATTTAGTGAAATTTTCTTTAAAATAAGTGTATTTTCCAGGAAAAAAAATCGATTTATAGAGAAAATTAATTTTCAATGTTTTTTTGAGAATTTTTTCTAAAAAACAATAAAAATTGTAATAAATAATTAAAAATATAAATTTAAATTCGCGCTAATTTAATTTTAATGATTGAATTGGAACGATTTCTACGAATGATTTATTGAAATAACTCGCTTTTAAAATTTAATTTTTCGTTTTTTTTGAATTTTTTGTCGCAAAATTTGTAAAAAACCAAATAAAATAATTTTAATTGATAAATATTATTTAATATTTATTAATTAATTGGTTTTCAATGTTTTTTCTGAGAATTTTTTCTAAAAAACAATAAAAAATAATATTTTAAATTTTTAATATTTTTTTTAATTGTTTAATTTACAGTAAAAATTATTTATTGGAAAAGAAATTCGTTGCAGAAGAGAGTGCGAAGAGAGAAGAGAAGAAGCACGAAAAAGGAATGAAGGAAGAGGAAAAGAGGAAAGGAAACAGGTAGTGAGCATGAAAAACATAGGAAATGGTACTTAGGCGATTGGTACTTATGTTTCGGTTGCATTTCCACCTCCGTCTTGAAAGATGACATCATGATGAGAGCTATACTCTGCTTTTTTCTCCATTCTCACCTCAAATAGCTTTAGCGAAATGTTCGTCCTAATAGCCAGAAGATTCGGCCTTACTGGTATTTTTGCTGTGAGGAGAGGTGCATAATTTAGTTTTGCAAGACTGACGAGAAATGGCTTAAAGGCCTAAGGGCCTAAGCCTTATAAAAGCCTTATAAATAAATATTAAAAATTCTCTCAAAAAATTTTTTTAACTTAATATTTTTTTGTTTTTAATTTTACTTTTTTTAAAACTATTGCGTCTTTCGGAATTTACGTGAGAATTTTGTTTTTATTTTTATTATCACTTTTTTGAAATCTTTTTTTCCACTACATTCTTATTTTTGATTTAAATTGATTTAACCTAATTAATTAATTTAAATTTTAAATTTTTATCTTTTTTCCTTGTTGTTTTTATTTAATTTTACAAATTTTTATTTAAAAATTAAAATTAACATACTTTTAACAATAATTAATATAAATTAATTATTTTAATAAATTAATTATTAATATAAATTAACAAAAATTACTAACCTATGGAAAATTATCAAAAAAACCAGTTAAAAATTATTAATATTATTATTTTTTGTATTTTAAATTGCATTTGTCCTCTTGAGATTGTAATTAGAACAATAATAAATTATTAAATTCCAGATCGATGGTGATGAACGACGAGAATGACGAGGAAAGCTATCGATGGAATCGTGAAACACGTCTTATGTTGATTAATGAAATTAAATCACGGCCAGCATTATGGTCGCCAAGTCATGAAAAATACAAAAATCGCTTACTCACTTCAGAAATGAGGCAAGAAATTGCAAAAATTATCTCGCAGTACACCGGTGTCTCATTTACAAGTAAATTTTTCAATTCATCTTTTCCGTTCTTTTTTAATTTTTATAAAATTTTAATTATATTTTAATTAAAATTTATATGAAAACTTAATCAATGAAGCGATGTTTTCATTTTCAAACAAATAATTCGATTTTTAATATTCGATTTTTCGATTCTTCTTTATTATAATTCATTAGTTAATTTATTATTAATTTTATTTATTTTCATGCGATGAAATAGCGCTTCAATGGAAATATTTGAGGGATCAACATCGTAGATATTTGGGCAAATTGAAAAACTATTTACTTAATGTGGGTTCGGCAAAAAATCATAAACCACCCGTTTATCACTTTGCTTCGCAAATGGAATTTTTGCTTAGTGTTGAAAATGGCGATTGTTCGCCGTACGTTTTTTTCTAATATTTAAATTTACATTTTTAAATTACTATTTTTTCCTGCATAAGTCGATTTATTTATTTAGAAAGCGATCGTTATTCGGGTGAAAGTTTTTAGAATTCTGGATGTTGGTTTCACGCTTAGTCATCCCGACCACCAACCTTATTGCTCATCATCCGATCAATATATTTTGAAAGAAGATTGCGAAAGACCTGTTACTCCACCATCAGTTCCTCCTTCTAACTCCGTCTTTACCGAAAATAACAAGCGTAAACGACCGTGGTCATCTGTGGAACAAAATGAGGACGAAGAATTTATGCGTGATAGTTTATCTGTACAAAATATTGCGAGATTTTCGAATATCATCATTGACGAATTTGGCGAATTTGGTAATTTTTTATCTGATAATTTTTGTTCTGACAAATTTTAATGCCAATCAAATCCAATGTTGCTTAGCTTGATAAATTGTCAGAAGTTATAATCGAGTAGTGGTGTGATTGAAAAGTGGATATTATATATATCAAGATAATAATTGAATATGGTAGAATTTTTTCTTAAATTTTTGTAATAAATTTATATAATAATTTATATAATTTATAAATTTAAATTTATAATTTTTTATAATAAATTTTTATAATGAATTTTTCTCTTCAAAATTCTTAATTAATTATTAATAATAATTATTGCAGGGATGAGAGCAATAAAAATAATTGAATAATTAAAGGATACAAGCTTCTTTTGGATATTTTTATTTTGAGCAATGAACATTTTTTTAAGGCTTAGTAATAGCAAGTGCAATGCGTCGAGCGGCATCTCTGAATCCAATGATTGCCCAACAATTTAGAATTGATATAGGAAAGAAGTTAGTGGAAATTGAAGAAAAAATTATGGAGGTATCCTTTATCTTTTTTTTCATAAGACCAATTTAAATTTTTTTTCTAAAGGTAAATTGCCTATGTTTTCTATATTTTAATTTCCTTTTAGTTTTAAAATTTCTATATTATGGATGCTTTTTATTCTGCAAGAAAAAAAAAATTAAAGAAAATGAATGCATTAAAGAAAATATTTCATAATTTTTCTGTCTATAATAATAAGCAGTAAATTATAGGCATTACGAGAAGGAATTCATGAAAATCATGTAAAAGAAAATTCAAGATGGAACTTTTCGCATGATACAAATATTATTTAATACATAAATCGCGATTTTTCATCTATCATATTCCATATCTATTTATTACTAAAGTTTCTTCCAGTTTTCACTCAAGAAGCGGCAGTTATTTTTATACAAATATTTAAGAAATGATGTAACTTTTTAAATAAACTTTTAAAACTTTTTAAATTTTTAATAACGTAAAATATATTAATAACGTAAAGGCAACTCCTTGCGCCTGCGTGCGAGAGAAATAATCCCCAAGATAGAAAATATGAAAGCTGCTAATCCTAGTTCTCTGAAAAAAGTCTAATAAAATAAAAATAAAAAAAATTTGTTCAGAGCAACATTGAGGTAATTGTAAATTACTTGTAGAACTGAATTATGTAAAAAAAAAGAAACAAACCCATTAGAAGGCCAAGAAGAAATCTGCATAAATACACCAACATATCCTTCTTTGTTCTTATTCACAATGTCGTCGACTGCATTCAGTAATTCTTCATAGTTTCCTTTAAAATGCACGCGTATATCAGGCATATGCAATTTAAGAAAAGGCCGTTCTTCATACTGAAATTTTAAAAAACTTTCGATGAGTAATTTTAAAAAAACAGGAAATTCTGCCAGAGTGAGAATCGATTATTAGTCCCTTATTTTGTTTTATAAAAATCCGTGAAAAAATTCTATCCTTATTCATCTTTTCTTCTAACAGAGTTTTTCTGCTTACTCATTAAAATAAAATAATTAAATTGAGGAATTGACTAAAATAATTAAATTAAATGGAACTTACCAAATTCTTGTAATTCTTGTAATCTCTTAGCCTCCTTTGATTTTCATTCGTTTCGCTTCGTAAAAGTACATCACAAGTTTTGAACCATGGATGAAACATAATTTTAAGTACCTGCATAAACCTCAATATACCTTTTTAAACCTTTTTAAGTAAATTCGCAAACTTCTAAAAATTCATAGTTTACTACTGAAAAATCACCGAAATTATTAAATCTTCTTTAAATAAATGTGGAATATAACAATCATTAATTTAAAAAAATTAGAAAATTTCCCATATTCCCTATGTAATTTTGTTTTAGCGTGGAAAGTACCTATTCCTCCAAAATCAAATAAATTTTTTGGAGATTCCTCCAATACCCAAAACCTTAAATCTTCAAAAACCAGCTGTACACCCATAGTGATGTCCAGACTCTTCAGTCCTTTTAGATCCTGTATAAATCGCGTAAATCTACTGCCGATTCCTTTTCCACTGACGTATGAATTACTGGGGTTGTGGTACAGTTTGGAGCGCCGATGCTGAGAATCTATGTTTGGCAGTAAACCTATCCTTTAGAAATCCGGTTAGTGCTGGTGATTAATCTGTATTTCTATCGCTACTCCTTGATAGAATTTGTCTATAAATTCGTTTGGATCGACAAGTCAGCGGAGATAGCCTAATTAATAATGGTGTGGCCTCTTATATATATGACTGCTAGATTCCTTTTCCACTAATAAACCTTCTCTCTTAGTTAATGAAAATTATTTTACCAGCCAAGTTTTCATAAATTGATGCTTAACAACTACTAATAGTTGATAAGATAAATTAGTACGAAACTAGACCCAAAAATAGCTTTTGCCTCCGTCGGTTGGCAATACCAATTTTTGGAATTTTAGTACATTTACTGGAACTTGAAAAGAATGATAATGATGACGAATTTTTCGAATTTTTCGTTATAATTTGATAAGTTATAATTAGTAAGTTATAATATCTCCAAAATCCACCTAACATTCTATCAGTAATATTCTATCTATAATGTTCTTTTTTTAGAAGCAAATAATTAGACATTTTTAAATCTCGTATAATAAGATAGCAGCTCAAATTTTAGCGAATATTATTTCAATATTATTTTCAAGTTTCTCAGCCTTTATAGGTAAATTCAATTTTAAAAAATGGAATATCAAAAATGCAAACATACTTTTCCCTTAGACAAATAATTTTCCACAAAATTATCCCATTCAACTGCGGGTTTTTCGCGATTTAATATAAAATAGTTCCAAAATCTTGAAATTACACATAAAATACTCGTAAAAATGCATACAAATATGAAATATTCAGCTATTTCAATCATAACACTCCATCGGGCATCATTTATTCTATTTCCTGCAATTATTTTTTCATAAATTCTTTATGATAATTGTGTTTTTAATAATTTGAAATTTATTACATTCTAAAGATTCAAAATTACCAATATTGAATTTATAAGGTATAGTTATAATCTCAACTCACACACGGCTATCACATTATCATTTTATCACAACGTACTTTGCATAGAGAAGCTCCAACGTAACTATCTTTTCATGTGGATAGCACTAAGTAATAACCTTTCCAAGAAAGATTTACAGTAGTAAGAATGTTTTCTTTAATAAATTGTGACTAAAAAAAACTTCCTCAAAGAAATTTTAGCAAAAAAAATTAAAAATATTTCAAAAATTAAAAAAGATAAGGAAAAGAAACTTTCCGAGGTACCAAGCAACCAGCATCAAGCACGACTATCATCGGATTTCCTATTGTGCATTCCCTTTTTCTCATTCTCCCACGCTATTCTATTCTTGTGTTTTTTCTCTTTTAAGAGTCCTCACCATTACTGATTAAACTCGCTCCGCTGGCTTCTCGCACTGCACGAGTCCCTTGCCGAGGGGTCCCTTGGTGACAGATGTACAGGTGAGTCGCCAGTGTCATCGGTTTACTCCTGCAGGGAACAGCACAACAGCATCCGTGCTCCGAGTTGGGCGATGACCCACTCGGCCATTCCATGCGCCCATTTTTATAATTTTTAAAAAAAATGATAATTGCACGACGATAATTAAAATTTTTATGTTGGAATGCCAATTAAGCGGAAAATTTGTTAAATAGTAAAATAAGCAAATAAACCTAATTTTTTCCCATCAAACTTGTCGAAATTCTCATTTTTCGCGTTTTTCTGTTTTCGCAAAATTTCTTCGGGCGATAAAAGCGATGAAAATTTCGATCGCTGAATAACGACTGAACGACGTTGATTTATTTTCAAAAACCAATACGAATTTAAATTTTCCAAGGGAATTTTATTAAATAAAATTAACGACGACCATCGATAGTCATTGTGATGAAAATTTCGAACAAATCGGAGCAAATAATTATTTCTCCATTTTATCGAATGTAAATTACTGAACCACATCGTCGTAACCTTTTAATGTGAAAATTTTCTCAAGGTGACCGCAGTTAAGCTGTAAAGTAGTAAATATTATTCAGCGGATTTTTATGATTGTCTTTAAATCATTGTTGCTTTTCACTTATTAAAATTTTTTTTATTCGTTTAAATTGTGGTTTTTTTTATTTTCGGCAGTTAATTTAACGGTTAGGAATTAATTCCCTCCCGTAAAAATAATTTCTAATAGGTTCGCAGCTCCGACGCTCCATTTTAGGTTCGTAAATTTTGCTCCATAAAGATTAAATTTTAATAAAAATTCCTTAAAATGCGCGAAAAATTTATTAGTTTTTTTTTCACTGTTTATAATTATCGGAAATTATTGCTAATAATTCGAAGGCCAATAATTTTCAGGAAGAATTTAATAAATGGCGAGCTCAAGTAATTCGGATTCAGTGAAACAGCAATCGATTGATGACAATGAAAAAGAGGTTATTATTGTCGTATAAAAGCACGCTGAGAGCGCGAAAAAATGCTTGGAAATGGAAGAAAATTTTAATAAATGTGAAACGAAAAGCGAAAAAGAAAAATTTGCGACCTTTATTTTTGCGATTCGCTTATTTGAAAAATTCTTTTAATTCCTAAAATTTGATCTAAATTATTTTAATAAAATTAACGGAAATTATTTAGTGAGAGAATTGCATAGTTTATTTAAGATTATATCAAAGAATCCAAATTTGGATATCGCTCAACTGAAATTTTTGGTTAGTTTGTCAGAGCTCAATGCAGATGTTCGAGCCAAAAAACTTGACGAATTACTGCAGGTTTTTTTTTCAATTCGATGTTTTCTTTTATGAAAATATTCCTCATGAAAATGAAAAAAAAGAAATATTTAGAAATAAGAAATAAAAAGAAATGAAATATTTCTCATGAAAAATGAAAAAAGCTTTTTTCAATGGATTATAATGTGGCTGACATCTAATGAATAAAAAAAAATCAAGGACGGATATCGATTTTTTAAAATATTCATTTTATGTAAAAGCATTTTCAAAAGCATTCTTGTTTTCAATATTTTTAGGAATTATATGCTCATATATATTCATTTGCAACTTTTATTTCATTTTTATAGCGAATTTTTTTTTTCTCTTTAGCTCATAAAAGAAAATGAAATGGGACCTTATTACAAATTGGTTTGTGATGAAATACGAATAAATATTGATGATACGTTATTTAATGAGTTAACAAGCAAAAATGAGAAACGTCTTCAAGAAATTGATGCTGAAATCGCAGATGCAGAACAAAATCTTGGTTAGTTCGTCTCGGTATTTCATTTCCTTTTTTTGCTATATTCAACAGTCGATAAAAGATGAAAGAGGAAATACTCTCAAATAATCTAAATAACCTATTGATTAGAAAAAATAGAAAAGAATTTCATTTAAAGAATTTTCAGAAAAGGATTTAATCTAGAAAAATTTAAGGAGAAAGCGAAGTAAGACAGGCATATCTTAGAAAAAGTGAATATTTATGTCAAATAGGCGATAAAGAAGCAGCCACAGCCGCATTTCAAAAAACGTATGAAAAAACAGTCGGTCTCGGTTATAGAATTGATCTAATTTTTAATCTTATTCGCCTCGGATTATTCTTTCTTGATCACCAATTAATTAATACAAATATTGCTAAGGCGAAGGATCTTATGGAACAGGTTTTTCTTGAATATATTATTAAATAGCCGAAATCATAAAGTTAATTTTTTAAATTAAAATTGGACCAGGCTCAAATTTTTTGTCATTTTGAATATTGAAGTTAAAAAAAGTGCCAAAATGTTTTTGTCCAAAGTATGATTAGGAAACATGTATCTGTTACTGCGACTGAATCTTTTTAAAATATGCAATTTAGGGTGGTGATTGGGAACGTAAAAATCGCTTACGATCGTATGAAGGATTGTATAGAATGTCAATAAGAGATATGAAAGGTGCAGCCGCACTTTTTTTGGAAGCCGTACCAACTTTTGGATCTTATGAATTAATGTCATATGAAAATTTGATCTTTTATACAGTAATTTGTGCTGTTTATGGTTTGTTCTTTATTAATTTGAATTCTTAGACGGAAGTTTTCTCTTAATTTTATTTAATTCATATCTGTTGCAGCACTTGATCGTCCGGACTTGAGGTCAAAAGTAATAAGATGTAACGAAATACAAGAACAGGTTTGCTTTTTTTCGTTATTAATATGCTCATCTCAGCGATGGAATTAATTTTTATTGAATTTATTCCTTTCTCAATTTTTTTTAAGCTGACTGGTGGTAATGAAAAAGGCGCTTTAGCTGCTGCTCGACGATATCTTGAAGCATTTTACTGCTGTAAATACGACGAATTGTTTGTTGTGCTCGCTCAGCTCGAAAACGAATATTTGAAACTTGATAGATATCTTACTCCGCATTATAGTTTTTATTCAAGAGCTATGCGTTTGAAGGCTTATGAACAATTCATTTCACCATATAAAACAGTATTTTTTATTTTTAGTTAGAGCAATTTGCTTTTGAAGTTTTGATGGCATTGGACATAGTTTATATTATCTTAAGGTGCGTCTTGACATGATGGCGAAAGATTTCGGTGTTTCCAAAGCTTTTATTGATAAAGAACTTCATCGCTTGATTGCGGCTGGCCATTTACATTGTCGAATTGATGCAGTACGTGGCGTGATTGAAATGAACCATCCAGATACCAAAAATCATTTATATAGAAGTGTTTTAAAGTGTGATTTTTTCAAATTTGAACAAGCTATTTAAATTTCATTGAGTAAAATCAAATGAGTCGACGAAGATATCTTTAATTTGATTTACAAAAAACCCATAAAACTTCACAAAAATCAATTTCTCTTAAAAAAAAGCGAGAAATACCAAAATTTCTAAATGAAATAAATTTTTTTTTCAGGGATGGAGATATTTTATTAAATCGTATTCAAAAATTAGCGCGTGTTATAAATGCGTAAACTGAAAGGAACGGCACATTTCATTGAATATCAGATAATTCTTTCTTAAGATTACTGTCAATTTGGACAAATTTCCGATGAACAAGATTCGTCTCAAGTTTCTTTTGTTACCACTGGCTTTTTTGATTTTTTAAATTGCCCTAATTTTATAAAACATTTTAATAAAATTTCGAATACCCGTACATAATATCACTGCTGAAAAATTATAAAAGGCAGTTAATATCGCTAAAGAGGTAAAGAAATATACAAATGGAATACAATAAAAGAATTTCTGAGGAATAAGTTATAATCACTGGAAATCTAAAAAAATATTTCAGAGAATAAATCAGGTTTTTTTCAGATTACCAGTTTTAAGAAATACAGAAAACTAAGCCTTATTTATAAAATAGATTAAAAATTACCATGACAATAAATCGTTATAAATTATCAAAATACCGAGAATTTGAAAATTATGGTTGCTAGTATTTAAGAATGTTTTTTTAAAAGAAACATTGCTTTTCTTGCTGGTTTTTCAAATTTTCCCTAAAATGCAGAAACTCACCGATTCATTAAATATTAAATAAAATAAAAAATAAAATAATTAAATAATTAAATATAAATTTCTCAAATAACTTTTTCGTTATCTATTATATGCGCTTAGTTTTATGCTTCCTCTTTTTTTCTTTTTTTCACATTTGAACCATCCACATAATATTTGCGGAAACGTATATGCCAAGCAACAGTTGAACATGCATTGATAGTACGAAACTGATGAATTACTTTCCTCGGAATGAAATAGGCATCATTGGTTTGCAACTATAATTAAAAAATGAAATCACTTCTGTAATTATACTGTGATTAAAAAAAAACGGAAGCACACTTCTCTGTCAATAAGTATGTCTTTAAGTGTGGGAGATAAATTTATCAGAATAAAATGCTGGGCAGAGTATATTATTTTTCAGGCCATCTCAGCGAAATTTAATAGATGGATTTTTTTAATCATGGATGAAAGAAGCAAAATTTATTCTTTTTTTCCGATAAACTTTATTTTAATTCTCACTTATCAAAAATAAAGCAAAAACAAAACCTGGAGATGAGTGTATTTTATACCTTCTCGCCTTAATTGATTTAATTTTGCTTCTCCAACCCATTGAAGACACTAAATTTAATTGACATAAGAAAAATCGCAAATTTTTGAAATATTTTTAAAGGAATAACCTGAGATGAGGGTGGTTCGTATGGATCAAGGTGCAAAGAATACATAACATGATGGAAGTTGTTTGCATGAAAACATATGACATCTTTGACGATAGGTTTTTCAGTCCTAAAATTAAAATTATTTAAATGCAAAATCAGCAGTAATATAAGCACTAAAAAAATGAAGAGAAATTAAATTGAAAAGACCTTTGATCGTCAACAATATTCTGAAGAAAACCAACGGCTGCAGTAGGATAACCATCTCCTGTATGATCACAATGCGAATGCGTTCGATCTTCGAAAAAAATTTCGCGAATTTCTTTTTTCCTATTCATTAATTTTATTTAATTATTCCATTAAATGAAGAAAAAGAACAAGAAAGGAAATTGAAAGATTTTTGAAAATATTAAAACGCAGACGAATACCTGTAGGACTGTCGTTTGGTCGAAGCACCAGTGCTTCCAGAAGCGTTCGACTCATAGTCAAGAGGAACAGTCTGAAAAACAAGAAAGTATCAAGAAAGATTGAAACAAAAAAGATTGAAAAGCAAATAAAATATAATCCCGAATTCATTTTTCCCATAAACATAATTGAAACTCAAAAATAATCAAAGGCTGTGCAAACATGGCAAATAATTTTTGGAAAAAAAATTGCGGAAAACTGACCTGTTCACCAGGACGAACCCAAAAAATTGGCCCGTCATCGCTCTCAGACTCTTCATGGTCCATTATGGAAAGTTCACTCCAAGGCATTAAAAGTTTGAACATGGGAAATGATTCAATCATCGCAATGAGCCTCTGGTAAAAATAAGATTTTATGGATAAAGGATCGAAAAAGTGGTTGTTACAAAATAAGAGATATAAAACATTATTTGTTCTTTATTTTTTTAAACAATATTTTACAAGCAAATATGAATAAAGAAAAAACAAACTGGACAATGTCGACCACATTCTTCTTTTTTAGCACCAACTAAACTTATTGAATGTAGTGGACCATATCTTAAATCCAGTTTATTTTGGTTGATATTATCCAAAGAAATTTTTTAAATACGCAAATTTCTAACAAACAAAATTTAAAAAATTGAAAAACCTGAATGTCCCTTCCCCATATGATTCGCAAACTTTCTTGAAGTAAGCTGATAAGGTAGTTGTAGTAATTTCTTGTTTATTGCTCAATGAACCAATTTTTACGGCCATTTGAGGATATTCATTGGCCATAAACCACAAAACATTCTATAAAGCAAAAATCAACGTGTATAATAAAGGCTTTCCTTGAAACAATTATCATTGATGCCACATTAAAAAAATAGTACTTTTTTCCAAATAGCAAATTAGATATATTAGAAAATAAGTGAATGTTACAGAAAGATAATTCATGGCGTTTTTCACAACACCCATGGCGAAAACTGCCACATTGTCCACTTCGGCAAGACCACAGTTAACAAACTGGGTCGCGAATTCTTTCTGACTTTCTTCATCGAAACCCTTTTGGATTTCATCCCAATCAGTTGCTAATATTGAGGCACCACCGTTTGGATGTTTGATTACAACGACATACTTGCGGAACTATAAATCAAAAGAAATCAAAGAACAAATCTGAATTTAAAGGATAATGCAGGGAAACTTTTCTTTTTTTTTCTGAAGATTTCCAGGAAATTTTGTTCTTTTCTTTTCAGGAGCACTCTCTACCCCCAATTAAACTCGTTTCGCTGATTTGTTGGACCAGAAAAAATTTGCCAAAGTCATTTAGCGATAGAAGTACAAGTGAATTCTTGACATTAACTGAACTTTTGAAGGACAAATTTTCTTTTGAAGGACAGGACTCCTACAGGGCGCAATCCTGGAACTCTGAACTGAGCAAAAAACCACTGAACCATTCTATTTCCTTTTCCTTTCGCCGAATAGTAATAAGCCGCTCGACAAAATAGTGTGCTGGCCAGATTCAAATGACATTTGATTTTCGGTTTTGATCATTTAACCCCTAATGCATTATTTTGTTTAATATAATAGAAAATCGAAAAGATTCAAAACATGCAAATTTCGCTAAATCTAGAAAAGCTAGAAATCTACAAAATCTAGAAAATCTAGAAAAGCTGAAAAGTTTAAAGGATTGAAATTAAAAAAAAAAGATTTACTTGGCCAATTTCAAAATTAAAAATATGAACTTACTTCCTCACTAATTTGATCTAGTGCAGTTTCAATGGCTTCCGATCTTCGTCGTTTTCTGGATCTTCGGCCAGACATTTCGCCCTGATTTTCTGGTGACTGTTCGACAGTTTCCAGTTTTTGATTTCGATGAGGAACATTTGGTATCAAATCAGAACCACTAGGAATACATGGTCCGTGCCACTTGTATTCACTTAATAAATTATATGAAAATAAAACAAAAAACCATCTGATACACTATATTTTATCTGTTCAGTGGAAATTCTTTGAAAAAAATAAAAGCTACAGTTTCCAATAATTTATCAATCTTTTAGCGAAAAAAAGGGAAAACTGTTATCATTTTATAAATTTTACTAAATTTTAAAGAAGAATTAAGTGAAAAAATTAAAAAATTTGACTCAGAATTTTCAATTTTCAAAAAATTTCAGCAAAAAAAAACTAACTCATCCATATTTCTCTATCTTCACTAATCTTCTAATTTCACGACAAATTTTGTTGCAAACTGAAATTAAATTTGCACTCTACTTTAATATATTGTTGTTCAAATAAAATAATCCCGGAAAGAGACAAGAAACTTCAACGTGAATAATAAAAATTTTCATCTAATTTAAATTCATAGAAAAAGTTACAACTTAATAATCAAATGAATTTTAAAAATGCAAAAAAAATTTATTTTATAAAAACTAGTAATAAAGCAATAGAAAAAAAATCCGCTAAGATTTTTTTGATTCCTCTCTGGAAATTTATAAATTTCGTAAAAACTAATTCCATAAAATAATTCGGATTTCATAAAATTCTTTACAATATTCAAAAAATATTTGAAAATAAAAGAAAATTCCGACTTTTGAAATTATTCAATAAATAATTAATTAAAATAATTTATTTCTGAGAAATCTATAGCAATAAACAAAAAAAACACGAAGAAATTTTTGCTTATTAATATTAATTATTATATTTCTTGAATAACAACAAAGTTTGAAATTCTGAGGTTCTATTCCCCGCAGGAGTAAACCTGTCCAAAAATCCGGGTGATACTGGCGACTCACCTGTATTTCTACCGCCAAGGGGCATATTTCCAGTGCGACAAACCAGCGGAGCGAGTTTAACCAGTAATGGTGAGGACTCTTTAAAAAAATTTCTTGAATAAATAAATCACAAAATCCAAATTAAATTAATAAATTTAATAAAGTCTGAAATTTATACAAAATATATATTCAATTAATAAATTTATGTAATACATTTGTATACAAATTTATATAGTGAAACAATAAATAAAATAAAATTTAATAAATCGATAAAAATTAAAATAAATAGAAAAAAACACACACAAAGCAAATAATAATTACTAAGCAAATATAAAAATAAATTTTTCTAAAAGAGAAAAATAATTGAATAACTAACTCGCTTTGTTTCATCTAAAACTCGAAAAAGAACTTATTTTTTATTATTAAATTTGATGAAACTGAACGATTTTTTATCATCGAGCAAATCGTGATATTCGTTCATTCGACTACAATAAATAATATTTGATAATTTATAAATTGATGAGGTTTATTTTGAAGAATGAATGAACATGTATAGCTCACGTCACAAATAAACATTCGTTTTCACTTCATTATTGATCTATTGATTAAATCCAAAGAGAAAAGTTCGAAGCGAGGTCTTCTTGAAATCACCGCGGAGCACTGCCACAAGAAAAAAAATAAATGAATTAAAAAATCAATTAAATAATATCTAAAATAGCACACGATGGTGCCTTGGGGGGTTTCTCCTATAATTGATGTGCGTGGTACCATAAGGCATTTTGGATTTAGGAACGTTCGCCTCCGACTCAAACCTCCTCCCTCCCCCCTCTCTCGGCCTTTGCCCACCTAATTTATAAAAACGCTCCCTTATAAAAGTAAATGTCAGTTTTGAAGAATAAAGAGAAATATTAAATTAAAATTATGCAAATTTTGAAAAATGCAAATTTGAGCAGAAAAAGAAATAAAACCAATTAAGGAAAGTAGAAAATAAAAAATAAGAATTCCTAATTTAATTTTTAAATTTACAAAGTATTTTCCTTAGAAAACGCGGCCACGGCCACTAATTTTTTTGCACTCCAATGAAAATTTTCATTTTTTTTTTTCAAATTTTTCTTTGGGGAAAATTCAATGGTTTATTATTTATTATTTACAAAATAATATTTTAAAAATAATTTCCAAACTTATTTTTAAATTTGTTGTTTTCTTTCTAAATAGCGGTTTTATTTGAAATATATAATCAATCACTTTATTTCTCTTTCTCCTTTTAACTGATTTGGTTGGTACCATTCGCATTAAACGCCATGTACTCACGTAGAAATAAAAGGCTCGAAGGAGAGGCGAGGGGAAGTGAAATTGCGAGATCGCTTGAATGCTCTTAAAATCTCAGCGAACTGCTTGGCCATTTGTCCACCGTTCTCATAGCAATTTCAGAAAAATTTATTGTCTTTTTATTTTTTAATTCGACTCTTTTTTAAAATTTTAAAATTATTTGCTGCGAATTTAAATCGTAGATTGACTCGTTTGACTAAATTCCATAAAATATTGAATGTTCTCGATTTCACCTCCCAGAATGCTAATTCGGGAGGTACAGCAAAGGGGGTCGGCTAGCCGAGCGAGCAGTCAAATCGCTCAGCTCAGACTTCATCGCTTGTCTCCGGCATGAGCAACTGCTAAAACAGTCAAGTGGTGCTCGTGATTCGCTTGTCTTAGTCTCGCTTGGCTGTGCAATATCTGCTAATTTTTATTTGTTTTAATAAATTTCGATTTTAATCGTTCTATAGTTCCATTATTGAAATTCCTACGTGCATTACGTGTAACTTCAATTCCGCCTTGCTTTAAGTTATTTATAATCTTCTATATGTGAGGAAACACGATGGCCGTGACCTCAACTAGCCATAAGGGACACCACATGACCTTACGACGATAAAGCCCCAGCAGACTCCATAGGAACCGTTATTTCCCCTCCTGCTATAGGCAGTAGGCTGTAGGCATGAGGTTATCGGCATGTTTATTCGTCCATTCAGTTATTTTGTTGAGATTTTGTTTCCTCCCTCACATTTTCTTCTATTTTTTAAATTTTTATTTTTAAGCTAAATTTTTTAATTTCTCAGCACCTGTTTTTTTTTTTTTATTCGTGGTGTTTACGCAGTGTTCCACAGCGTAAGCGAAGATCCACTATACTGTTTGGTATCTGAATAACAATTACCAAAATACCCTTTGATCAGCGGCCTTCTCCACTGATTTCTGCGATGAAGTTGTTGAGCCAGCGAGCCAAATGTCGACGAAAGTGCCGGCGGATCCTCATAACCATCCGATTTTCATGTTTATTATTTCGCTATGGTCGTTTATTTTTTTTTTCTACAGAAGGGAAATTTAGAAAATAATTAATGAAATAAATCAATTTATAAGTCAAAGTATTATAAAAAATTTTAGAAATTTGGCAATTTTAATCATTTTATTTTTATTTTTTATTTATTATTTTCTTTTTGAGTAAATGTTTTAGAAGTTTTCAGGGCTACGGCCATATAATTTTTTTCTCCAAGTACTAAGTGTTTTTTATTGATCCGCGAAATTAATTTTTTTCCTGTAAAAATCAATCCTTCGAGGCTGCATTTTAGCAATATTCAACAGTCAGATAATTTCTCTTGTTCAAATTCTTTAATGTTCAATTTTTTAGGGTTTTTCGTATGAATTCTGACAGGGGGTTGGGGGAGGGGGGGTTATTTATGTATTTTGCTTATTTTGGCGTATCGATGTCGTCTATTTCTCCTAGTTTTTCTTAAATTCTAACTGAAAGTGGACGAATGGGCACTTTTTCTTCTCATGACGGTATTTTGCTTTTGTTTCCTTTTTCAACTAAACTATTTTGTATAAAATGTTCAGATTTTTTGCTTCTTTTCTATAGCTTAAATTCGCCCTGCTTAAAGGAAGAAATTTATTTCCTTTTCATTTTTTATTTATTTTATTTTTCTATTTTACTTTATTGGTTATTTTTCTTTTTTTTAGAGAAAATGTAAAAACTAAAATTATAAAGCAAAATCGTCGCAAAGTAGTGGTTTACTTTCCTGCGTTTTAGACCTCCAATAAAGTCGTTTCTCTTCTTGCTTTCTTTCATTATTATTGTTTGTGAATGAAACTCTCAGTTTCCCACTATTATTATTTTGTCGCTTTTTTGATAATAACTATCCTTATTTCCACTCTAATTTTGTAAAAACAATCTCGTCGAATTTCTGAAAATTAATTAAACTTTGTCCTGTCCTTGTAGAAAGTTTTCTCTCGTCGGCGACTGACTTTTTCTTTTTTCTGCATCTATTTTCTAAAATTCAGCTTTTCTTTTTTGCGGGTCCGGTTCATTTTAAAGCGTTGTTGTGGGTCCATTTTATAAAATTTTTGCGCATTTTTTTTATTTTTGTGTAAAATTTTTGCTTAAGGCTTGTTTTACTGACTTTTTTTTATTGTTTATTGTTTCGTTTAGCAGTTTTATTCGTCTTAGAATTCCATTGTCCCAATTCATTAAGTTAAAATTTTACAATTTTTTCTTAACGCTTTTTGGTTTCCTTTTTTTTGCATTTGTGCGGGGAAGTCTAAGTTGTTTTATTAATAACCAAGCGCGATGTTAATGATGCAGTTTTGCTTGCTTCTTCCTTAATTTTTTCCCAAATCTTTTAAAAATTTTTTATTGAATAAAAATTAAATTAAATGATCGTTTTTTAGCAGAAAGAATTTATTGTTATAAGGAATTTCGTCGTAATTTCGTTGTCAGACTTCATTGTTAATTTTTGATTTCTAATTATTTCCAAGTTTATCCATAGCAATGAGTGAACCGGCTGCAAAAAGGGCGAAACTCGGTCATGACGCAAATGGTGAAGACAATAAGGGATCTCGGGTTAGCCTTTTAAAGCATTTTTGCTCAAATTTCGTCAGATATTTATAAAATTTGCGTCATAAAATTATTTATAAAAAAATATAAAATTATTATTTATAAAATTATTATAAAATTATTATTAAATTGTTATTTATAAAATTATTATAAAATTATTATTAAATTGTTATTTATAAAATTTAAGGGAAAGTTTCAGGTCATCAAAATGAATATTACATTTTAATATACTTCAGTCATAAAATTGATTGAACTGATTATGCAGTTTTTCTCCAGATTTTTCTCATTTTTCTTATTCATTCAGTTTTTCATTGAACGAATATTTTAAAGCATCACTTTTGATAACAGGATTATTCCTGTTAGGGAGAAGGATATATAATATTCAATTCAGCAATATAAAAAATATGCACATGGCCTTAGTGCCTTCTTCGGAATAAATATTGCCTTGTACATTGTGTTTTAAGGTTCTTTTACTAAAGTTAAGTTTAGTCGATTATGGGGATGCTAAATGTAGGCAGTATATTTCAGTATTTATATCAATATTTTCAGCAAGATTATGAAAATGCAACACAGAAAATTCTGGAACAGATTGATCAGGTGCAAGGTGAAATTGATTCATTGAACGAGAAAGCTAGCGAAGAGATATTAAAGGTTATCAGTATTTTTTTCTGCTTTTCCATAAATCCAATATTATTGCATTGATCCGAAGTCTGTAGGTTTATAATAATTTTATCTCTGCAATCGTTGGAAATTTTTGTATTATAATTCAACATTTTTCCTTATCTTTCAGGTTGAACAAAAGTATAATTCGCTTAGAAAGCCGTTTTTTGATAAACGTAATGAGCTTGTCAAAAAAATACCCAATTTTTGGGTCACTACGGTAAAATTTTGGTACTTTATATATAGAGAAATATAATATTCTAAGGTTTCGATTTTTATTTTGTGGATTGCATTTTCTTAGTTTATTAAATGAGTTGTGAAAATTTTTTTCAATTTTTCAATGCTTTTTAAAATATTCAAATCTCAAGAAATATGCTTGGTGCTAATTGTCAATTTTCATTTATATTCATTTTGTTTTAAATTCGAAAATGTTGTAAATCGAAGAAAACGCTGGTGCTTCTTTATGAAAAAAGATAAATCTCTTTTTTTTTGTGTATCTTTTCTAGAATGTTATTTTGATTGTATTTTTAAAGTCATTTTTTTTCAGATTGTGAATCACCCAAATATAAGTGTGCTTGTTGACGAAGAAGAAGAAGAATGTCTTCATTATTTATTAAGAGTGGAGGTTTTTTTTATTTTTTTAACTCTTTTCCTATTATGAAGATCAAAATATGCCAGAGTCCCTTGGCAATAGAAATACAGGTGACTCGCCAGCATCACTCGAGTTTATGTTGAAATCACGGAGTTTATGTTGAAATCACGGTAAAAAAATGGAAGAATTGACCGCATTTTTTATTCATTCTGTACTTTATCCATAATTTTCATTGCAGGTTGAAGAATTTGATGATATAAAATCAGGATATAGGATCAAATTTGTGTTTGAAGAAAATCCTTTTTTCGAAAATGACATTATAGTCAAAGAATTTTTTCTTGGAAATGCCGAGCCTACTAGCACCACAACGGAAATTCGTTGGAAAAGTGGCAACAATATCATTAATAAGGTTGAATTAGCTTGAAATTTTATTATCGGATATTATATAAATCTTATATATTACATATATACAAATGCTTTATTCTTTTATCCCTAATTTGTTCCTTGCATTGTGTAACAAAATGAAGTTGAATATTAGATAAAAGCAAAACAGAATCAAGGCGATAGTCCTGGGCCACGTTCTTTTTTCATCTGGCTAACAGAAAATCAGGATGCTAGTAACGATGAAATCGCTGAGGTATCATTCACTTTGAATTGTAAAACGAATATTTTCGTCGATCTTTTACAATTTTTTACTTTGTTTTTGCAGTAGAAAGTCTGCACGTTTAATTTTCTACTTTTCTACTTTTATTTCAAGCTTGCTTTTGGAAAATTATGAAATTATGAAAAATTTTTATGTTATTTTTGTGTTAATATTGTATTACATATAACTAGAGTGTTCCGATTATAAATCCGTTTTTTTGCAGCTAATTAAGGACGACCTTTGGCCTAATCCACTGCAATATTATTTAATTCCGGATTTGGAGGCTGGGCCCGAAGAAGGTGATGATGATGATGACGATGATGATGAATTAGTTGGTTCGGATAATGATGAAAATGTGGAAGACTTAGAAGAAGCTGATGAAGTAGGTGAAGATCACGAAGATGACTAAAAAGCAGACATTATCTGCAATGATAACTTTTATTTTTCAAAATACGTTTTTTGGCTGTTACTGCCCCACTGATTTTGTTTGCAGGATGAGTTTGATCCAGTTTTATTTTTTTTTGACCGGTCTTTGAGCAGTAAAATAAAATCGGTGTTCTCAATTTAAATTTAAGAATTTAAAGGCTTATCGAAAATCCATGCAAGTGAACAAACTTTTGACTGTTAATTGTGCCAGCTTTTTTTCTCATCCAGCTTTGGTAAAAAAAAAATATGTGTCTAGCTCTTATTTTTCATGCCTATTTTTAATAGAGGAAATTCATTGTTGTAGATTCCAACATTTATAAAGATATGTGAATAGAAAGTTAAAGGTGGTGGCTTTTTGTCTGATGGTGACGAAGTAAGCTTTTAATCAATTGCAAGATTTTTATTATTTATCCGACCTCATTTTGCAAATTGTGAACTGTTTTTTTAAAATTTACTTGAAGAAAAATATTGTTTTTTATTTGCTAGTTTCATTTTATCTGAGGCATACTCAATCCTTATATATGGGATGTTTTTTTGTGTTAATCATTTCATTTTAAATTAAATTTATGGTCATAGTTATAAGTTAAGTGAAATATTGATTCAAAGTATTATTAATCGAGATTTTTTGCTTTATCTTTTTAATTCCAAAATTTTAAGTTTTTGTGAAAAATTGAAACACAATTCCAAATTTTATTGTTTTGTTATATTTTGTATTACCTGAATTTCCGTTTTATTCTAACGTGAACTTGGTTCGTCGAGGGGTTCTATCTACTGTTTTTTGGAAAGAATTTCCCAGTTTTTTATGTTAATATTGTATTACCGGTAATTACTTTCTAAATAATATTTTCCTCTGGCGCTCAATTTTCCTGCTGGAAAAGTACATAATATACCAAATAAGGGTGCTTTCTAATGTCCTCCAACTTTTCTTTATGTTGAACAAATGATTGATTGATTGAGTGCCAATTATGATCAAATTTCAAGCTAGTTGACAAATAAATGTTTTTTATTTATAGCATCGTTAAATACTACTCACTTATTTCTGAATTGTAGCGGAATTGTTTCTCTTTATTGTGAATCGATCGAAAGTTTTATGGAAATTGAGCTGCGAAAGTTAAATTTTCTTCAATGAATAATACGATGGGAAAGAAGTAAATTAATTCAGATTCATAATTAATTAAAATAATTGAATTGAAATTGTAATTTTATAACAGAGTTTTTCTAAATTTCATTGATTAAGCAGTTAGATTTGTTGATCATTTATTTTTATTATCGTTTTTTTCACTAATTACAAGATTACAATTATAAAATTATTTTTATTATCGAAAAAAGGCTAACTGATTATTGATAAAACAATTGTTTAATAGAAAAATCGACCAATAATAAATATTTTAAAATAGAATCGGAATTTTCACTGAAAGGAATTGAAAAATATGGAATCTGTTTGGAATTTGAATGGTGAAAAGGTGAAGAAATTGCGAAAAGATGGCTTCTTCGAAATAACCCTTGGTGAATGAATGGCAGTTGGATGAAATGATTTCGCCACGGAGACATTTGAGGATGAAAATAATGTATGGGTTGGGTCACTAGTAGTTAGAAATTCTAATGAGTTCAGAATGAGGTACGCAGCAGAACTGTAATATTGAAAAACGGATCCTCTTCTTTGGTTTAACATATTTCAACAACAAATATTGTTAGTTTCTTAGAAAAAGAGTCAAAAACAAGGTGAAATAAAAGTATCAGAAATTTTTCAAAATTTTTTGCGTTCCTCTTTTAAAATTTTGGATTTTAAAAATTTTTTGTTTTCCCAATTCTATTTTTTTATTCGAAAACAAAATATTTAAATCAATCAAATAGCAATAATATAAAAAACAACAAAAAACAAATTAATTTTTTAAAATTTCAATTGGAAAATTTGTAAATTTTATTATTTTTTCTTAAATTAACAAAATTTTATTTAATGAAAGAGTATATAACACCCATAGATTTATTGTAAAAAGTTCCTCAATGCACACTTTTTCCTTTCGTTGTTGGATAAGCGGAATTTGACAATACAAGTTTGCTGAAAAATTCAAACGAAAATAAAAAATTTTTTACGAAATTTAACGAAAGAAAAATAGAGAAATAAATGAAAAACAGTGAAAAGTAAGCAATAAAGTGAATCTAAAAGTAAAAATATGGCAAATAAAAGAATGCAAACCTAACTGCATTACCATTCCTTGGTTGAACATCGATGGCGTGGCTGCTCTCTTCGATAGAAAAATCGCCCTCTTCGCTGAAGCTGTTTATCGAGCGAGTGCGAAAATTTTGCCGAAAATTACGTCGATCATTCTTCACTTGCGTTTTCCTCACCACATTTGAACATTCCTCACCGTCGATTGGTAACTCAAACATCTTAATGAGTAATTCAAAAGAAGAGAGAGATTTTTGCAAAAGTTTTTCAAATTCGTATCGGTTAGACTATCGGTGGCCATTATTCAACATTTTTGGTTGGACTTGCTCTACTGGCTATTTGTAGAATGGGACAAATTTGCCAGAGAGGTTATTTTGGATAGCTGAGAGGTTATTTTGGATAGCTGAAGCATAGCTGAGACACAGCTAGCATCGCCTGATTTTTTTAACATTTCACCACTGCAGACACTAAAATACGACAGCTTTAGCAATACGCACATGGTTGTACTTCTTCTTTTAACACCTCTCACCATTGGTTAGATTGGCTCCACTGGCTACACGGGCAAGAAATCTCCAAGCTCTCGATCCGACGCCATCGCTAGCCATCCTTTTTCCATCTAAGTCCATTATCGCTGGTCCTCCTTATAAATTTTTTATCTTTCAAAAAAAATCTTATCTGTATCAGTCCAGGTCTTGACTGGTTCGCTTTTGACGCCAACCACAGAGTTTAGCAAGTAGCGAAACATACATCTGTGGTGGACGGTGGAAAATGTGCCTTAACCGAGGGCGACGCTCTGTGATAATATTAATACAGGTGGTATTTGAGCGAAGATATAATAATGTGCGATTTTATCTGTTCGACAGATCCGTAAAATGTAGAGTGGTCTTAGATATAAGTGGTAAAAACTGATAATTTGCTATTTTAATTGCAGCAAAATAGCAAGATAGAGCGAATTGCAGCTATATAGGCGCGATTTTTCGTGGTCGTGGTTTCGCTACCTTTATTTCTATTAATATTCGAAATTCTTCTTTTGACAGCTCTCACCATTACTGGTTAGGCTGGCTCCAACGGCTACAAGATTAAGACGCTTCCAAGCGGTGCGGTATGATGCCATCGTCGACAGTAATAGAAGCCATTCCTTTTTCCATCGTCTAAGTCCATATATTGCTGATCCACCTATACGTTCAAAATCTTCTCTAACCGTATCAGTCCAGGTATCGATTGGCCCACCTCGCTTTTGACTCTATCCATTATAATGTTTAGCAAGTAACGAAATATGCGACAACTCTAGTCGTGTACGACGGAGAACGTGCTCTAAGAGACATTTTATCAGTTTCTTGCACATGAGACGAAAATTTTATTTACATTAACCCTGAGTCCAATTCTCGTTGCAGTCTAATTCTCTGACACGTTATTTAGTATTATTTGCATTTCGTCATAACTGTCAGTAAAAAGGACTAATCATCAACGTATTTAAATTCTATGATATGATGCTCTGGACTGATTTGGACACGCCTTGAATGCCGACAAGCGGTGTCAATTACCTAGTCTATCATAGTTGAATATTGTAAGGGAAAGGACATTACCAGTTCTATCAGTTTCCCATATACACATATCTGCGCTAAATTTACGCTCATAAAATGCCTTTATGAGTCTAATGCTTTTCTCTCGAACACCATCACGTTCCATCACCCTTCAAAACGCCGCAAAGTTGATGAAACACGTGACAGCGGATTGCAAATATCTGAACCGATGTTGTCTTGTATTTCCATAAGTCTGTTGAGTAAAAAGGCAAAAATTTTCGCTGAAATGCCCAGTAGGCTGATTCCTTGATAATTGTCGCAGTATGTCCTATCACCTTTCTTGAGAATTGGGAGCGGAATTGCTTTGCACCAGTCATCTGGTAATATTTCTTTTTTCCATACTAGAGAGCACATTTTTTGAAGATGCTAATGGCGATTTGGCAATGCACTTTCCTTCCAACTTTCTTTTCGAAAATGGTCATTTTACTCCATTAATTACTCCATTAACGATTCACTCCATTAATATTTAATTCTATATGGGTGAAACTTGTAAATTTACTAAATACCTGCGTTTCATAAAATATATCACTAGGATTCGAAAAGAATGGAGTTGAAAATTTTGGTAATCGCTGAATTGCTGGATATTTATTAATTAATTTTTGATTTCGTCCTCGATAATGAAAGAATAATATTAAGCAAATAGCGATTAAACTACCGGCTGCAATCGCTGTAGCAATTGAAATTAATGCTGAAAAAAAAAATCTGTTAAAATCAAATTAGTGATAATCACAAAATTTGTTTGAAAATTATTTTTAAAAAATTTGAATTATTCAGTTAATTTGAATTACAAATTGAATTTTGGATTGCAACGAAAACATTTGAAAGATAAACCTATTGATGTAGCTTTTAAATTTTTTGTTGAGCTTATTTCTTCACTATCACCGTTATCAATATTACTTTCCGTTACTACTTGATCGGTTATTTGCAACATTAAAAACCAAGGTTTTAACTCGTTCGCTAGCATATTTTTACTTTCTTCTTCGAATAAGCGTCTAAATTTTCAGTTATTTTTATTTTTATTAAAAATTCAAAATTCTGGAAAAAAATTTATGAAATTACGAAAAATCCTTGAATAGCATTGAATTTAGTAGTATCAATGCTTATTACTATAAAATTAATTTCAATGTTTTGTCCCATTTTCTATGGGAATTTTATAAATAAAAGTAAAAAACTGAAAAAATAGAGAAAAACTCACTTAAATTCCCATTTTTTACAAATCTTATTCGACAATGGATTTATAGCATAACAATAAATTTGAAGTTGTGATAGTTCACCATTCGGCGATATTTTCTCAATCACTTTCTCGATCATAACTTTCGAACATGGCTCTATGAGACGTCGAACTGCATTTTTTAATTCCTAAAATAATTAGTTTTCTTTATAAAATTCAATTCAGCCATTTTTTGTTCAGATAATGCTTTGGAAAGATTTTGAAATTAGCATAAAAAGATCAAAAGAAAAAAAATAAGAAATTGTTGCTTAAATAAAGTGATAAATGATAAAAATGATGAGAAATGTTGAAAAAAGCAATAAAAACTAACTTTTTCATGGCTGATAAAATTTTCTTTATTTATATGCTCTCCAATAATCATAAATCTATGAACATCCTTAATAAGATTAATAAATAAATCTCTGCTTGAGCACAATTCACCACTATTCATCGGCGAATCACATGCGAAAACCTATCAAAATCTTATTTGAGTTATCCAATATAATCCAATAATGATTTAATGTTTTATATATATTGAGGATATCTTTTTTTTAATAGCCCATTTTAGATTATTCGGAATAAAATCTAAATTTTTCAACAGACTTCCGGAAAATTCGTATACGACTGATAGCATCATAAAAAGTTTTTTTAGATTAAAGTGGTTCTCACAAAAGCATCGACAAACTTAAAGCTTTCTTCCAAAGCATTGAAGAATTGTGATTTAAGTGCGCTGTAAGTAAAACTTCCTCGCCAGAGAATCATATACTGATGGAAACGTATATAAATCCTAAGCACCGCTTGAATTTAACGGTAGATTTACTACGACAAGAGGCGAGATACGATTCAAAATTTTAGAGTTATCAATTTTAAGAAAAGTCGCAAATTTTCGAAAATTCAACAAAAGATTTAGAATACGTTTAGAATACCTTCAAGTGAAAGTACGGTTCATGACCACCTTGAATAATTCGTCTGATATCATCATTTATAACAATCGTACCCATTTGATTGATCGCAAAATGTTTATAATCTGGTAAAAATCGATCTAATGAATATTTTATCTTACTATTATTGCCAGTGTCAGCATCAAATGCCTGTAAATTGCCAAATGACAATTAATTTTGAAGTCAAATTTAAATAAAATATTTGACTGTATTCTGAGAAAATTTTATTAATACGTCATATGGTACTTACAAATCATATTTTAGGATTCAGGACTTTAGGTTCCCATCTCCTTTTTTTCTTCTTTCAACTGAAGCAAAGGTGATTATTTGAATTTTTTCTTCTTAGATAATGATGAAAACTGCTTTGGAAGGTTTTATTGACCACTGCCCATGGGAATCTTCGTTAGAGAGTGACTTGATGGTAGATAGCAAAAAATTTTGACTTCACGCGGCAAAGCCAATAGTCTTTTTCTTTACGTTTTATAAATCATAAAAAATAATTTAAGTAAATTTATTGAAATTAAATGTATCTCAAAAAAAATTTACTTGAATTGTTGTGACATTCGTCGCAGCCTGTGAATCAGACTTTAAAATTGCAAATAATTTCTGCTCATCCTGATTATCGGTGATAATTTCCGGCTTATTATCATTTTCATCGGTCACTTTAATGCTTATAAGTGTGAAATCAGCATATGGCGAGTCTGACTGCACACTAACATTTAACTGGTACTCATCTAACATTTCTCGATCCAATTTCATCTGTATTCGAAGTTCACAATTACCATCAACTCCAACGGATATGCCGAACACATCTCAATGAATATTTAATGTTGAAGGCCCAACTTTGAAAGTAAAAAATGAAAATTGATGGGAACATGGAAATTAACTTGCTGACACTTAACGATTGATGTATTTATAAACCATGTTCTTGAAAAAATTAAATAAATTATCGTAATTATCAAAATAATTCTTTCAAAAAAATTGGGAATCTAGCTCATTCAATATAATAAATATACACCATTTTCATTTCCTGAGACAATAGAACAACTGATAAAGCGTCCATCGTTAGGCTTATTAAGTAAGGGAAGAACCATTGCAAGATAAGGCGGGCGAACTGCTTCAGATACTGATGTTCTATAAATGGCAGTTATATTATAATTTTATAATGCTTGTGATAATATTTTGATATTTTGATATATTATTTTTTCCACTGAATTTAGATGCCGATAGGTGAATATTCTATTATCATTCTAATCAAAAGAATAAACAGTGGCTAAAAATTAATTTATTAGCCTATTGCCTCGATTCTTTCATTATCTTAAATCCTAATTTTTTTACCGGATTATAAGGTATAATATCGACAAAAAACCAACGAATAATTGCGCTGAGAAAATTTCACAAAATTTCTGCTCGCAAAATTTCTAACAGTTGCATGATTGTTTAGAGAATTTTCAATATTTATAAGAACATTCGTTTCGGAAAATAATGATGGTGAACCACGATCATTTGCTTTGATTCGAAACTAAAAATAATTTTTCGATCTGAAAAATTTCGTTGGGAATTTTGATACAAACATTTTTATTATAATTATTATTTTTATCGTATAAGGGTAATTTCTAAATTTTTATCAGTTATATTCATGGGAATTTATCGCTGAGAATAAATTCGAAGAAAGAAAAGGAAGAGTTTCGATTCGATCAAATAGAAATGCATTGCATGCCTATTGATAAAAGAGATTTCCTATTCGTTAAAAGAGTTTCTGCCTAATATAATAATTTTTAATAATATTTATATTAATAAAATAAAATAAAAAAAGGAATTTTTGGATTATAAAATTAAAATTGCAACATTTCAAAAAAAAGCACTAATAGACTTAAATGGACGTTCAAATAATTGAAAATTTATATTTTTAAAAAACATCAAACTTACAGCAACTTTTTCCCTTCCGAGATTACTTAAATCTTTCTTAACGAAAATAATGCCAGTCGCTGGTTCGACATCGAAATACGACTCTTCTACATCATCTTCAGCGACTAAACTGTAGCGAACCTCGTTGTTCGGTTTCTTAATGCCTCGATTAATTGAGTGTAATTTTTAGAATTGAATTAATGGATTTATTCAAATTATTTTTAAATTTATTCAAATTCTATTTTATATATCGCAGAATTTATGAGTTTTTTTTGCATTATTTTCTTATTTTTCCTCCCCTTCCGGTAGCTCCTATAATTTTTGTTCATTATTTATTTTTATTTATTTATTTTTTATATTCTTATATTTTTTTATATTATATATTCTTACAGAAAACAAATAATTTTGTTTCCCTACTTTTGAATTTTTTTGTTTCCGAGAAAAAAATCAAAATTACATCTTTATCGGCATCAGAAGCCAGCACTTGTCCGATCTGTGTTCCTGCTTGACTTGTTGATTTCACTGAGAATATGTAATTGTTTGAAGTGAATTTAGGATTGTTATCATTTTCATCAGCAACATCCAGTAAGACAACGGCATAATGATTCATATTGGGATCGTTGCGAAGATTTTGCGCCTGAACAATTCAGCTTATTGACCACTATTTGTTTTTTAGAAAATTTCTCAATTAAAAAGTTAATTAGAAAAGAGGAAAAAATCTGTTCAAAGAGACGAAAAAATCGACAATGTAATACATATGTATGTAGCCTGATACTTAAATATTGCACACAAGCCGGAAAGAATGCGGATGAGTCTTGATGACTACCAAGGCCACTGTCTTAAAGGAAATTTGAAGCCTTTCAAGGAAATCATAAGATGGTACCAAAAGATGAACTGGCTAAGAAATAAACAAGAAAGAGAGAAAGATCAAGCAAGTTCATGACAAAACAAAGCTCTTCATCGACAGATGTACCATGGAAAACTGACTGACATTTAAAAATCCTGCTAATGGTTGGAACAAGGTGGATTAAGAGGCAACATTGCAGCAGAAGGCAATGCAAGAGCATGTACTAAGTACGAGATCCATCGAAGCAGTGATTCACCATACCAAAGAGAAGTGCAGTAAGAATATGGACTGCAAGAAAGAAACCATCTAATACATAATGATAGGATATAGACAGGAACATACTGAAAGGCATGACTGAGTATTCTCTATATGACTTAGACCATCCCAAGACCAGAGATATACTCAAAAAATCGAAATAATATGATGCTATAAGACTTCGCCATCCAAGAAAATAAGCAAACACTGGCCAATCAACCAGATAGCAGTAGCAGACTAGAAGCAAAAATCAGCACTGGGTGATAAATATAACAATATCAAGTGGCAAAAGGACAAAGGAATAAGAAATGATAGGGAAATGAAACATGTACTAGGGGAACTTGGATGACGAATTAGTCCCAGAGGTACTACGAGCATTAGAAACTGTGACCACTAAACTAGAAAGTGGTTTCTACAGATTCCAGGAGTATAAAGTAAATTCTGAGAATTCTAAGATTTTTTAAGATAAGATAAAATCACTTCATTCGTGCCAATTTTTATAGTGTAATTTGATTCGACTTCAGCATCCAATTTCCTTTTCAAATACAAGATTCCGTTTCGGCTATCTACACTAAAAAATTGAGAATTTTATGAACAGATTTATGAATACAATTTTTAGATTGTTTTTTAATCGCTTAAATTTCTTTACATTTTATGATAATCGCACCGACTAAGCGAAAATCTAAATTTTTTCAAAGATTAGTGAAATATTGAATAATTAATAATAATAATAATAATAATAATAATAATAATAATAATAATAATAACAATAATAATAATAATAATAATTAGATCACCTAAAAAGAGATGTGTCGCCAGAATTCATGGAATATGTTATAGTGCCAGGTAAACCATCTGAATAAAAAGCATGCAAAGTCGCTAACTGAATGTTTTCACGATTTTCATTAACCATCAATTTAAGCTTATTTGGTTCAAATATCGGTGCTAATCGTATTGGTTCAATAAACTGTTGTGATGATTGAAATCCAACCGTTGTTACGATTTCAACTGCTTAAAAAAATGGATTTTTAGAAATAAAATATTAAAAAACCATTAAAAATTTAATTGATTTAACTATTTAACTATTAACCTTAGTAAAAGGTATATTTTTGTAAGAAAGAGGAAATTATTTGACTGAAATAAAACTTTTATTTTAGTAAAAAAACTCGAACGGACAAAAATTCACAGTCGCACTCCACGACTTTACTTCAGAACTCGTTACATTCCCTTAGAATCCAGTCAATCCTCAAAACCCCAGGCATTCTTGTGATTTCATAATAGCAGCAAAAATGTAAATAAAAGGGAGATTTGACGTGAAGAGAAAGGAATATAAGAGAGGATTTGCTGTGAAATGAAAATGGAGAGGATAAGATTGCAGAAGTGAACGAGTACCAGCAGATTTTAAGGTAGGTACTTGACAGCGAAGACTGCGCTATTAATATTACTAAAGTGATATAACGAAGTTCGCGAAGATTTTCAGATATTAGGCGATATGAAAAGGGTTCCCACCCATTTACAACAGGCCGAAATTTCGTAGCTCATTACTGCTACCACGTCAACTTTCGATATACTATCATAGAAAATTCTTATAGAAGTAAGAAAGAAGATCATACGGATAGATGGCCTATTTGTAAACGTTGTGGTTGCGTCCTTGATTTCATTCGAAAGGGGTACTTGCTGTTCAAGAGGATTCCAACCATTCGCGAATGGCGATACATCGGTCTGTAGTTTTGCATTTAGAATATAATAGAATATATGTTTTTTTTTCGATTGCTAAAATTCGTTCTCAAAATTTAATTTGCATTTAAATAGCGAATTGACGAAGAAAATATGAATTCAAATTCTTTTAAAATTAAAAAATGGATTTACAAATTGGTGCAAATTTGGAATTCGTCCATTTATAGAGATTATCACATCAGCTCGACTTTCTAGAGGAGGATTTCCGTTGTCACAAGCAATGACTTCTACTCGATGTTCACCGAAATGTCCTTTAATGATATTACCATTTATAAAAAGCACACCATCATTGTTGATCGTAAATAACCTGAAGTCGATCGCAACAATTTATAATCCGTTTTTTTTTCTTGAAAGGAGTATGCAAAAAAATAGTCACTTGTCCATTGGAGGTGAAATTTTAAATTGAACTCGTCCATTATTTCCAACATCTGGATCTTTCACATTCAAATGACCGATCATCATGTTTGATGCTATATTTTCAACAGTATTAAAATCTACACGAATTCGAATCGGTTGTGGATCCATAAATATCGGAGCATTGTCATTAATATCCTAATGAAAAACTTCGTTATAGTCTTTTTTTGGGATACTTTATTTTTCTCTTCTATTTCTTTTACTCACTTTTACCTTATATTTATTTTTTTATTTGTTTTTACTATGTTTAGCTTTTTTTCAAAAAATGAAAATCCGGAATAACAATAAATATTTTTCGATAATTCAATCAAAAATGTTGGAATTATTACCGAACCAAATTACGAGTAGAACTAACCACGACAACAACTTGAATAATGGTCCAGTAGAGGTGTTGATCAGGCATTCTCGACCTTACCTCTATTTGCAAATTATATAAAGCTGTCTCTTCACGATCAAATGTACCAGTTGTTATGATTGTTCCACTGTGATTAATCCACAAGTCATTTTATGATTAATTCTTCTTGTAAATGTGAAAATTTTATTTTATATCAAACAATTTTTAATTCGCGGATGTTTATTTATTTTTACTAAAATAAATATTTTTTAGAGAAAATATTTTTGTTTTTTGTAAAAAACATACGTGTCCATGTTAATTGCGAATTTTTTTTCACTGTTTCCATCAGTAATTGTATAATAAATACGATCATTTCTCGAATTATCCTCAAATATAATTTATTTAATGGACAACAATTTTGAAATTTAAGGCCATATTCACTAACTAAATTATAACTAAATAAATTATGAATAGAATTTTATAAATAATATGTAATAATAAAGTCGATTGCACTAATATTCATAAACAAATTTCTTCTAAAATAATATCTTAAACCTTAAAAAAAATAAATAATATCTTAAACTTGCTATAATTAATTAATGCAACAAAAAATTATTTATAAAATATATACAAAATTTAGAATAATTATAATATTTATGATTATATTACTTTATATAATTATAATATTATAATAATTTATTTCTAAACTATAAAATAATTATATAAAACTAAGATTTGCATAGCATTCTTTGCAATTTTTTCCTTATTAAACTATTTATTAAATTAAAATATTGAACTTTTCACTATTACTTAATTTAAATATTTAAACTTTTAAATATTTAAACCGATAACAAATCTTTAAATATTCAAAAGTTGATAAAAAATTTTTAAACAATCAAAAATCGATAACATACTCCAAGGGATGTTATCACCGAATGTGGAGGTGTAGCTTCGCTAATTTCTATAACAAATGTTTGGATAGATTCTGAAGGTTTTCTCATTTCTGAAAATAAGATGCGAATTACCTTCCAAATTGCTTCATTATTAATAATATACCTTAAATACTATTGGTTATTGCTAAGCATATCAAAATTTAATCATTAATATACTATAAATTGCTCCTTCCCATGTTTTTTTTACTACATTCATTCGCTCGGTGTCGTATTCGATATATTTTATTGTTTTATATCCAGTAATTCTCGAAGAAAATGTTTAAAAAATTATCGATTTTACTCGGGATTTTTGTAGAAAAAATATTTCCAAAGGGTATTAGCGTGTTCGGATTCATATCGAAATAAGTCGGATAATTTGTCGGATCCGCATGAACCAAGACGAAAGCTTGATTCGAAAGTCCTCCACCGTCAGTCGCTTCGATTATTATCTAAGCAAAATTAGAATCTTTCTGATTATAAGCCAGAAAAAACTATTTATAAACTCACAAGCCAGAAAATTGTTATTGTTTGCCATTTTTTAAAATTCAACTTTTTTAGATTGAATTTTTAAAAAATTTTTAAAAAAGTGACCAGAAATATAGTAATTTCTTAAATTTAAAAAAAAAGAATTTAGTAGGAAATAAGAAAAGTCAAACTTGGTATGTGACATTAGGTTGAAGTGCCCCCATCGCGATCAATTTTTTAGAGTTCGAATCATACCGAAAATGCGCAAAAGCATCCTCTGTCACTGAAACAATTTTGTATTCGATTTCAGCAAATCTTCCAGTATCTTTATCGGTCGCTATCACCTGAAATTCCTTTCATTTTAAAGAAATCAAGAATTTTGACCTTAAAATATTTTTACAAACTAAGGTTTCAAGAAAAATTTCTTGAGATTTATTAAAATGATAGAATTCAGGATGATGGCTAATCTGAAAAATTCTTTGATAAATTAGGCATATGCTGAAATAAATAAATATAGATTGTATGATAATGAAAATTCGTTGTATAATTTACCTCGACCACAGGCCTGTCTGGCCCAAATGCTGGAGTACTTGCGATATATATCGGTGAACTGAATATTGGAGCATTATCATTTTCGTTGATAATATGAATTGTTATTGTTATCGGCTGACTACTTCGTATTGGTGATGTATTGACTTCACGAGCCTCGACCTTAATATGACCTTAATATCTTAATATGCTTAATATGTTTAATTTTTTTTCTGAAGGTTCAAAAAATTGGATAATAAGAAATGGGCCTTTTCAATTTTATTGTGTGTTTATATATAGGATTAGAGCCACGCAACTGTTAACTGGTAAGTTGAAAGACTTGGAGGATCTGCATCAATACTTGGCACGTTTAGGTAAACATAGCCACGCTGATCCACAGCAAAAACAGAAGAACCAATGCCAGTTAGAATATATTCATAAATTGTTGGTGGCATGCCAGGACTCTGGAATTTACGCATTTATTTCTACTTAATTTTGATAAATAAATAATTGCTTCTTAATGAAATAGGATGAAATAGGACTAAATTTCGCGAAATCATACTAAATCTCTGTCTTCAACGGTAATCTGCAACGAATCGGAATGCAGCGATGGTGAAATTCGAACGATTGTGCCCATTACAGCTGATTCGGATAGAAAGCCTTCAGCTGATGTTGTCTAAATTTTCAGGATGTTTCCTTCCTTCTTATCCATAGTGTAAATGATACAAACCTGATTCGAAATTTCTATTTTTTTAAAGGCAGTTATTTCGTCAGTTATATTTTTCATCATTTCTTATGTAAAAAGCAACCTACTTTAAGTATGGGTGCATATAGCGATATCATAGCTGCTTGTTGATGAAACGAATCCAACGATTGAGGATTTGTGATTGCGACGATAAGTGATGCGGCTAGTAAAAATTTCAACTCGGCCATTTATTTATCAAATATATTATCATAACATAATCGAGGTTACGACTGACTATATCCTGATAAAATACGCACATAAATACATTTATTTAAGTACAATTTAGAAATTTTAATGCGTATGGAAAATCCAAAGAATAAAGATAAGGAATACGAAGGAATTTCAACAGCTTGGGATTTCAACTTCGAAACTAAAATTTACAAAAAATACAAAATTTAATTTACAAAATTTAAAATTAGAATTCTTAAAAAGCAATTTTATAGTGATTCAGTGAAGTAAAATATGAATAATTATATGAATAAATATGAATAATTAAAAATCTAAATGGTTTTTTCATCAAATAGTTTTTTATTAACAAATTTATTACTCGTTTATCACTGAAAAGTACCAAAATCATTAAAAGAAAATCATTAAAAGATCCTCAGAAAAACAATTAAAAATGAAATAACTCCATTGGTGATTTATAAATAAATTTTAGGAATTATTCACCAGTAAAGGAAACTATTCAAAATGAATATTTTCTGAAATTCAAAATAATGCGAATGACATTTTACGATATAAGCATCTGATTATTTTAGATGATTTAGTCTGAAAGTTTTATAAAAGATTTTTACATTTACATTATTATTATTATTATTGTCATTATTATTAACTAAACAATTACTAATAAATTTTTCGGAAAGGGTTTTGCAGCAAATTATTCAAATTGTCCAATTTTTTTTTTTTAAAGAATCCTCATCATTTCTGGATAAACTTGTTCTACTAGCATGTCACTTTGGACAAATATGCCAGGGAGCCTTTGCGATAAAAGTACAGGTGAATCGCCAGCATCACCCGGATTTTACATGTTTATTCCTGTGTGAAATAGATTTTTATGCATCGGTACTCCGAATTGATCCTATTCAGATTTGGCTTTTGTCGCTTTTATCCACCTTATGATCATCCAAATCATTCAAACTATCCAACACTGGCGTTAAATATTTGACATTGGTAAGTGCGAGCACGGTAGCCTAAGGCTTATTGCTCTATCTCTATTATTTGAAGTGAAAGAAGGTTCGGAATTTAATTCGAGGGAACATTATTAAAAATCCTCATTACTACGATCCACTGATACTTCTATCGTTAAGTGGCAAAAATTTGTTATCATTCTATTAGCCAATTCATCTAATCAGAAATGGTAAGAATTGACTACTTTTTTTTTATACTAAATATTTTAAATATTATAATTCTAATGTGATTTTTTTTTCAATTTCCTCTTCATATATATATTTTATATTTTCTTAACTTCTTTTTATTTATGACAAAATCACTTTTTTTTTGAAATAATCAAATTTGAAAAATTTTTGAAAGTCAAATTTTAATTCTCAATGAATCTTTCGATAAAAAAAAATAAAAAATAAAACTTTGAAATTTATGAAATTTAATTATATGAAATATCAATGTAAAATTTCTTCCAATTCACAAACTTCATAGGTACCGGAATACCGTAGTGAATAAGGCGAGCGATTAATATGGAGTGCATAGAAGGAGGTAACGGTTCGAACCGCAACAATCCTCTTTACAGTTCTGATCCTTAGGTGAGACTCTTTGAAAGTTTATCCCCTCACCTCGATCTCGCCAGCCTCTGGTAGAGGTTGACGATGGTCCAAACCAGGGGTTGAGAAAGGAATTTTTTTTCATAAAGTTTCTTTCAATTCATAAACTAATTTGATCAAATAAAACAAATATTTCTTTTTTCGTGTTTATAGTCAAATATAAAGCTAAAGAAAAAAAATCGCAATTTCTTTAGGAAGATTTTGTGCAAATACAAATAAATATGATTAAATAAAATATTCAATGCGAATGGAATGTTGGATAATATCGAAGAAATAAAGGAGATTTTTCAGACAGAAATCTCCTTTATTTATTTTTCTTGTTACATCAAATATAAAATTCTTACAAAATTCGTTAAATTCACTATTAAAAATATTGATAATAATAGATTGATTGATAACTAAAAAATATTTTAATTATAAAATTTTTCTTCTCGCTCATTTAATAAATAATTTATAATTAATGCGAAAACTATCGCTATTACATTCGCTATTTTATTCATTTATTTTATTCGGTTTCTTCGTCAAATTTATGATTTCTTTCTCTAATTTTTCAATATTTTCTCTCAATTAAGCAAAATTATAATATAAAATAATCACACAATCGTTCAAAATTATTATTGTTGCGATTCAATTAACGAATACCTTTGATAGAACAAAATTTCTTATATATTGTTTATTCAAATTAATTGTATAATCTCAAGTTTTTAAAAAGTACCACGAAAAGCAGTTCCATTTATACTAGCGAATAATCGTGACCGATGTTGATTCATTTCATCAATATTTATATTAAATAGAAAAATACCGTATAAAAAGAATAGTATCAGTAATATTGGTTTAAAAGTATACAAATGCTTTTATCTAACTTCGAGTCTAAATTTGCAAAAAATGCTCAGCAAACATTTTTGCAATAAGTAAAGAATTTCCAGCGATCATTTCTTTCATATAAAACTATATATGAAAATATTATTCCTATAATAATGGCGATAGACATTCACCACAACGGGTCAGACTCGCTCCACTGGCTTGGTGTGCCAGGGAATTCCTTGGCGATAGAAGATACAGGTGAGTCATCATCCGGGTTCTTAAAGTACAGATATACTTTTGCCGGAAGTAGAACCACTTTAGCATCCGCTCCGAATCGAGCACAGTTCAGCCAGCCGTGCTGCTCTCCCTCTGCTTTCGCCTTTCTCGTCAGATGAAGCTTGTCAGCGGGATACGATCCCAAGCTTCGATTCTAGGTTCGAGTTATCTTGTCACTGAGACGCCGATGCTCAATAATGGTAATACGATCGTCCTGTCAAGTTGTTTTAAAAAATGTTGTTTAAATTAAAATTTACAGTATAAAATATGAAATTTAATAAATATTATCGATTTAAATAATTTCCATCATAGAATTTTATTATTCGAAATAATTTAATTTTCAAGGATATTTCTTTTAAAGTAAAATAATTTTAGAAAATGCATTTGGCTGATTGGTAAATCACGTAGTATTTCAATTTATATACAAATGTAAAGAGTTTTTGTAAATGAACGGAGCGGTCGTCGATCTGTGAAATGGCGAATTTGCACTTGAGATGTTTACCTCAATTTAGAATTATGCGGAAGTTTCACTTTTCTGTTTAAAAAAGCTCATTATTTGAGAAAAATTTCCAACATCGTTACAATCTTTTTTACTGGTACAAACTAATTTAAATTCAATCGTTTTCGTTGATTTTGCAAAAATAAGTAGCAGTTAAAACAGTTTTTTTTCCAGAAATAACTATCATTTTGTGATTTTTGATTATTCATTTCCATGAAATCTAAGTGCAACTAAAATATGAGTTCATTGCGTGAAACCCTCTTCGATAATCTAATAGAGGGAATTTTTAAGAACTCTTCGAATATTTTTGATTATCTAAATACTATAATGGAAAATATGGTAGAAAAAAAGAAGCATAAATTTGCGAATCATTTTTATTTCTAAAATTATTTGCCCATTTTTTCCCCATATCCATAATTGCAGGTTATGCTAAATTTCATTTAGTAATTATATAATAAATAAATAAAATAAATAAAATATAAAATTTTTTACCATTCATATTCATTTATCTATCCAAAATATAAATTTCCAAGAAGTCAGTCAGCAAAATTTAAGTGCTTACGTATTAATTTGAGGAAAGGCAAAATTCTCTCCGATTTATTTTTCATAACGAAATGCTTATTATTTCGAAAGGTTACAGCTGAATGCGAAAAAATTTTCTTGGAAATCCAGGAAAGCGTTTATTCATTATTATTATTAGATAATAAGATATTTTTGGATTCAATTTTAATTTCAAAAACCCTTGAAATATGTAGAAAAACTAAAATTCATTCCATACTCGAATTATTTTAAGCGAAATCGATTATATTGTTGAATATAGAAAAAATTCATATTTATTTAAATATTATATATTATTATATACATTATTATATATTATTATTACATATTATTATAATATATATTATAATATATATTATAATATATATTATTATATTATTATATATTTTATTTATTGAATTTATTTATTGAAATAAAAAAGTGAATAAGGTTAATTTTAAAAAAAATTTTAAATCAAATATATGGGATAAAATGAAGAAATGTTTATCGTTAGTGAGGTCAATTGTAAAATGACGATAAAGCTAATCGAAAGGTGGGTGAGGTGCACAGTGACAGAGATTAGCCGAAACTGGACAGTTCAAAAACAAACAAAGCCAAAGCCACTCAGAATCTCTACCACCTCTGCTTTCTCTTCTTGTGACCATTTGGGTAACCACCCAACCATTAAATGATTAACATCTAACGATGAATTCTAAACTGCAACATAAACACGAACCATTAAGGTTCTATTTATATTTATTTATTTTGTATACAAAATATAATAAAGCTCATTGGAAATATACAATGAATTTTTTATTTTCACTTTTTTTTGCTTTTTTCATTTTTTGTTCGTGTCAAAGTTCGCATAAATTTCAATAGAAATTAGTTAGCCAATTAATTATGCAAATAATTTCTTTAATATGCAAACAATTAGAGTAAATAATAAATGACGAAGATTATGTGAAGAAATTATTTAATTAATTAATGAACCAAATAATAATGAAAGAAAATAGAAGGAATTGACTGATTTGCGAACGGCGTTTAATCAGTCATTCCAAAGAAAATTTTTTCATGAATGAGCTGAAATCTGGTGTTCTTGGAAATGAGTAAAATACAGATAGTTCCATTAGGCCAAAAATGAAAAACAGCAATCCAATGAAGCAGAGTTCGCGACATGATCATATAAGACCAACAATTTCAATCGATAGATCGATCAGTGACGACCAACATCAACCAAAGAGTGGCTGTTTCTTTCATTACTTCCTCTCGATCCTATTTGTTTAAACCTGTGGTTCTATTTTATATTTTTTATTTTGTGCAATTGATGGTAGTGTACATTGTTGCGGTTTTATCGTTATTTCAGATATTTTAATTAAATTTAATTTAAAATTTAAAATTTAATTTAAATTTGAATATGAGACGATAAATGACAGGGTACGATATATTTTTTAAACTGAAAAGCTAGCGAAACAAATCCCGAAAACACTTACAGCTTCTTCGTTACATCTAATGACTCTGCTAAAAATTTAATTTTTAATTTTTTATTTTATTTTTTAATTTAAGTTTCTATTCTAATAGTTTTATTATTTTTACATACTTGAATGTTGAAAAATATGGTGCATGTAAAGCCATTCGTGCGATTTATTCTAAATAATACTGTTCTACAATTAAATATCTGCATATTTTGATGAAGAAGATGTAAGAAGTAAGAAATTTCTTAGGAAATAAAATCTGATAATATCTCTGATTACTTACAATTATAATTTTAAATTTTAAAAAATTTTAAATTTTAAACAATTATAGTTTAAAATTTTTTCACCATTACTGATCGGTTGTATATTGCCAGTTTTCAGAAAATTTTTTTCGACACCTCTTGTAAAAAATACTGTTAAAAAGACTAATTGCATGGATTGATAAAATTATTGGTAAAACTAGAAATATTTCTTGATATTTTCTAAAAGTCCCATATATTTCTTTAATATCTCTTCAAAACTGGGTGCAATTTTCATGGTTACCAAATCCTTATAAGTCATTATCTGTGCTCTCCAGTTCCAATCCTCCGATAGCCTTCGTGATTATCCATTCAAAGCTTACATCTATTGCATAATAAGCAAGATCATCAAAGTATATAAAATTTTAATGAATAGTCTGATAGTCTGGAAAATGAGAAGAAAAAGTCATCGAATGAAGGGGCTAATTTTTAAAATAAAAGCTTATATTTAATTCACATTTTTAATGGGCCAATCATCTCCTTCAATTTTGAATCTACGATTACAGATTTCTTAATTTTAGCTGATTTTTGCCAACGAGCGTTCAATTTAAAAATAAAATAAAATGGCAAATAAAATAAAAAAAATTTTCAATAGTCTGAAAGTCTGTTGAGCTGTATTTGAACTGTATATCATTGAGTATAAATTGTATATCATTGAGTATAACCGTATATCATTGAGTATAAATTGTATATCATTGAGTATATCATAACTGTATATCACTGAGTATAAATTGTATATCATTGAGTATAAATAGAATCGCATGAATGCGCACATCATCCATTTCAAATAATATGGATACAATAAGCAAAAGGAAGCAGAAAAGTGACGAAAAGCATATTTCAGCGGAAATTTTCCTTGCTTTTTCAGAAGGGAAAAAATTCTGAAGTTCAAAAAATTACTTCTTGGAATTCGATGATAAAGAAAGCGAAGCGTCAATTCCAAAGCGTCTTGAAATATTTTGTGATATCATTGAGAACTGAAATTCTCGTTTTGTGATAAATTTTTATTTGAGGCCTAATCTTAAATCGCATTTCCACAACTCTAGTCATAGCCATTGCCATTTTATTTTATTTTTAAATTGAACGCTTGCAAAAATCAAAATCAGCCAAAATTAAGAAATCTGTTATCTTAGATTCAAAATTGAAGGAAATGATCGGCCCATTAAAAATGTGAATTATAAGCTTTTATTTTAAAAATTATCCCCTTCATTCGATGACGTTTTCTTCTCATTTTCCATTATGCGACAAAGTTAAAATTAATTTTACAGTAGCATTGCAAATCGTGGAGAAAGAGGAGAATTCTTAATTATGGATATTGAATCGATCGCAGTTTTGTTCGCTCTGAACTAAATGAAATCCTGGAGTTCCTCAAAATGAAATCCTCGTATTTTAATAATATGAGCAAAAATATAAGTTATAATATAAGCAAAAATATTTTTGATAATTTTGGATAATTTGCAGAATTCTTTTCTTTGCTTTCATTGTTAAATTTTATTTTCTAATTTCAATCCGTATTATTGGTTTTCGTTCACGGACTATTTTTTGAATCGAACCAAGCATTTTGCAGTCAATCGACAAGCTGAAGTAGCTAATGATTTGTCTTGTTGGAGAGGAAAAACAATTGGTTTCCCAAGGCTTCCCAATCGACAAGCAATCCTATAGGAAGGTATGGGAAATCTTCGCGGAGCACTGCGGCACAATTAATTTGCGTTGCACTCCATCGACGAAACAACTTTGTACTAAGACTAAGTTCCATGAATATCGGATCAAAGATATCTGCTCCTTTGCTCTCGCCGACTTTTGCATTCATCTCAAGCCGTTACAGTCGAGAAAATTGCCGAGGTCTCAATCAACAACAAAGATCCCAAATATTTTTCTAAATTCGATAAAATTAAAAAATTTAATTTGCAAAAACAAATCCATCAGCAGGCAAATTAACAACGAACACTTTGAACCTTCTCATCCGCCTATTCTTGCTTCTATTCTATTAATTTCAACCGTTATTAATTTTTGGTCCTCTTTTTGGCAAACGAATTCCTTTCCGAGATGGAGTTGGGTTTCCGCAAACTTAGACTGGGCTCCTAAAATTCATTGTTTGAACCCTTAAAATCTTCTAGCCTAACTCTTTTATTCTAAAGTCTCAATTCCACATTACACTTTCTACTTCATACTTATTTATAAAAAATTCGAACTCATATTTTTCATAATTATTTACCATTTATATTTGAAAAGAGTATTGCTCCTCTCAATTAAGCCAATCTTCCTGTGGTGCCCAAATATTTAAATTTAAGGTAATCTCTATAGTAATCCTTACGATCATTCTCCATTGTAATGCATGCGTGCATGAATCACAACGCTTCATTAATACGATTATTTCTATTGTGAGCACCGAGTGATCGTATAATGTTTTATTTTATTGTTATAATGTTGTTTTTGGCAATTTTAGCAATTTTATTGTTAACTGATAATTGATAATCATTGGTAATAATAGCTTCGTTCCTCTCTCACCTTATTCCTTATCCTTTGTATCAAAAACTTTATTAATTCGTTGTATGTTATTTTGCATCGGTTTATCCATTAAATTATCATAGTGTGATAAGAGATAAATCACTTATTTATTGATAATATTACAAATGGCATTTTTCAATTATTCTAACATAAATAAATAGAAAATAAATAGATAAAATATTTGAAGTGGCAAGCGAAATCAACCAATATTAATTTATTTTTACACCATTAGTGCTTTTTTTATTCTAACTTATTGCAGTTCCACTTATTCGCACTTCCAATAGAGCCGACCAAATTAAGGTAAAATTAATTTCAAAGAAGTGTCCGGGCAGTTACCGAATTAAACTTTTACCTGTTGGCTGTATGAGTAGAAATATGAAAAAAAACTTCCTTCACGCCAACCACTACTTTTATTATGTATTTTCGTTATTGTCAGCCGCTTCAGCCGCTGATTTTTCATTCATTCATCTCCCTTTGTCCAACAAAATTCGTCAAATATACTAAAAAAATTTTTTTGTATTGCAAAAAGTTTTACACCATTTTTCGCAACATTAGTTAGTCGATTGTATTTTTAATAAAAATAAATAGAAATAATATTGAACCGAAGAATAAAATGGAAAAAACAACCGGTCGATAATGCTTTTAACGAATACGAATTGATCACTCGTGCATTTTCAAATTTTTCAGTACAAATTTGATTCGAGAAATTCGAGAAACAAAAATAGAGGAATGGTGAAAGAGGTATAAGAGGTAACCTAACAAAGAAAAGCTGAACAATAAGTAAATTTAATAGTTCCACATTCGCTTTGACTTAAATAAGAGGGAATAGCAGCTGAAGCGAGAAAACGAAAATTTGAATGCGTTGCTGGTGGAGAGAGCCTTCAACCACTCCGATAGCTATACTGAAAAAATAGTCGAATGTCATGAAAAATGTCAGTATCATGTCTCGATTTGTCGCGATCACTATCAAACTACTGCATCACAAGTTTCGATAAACGTTTTCAGCCCTATTCACATGCGTTTGGTTCTCCCTCTAATGGCATTCCCTTGCGGACGAACAACATTCCGTGGCCAATCACTCCGTTTTCCGTTATGGCGAATCTTTTCGTAGCGTTGCATCCCTCGAGAAAAACCTTAATTATTCGCGACACCTTTGATAGGTCCAATTCGTATGTCAATAAGCGAAACATCGGAAATCAGCTCATCAACAGAACGCGACGGTGCCTCCGGTGCAGTGAAAAATTAAAATCGCATATTTTAATGCTAAAGAGTGCGAATAAATTTTAATAAATTTAAAAGTTTTTAAGATTATAAAAAATTAAAATTATTATTATATATTATTAAATTATTATTATTAAATTATATTATAATTAAATTAATATTATTAAAAATTACTTAAATAATAATAATTTATAAAACGAAATAGAATTAAAGTATAATTGGAGAAAGAATCGAATATTTAAAGAAAAAAGCTAAAAATTTGGCTGTCAAAACCGCACAGTCGAATATATCCATGGACACATTAAACATTTAATGATTCACCAGATAAATTATTTTCGATCCGCGACCGCTAAATAGTTATACCATTGATATTTATTTGTCAGCTTTGCTTGATAGGTTGTGATAATTTAGAATGATTAGTGGATCGTAGTTCATCGTCGAAATAATTAATTTATTTTTAAATTTCGGATTTTTCCGAGTTTTTAAATTTTAATGGATCAGTGGATTTGATCTTAATCACGCGTTTATTGTTTCAGTTTTCATCTGATGCGAAACCCTTTAATAATATTTATTATTAAATAATATTTATTATTTAATTAACAATGGGTTAAACGGTTCTTTTATTTGGAAAATGGATTGCAATTCTCAGCGACTCAGCATTATTACTCCGCTAATTTTGCTCTATTTTCCACTAGTTTACACGTCTTTTTTCCAAGGTTTTTTGAAAATTTTCTTTTTTTATTTTCTTCTACAAATCATGAAATATTATTGATTTTATTCATTAAAATATGATTATAATTAACTATAGTTGCTAATTCATCCGAAATCACACTCGTTGCTCGTCGTCAACGATCGATTGTGCGGTTGACGTTGGATGTATCGAAGAATAGAATAGCCTCAACGTCAACAGTTGTATCAGGAATTGATGAGTCGTTTCCAGTTCTTATTTCGATTGATATCGCTCAGGTTTATGCTTTTAATACTTAAATGTTCTTAAATCGCCAGCGTGGAACCATAGTATAGGGGGATCGCAACGATTTCCGTCGTGTCTGTTTTCGAATATTCGGCATATTTTTCCAGGCTTTATAGTTTACCTTCTTTATGGTATCTTTGGCTCGAGAAATATGAGATAACCTTTTCTATGCGGAAGCTCCATGTTAAGAAAGAAGTTATTCCCTCATGAAAGTATTTTTCATTGCGAATGTAACATCCTGGGAAAAATGTTGAGAAGTACCTTCTACAAGTCATTGATTTATTTTCCTAATAAATGCCTAATCTGTTTTCTCGAAAAGCACTTAATATTTCTGGATGTAATTTAGCTGAATTCGCTATTTATGAAACTTTTTTTATGAATGAATGTGTTTTATTACTGATCATCATCGTTCTTTTTTCTTTTATCGAACTTAATCAGAAATGAAACAATTTTCTTGTCAATCAGTTGTTAATTAGCATTTATTTTAGTCCATAGAATTCGTTTTCTTTACAGAATGTTCTTGCATACATGGAGAGTTGGTCACGATCATCAAGTGGTAATATAAGATTAACCTCACTTCTTGGAAATTCATCTTTACCTGCATATGTTCTCCGAAACAGCGATGTAATTGAAGAAACAGTAACATCGATTGCACTTGACTGGGTAACTGAAAAATTATATGTTGGAATAGAAACGACTAGTATTCATAATTCAGGACGAATAGAGGTTTGCTCCTTAGATGGTTCAGTAAAGTGTGCTGTTGTGTTATATTCAAGCTTCAGTAATGCTAAATCTCGAGTCGATGCATTTCATTCATTGGTACTTGATCCAGTCGATGGGTTAGTTAAGAGCTTGATCATACATTATCTTGATTTTATCATTTTATCATTTATTTTATCATTTCTATTGACATAATATTTTTGATAAATATTTTCGAGATTTTAAAAAAAATTTACTTTAATTTAAGATTTAAAAAAAATTTTTAGTTGCTTTTAGTTATATGTACTGGTTGAATCGTTTGCACAAACGAATAGAACGTGCGTGGATGGATGGTCGTCATCATGAATTACATCCGTTTAAAGATGACACCATGGATATCGTTGCAACTGCAGCGTTATCGCTTGATCAAGTTGTTCTAATTTTTGTTTTCTACAATTATGTAAAGGTACTTATATATTATTATATTGGAATTTATTTTTCATATTTCAGATGTCAAGAAGTCTTTATTATGTGCGTACGCGAATCTCACCTGATGATTCGCAAATTTGGCGATGTATACTTTACAATCGAGAATCATGTACTTTGGTTGCTAAAAAAGTCAACGCATTCTATCTGGACGTTTTTAATGCATGTTTTATCATAATCTGTTTAAATCCAATCTGATCATGCAAGTAAGCTCAATATAGTGCTGGCTATAACTGCTTGGAACGTCAGAACGTTTATAGATGTTGCAAGTCAAGCGATCACTGTCCATACCCTCTCTAAATACCGCGTGGATGCGGCTTATTTGTCGGAAGTCCGTCTTCCTCATGTGGGCTATCGAGTGATTATTAAACCTTTCCGTGCAAAGATATTGACTTAAGATATCACAGTGGTGTTTGGGATAACTTGGGGCGAAATGGCGTAGTGTTTGTCATATCTGAAAAGGTTCGATCCGATCTGATTTAATGGAAGCCAGTGAATGACCGTATGGCCTACACGCGTTTTAAGGGAAAGTTCTGCAGTATTTCAGTCATCAGTATATATGCTCCAAATTTATCGATGATCGCGATAAGTTCTATGGGAAGCTTCAACTGTTAACAACATCCCTACCGAGAAGTGATATGGGTATAATCTGAGACTGGAATGCGCTCTTAGGTTAAGATGCCGTTTCGATGAACTCGGTATTTGGCAAGTATGGCAAATATCGGGGTTCAGTACGCCAATGGAGAACACTTTCGTTTTGCTGAAGTGCATACTCTTTGTTACTAATATATGCATGCATAATACATGGTTTTGGCATCGGAGGAAACATCTAGTCACGTGGAATTCTCCGGACAATCAATATTCCTATCAGATTCATTATATATTGGTCAGTGATCGTCTGGAAAAGTTCTGCACTTGATAGTCGTTCTTATCGGGGCTCTGAAATTGGTAACCTCAATGGATTAGATCATGCTATGGTTTGAGCCAAGATTCGTATAAAACTAACAAATCGCTAGAAACAACGTATCCCAAGATCTTTCAGCTATCTCAAATTAAAAGATCAGGGATCAATAAGCGCATTTCAAATAGTATTATTAAAACACCTCAGTGAAATGAACGTTAATGATCTCTGGAAAGGCGAATAAATATTTGTCTCAACTAAAGACATGCCTACATGACATGATATGCCTCAGCCATTTCCACACTTGGATATATTAGCATGAGGTGCAGTAAGTGCCTGTCCAACTGTCTGAAAAAGCTGCCAACGCCCGAATGTTAGGGGATCCTGACTATCGGGTGCTTCGAAGAATTACAACGACAATAGCACGGCGAGTACAAAATCGCTATTGGAACGATATGGCCTTTAGAATGGAAACGGCGGTTCGGAGAGGTGATAATAGGATACTATTTCACCTTATTCACAAAACAACTGTAACTCGATAAGGAGTCAATGAAATGATACGCGATATTAATGCCTATTAAAGACGGCCTCAGAAGATGGAAAGAATTTTTTGAGGCCAAATTTAACTACGATGCGTCATCTGTTGTCCCGGACATAGTTGATTCGCCCGTCGAGCCTTAGGATTGCAATTGTGAACCGCAAACAGGAGAGGAAAATACATTAAGGCCAATAAAACTACCGGAGATGGTCTTTGTGCCGAACTCTTTAAACGTTGTCCATCGTCATTCATAATTCACCTTCAACAATCTATTATCTGATATGGCAAAAGAAAAAAATAATAAAAAAATGAAATAATAGAAAATACCAGAAGACTGCAGCAAGACTGGCAGGACATGATGCAACAATTATCGAAGAATCAGCCTACTGGACAACGCCGGAAAAATTTTTTCATTTCCATTCTACTAAATAGACTTATGGCGAGAACAGAATATTGATCAAGGTAGATTCAGACTGAGATGCAGTTGTACTGACCAGATATTTACGCTGAGAAAGGTGGTGGATCGCTTCAACTATCATGAAATTGTAACCTGGATAACAACAGCTAGAAATGTTTTTCCGGTTGGTGAAACCTTTTCGTGAAATCACCATAAAGACTAAAATCCGCATCCATGTAATTGCAATTCACCTAATCTTGGCTATATGGTTGCGAAACATGGGCAATCTTCGCCCCATTTTCGCTCAGTCTTTATTAATAATGTTATCATAAAGCGTCGCCTTCACCGGTTAGCCGTTTTTCGTCAATAAAAGAAGAAATAATCCATCACAGGAGTCGACGCATATTTCATTACTTGCTAAACCCTGTGATGGTTGTCGTCAAAAGCGAGGAGGGCCAGTCAAGACCTGGATTGATACAGCCAAGAAAGATTTTGAACGTATAGGAGGACCAGCGATATATGAACTTAGACGATGGATAAAGGAATGGCTTCTATTACAACTAGCAATGGCGTCCAAGCTTGAAGACGTCTTACCCTTGTAGCCAGCGAAGCCAGCCTAACTAGTAATGGTGAGAGTTGTTAGAAGACGAAGATCATACAAGTAAAAGTGAAAGCAATAATGAAATTTTGGCAACCAAACATTAAATAGACCTCTTCAATGTTGAGAATGTTGAGATATAATTTTGATAATCTACTTTTAGGATTTATTAATCTGGTCTTCCGTAACAAACCAGCATTCGGGAATAATGATCTGCGATGCGACTCATTGCGAGTCATCTATGCGAGAGGTAGAAAACTCGAGTGCAGTTGAAGCACTAAAGATTTTGGATATCAACACTCAACCACTTAGTTAGTTTTTTTCTTTTTTTTTTCGATTTCTTTGCATTTTGTCCGCTGTTATGTATTATTAAAAATTTCTAAAACAAATACCTAAGTTTTTAAGAAAGCTCATCCAACCAATGTGCCATCAGTAACGGCGGTTGTAGCCACATTTGTGTCTTAATCCCTGGCGCTCCATGGCGATCATGTTTATGTCCAGTTGGAGTTCGTTTGCTGGAAGATCGTCTTACGTGTGCACCAAATGGTTTCGTTAATATTCTAATATTGCTTACATTTTTTGTAATTCAAAATGTTAATCTAATAATTTAAGGCATTGATCGGATTTTGCTTGTTGCTACAGCATCAGGATTGATTCACATTTCTTTGGACACAGATGACTATACACCAATGCTTTTGAGTTATGCTTCTACCAACTTCACTGATGCTAAGATAATGCATGTTGATTACGATCCGATTGAAAAAAAATTATATTTCATTGATGGTGATAGAGGAGTGATTAAACGATGTGGCTTCAATGGTACTGAATTTGAGGTTTGCTTCGTTATTATAGTCCTTATTTTTGTAATTTGGTACTTTTTACAGGTTGTTTCAGATTTTTGCATTATTATTAATATCAAAGATTTATATGTATATATTTTTATATAATATTGAAAGAAAGTAAGTAAAAAAAAAGAGAAATTTAGAAAGTGACAACTAATTCCAGTGATAATTGGAGCATTTAAAATTATGACCTCTAAACTAGAAAAGTGGCTTCAGCAAATTCTAGGAACAATATCAGAAATCCCTATCCAGAAGAGTGCATTCCTAAGAATAACTGAGCGATTATACAGAACTCTCAATCTTCCAGGCCTCCAGTGAGGGAGTGATTGAGATTTTTAAAAAATAAAAAATTAAGTGCTTCGATTGCACTCGATTTTCCTATCTCTCGCATAAGCGATCAGCAATGGTTAAATTACAGATCATTATACTCGAATGCTGGTTTATTACCCCTGGATGACCACCTATCGCGAAAAAAAAGATTTCATATTTCTTTTGTGAAGGAAGGCACTTCATTTTAGCACTTCATTTTTCTAAAATTTCAGTGTTTTTTCAGATTTTCAGTGTTTTCAGATTTTTGTTAAAGATGCTTTTAAATCTGAAGCACTTGTCGTTGATTGGCTCAATAGAAATTTATATTGGGTTGATGTGGATGTTGCAGAAATAAAAGTATTTTGTTTTATTTATTTTGCTTCGTATTAATTTTATTTTTCTTTGTATTTCTTGATTTTCAACTATTTATGATTTGTGTAATTTCTGAATTTTAGATGCAGAGTTTGACTGGAAAGCATCAGCAGATTATCATTTCACATGATCTTATGCAACCAAGAGGCTTGGCAATTGATCCAATCAAAGGATTTATCTATTTCTCAGACTGGCATGAAAGTATGAGTCGTATAGAAAGGGCTTACCTTGATGGTTCTCACCGCTCTATTCTTGTATGTTTTTTTTTCCTTTTTCTGCTTTTATGCATTATTTATAGTGTTTATTTTATGAAAATAAGTAAAATCAAAATTTCTTCATAAAAATCATTGCTTTTCAATATTAAGCTAATTCTTTTTAGATCAGTCTGGAACGTAATGCATGGCCTAATGGAATAGCCATTCATACAGAAGAAAACAGGTTATACTGGGCTGAAGGTCGAAAATCATTAATTAAATCTGCTAGACTTGACGATGGATCAGATATAAAAATCTTTTCAACAAAAATCAATCATCCTTATTCATTGTCGATTCTCAGTTAGTTTCTTTTGAGTTCAATCTAAATAATTAGATTCAATTGCGCTATTTGTGAATAGCTGGTAGTATAAGTACCATTAGTGTAAAATTCCTCGAGATAGTGGACAGAAAAAGCGGAAAAATCATATGGAGAAAGATTAATCTGGCAAATAATTATGTTATTCCCAGAATCAAGTCTTAGCACAAACTCGTAAAAAAAGAACACACACTGCTATTTTATGTCAAAGAATGCTGATGCTGGTAAGATTCGAATTTGACTGTAATTCGATGCTTTTGATGATTTGTACCATTGATTCAGCTCTAAAGACAATAAGGAGAATTGTGGAAAATGAGGGATGGCGTTTTAAATAAGATGGACTATTCAACTGCTATAATTGGAATGTCGAGAGGATAAATGGAATAGAGAGGATAAGAGGATGAATTTACGTATGAACTGTATGATAGTTGAAGGACATATAAAAAAAGAGGATTTTTTGGTTTCGTAAAAAACATTTGTTTTATTTTATGATTATGTGATTATTATGATTATGATTAATGCGTAAGTTTTCATTTTGTTTTATTTTAGATGGTGTTCTTTATTGTAATTCCTTACATGGTCGCAGAATTGTTGCATTGCGGCTACCAAATCGAAAATATTCATCATCTGATTCGATGAATGTGATTTCCGATTCGGTTATATTCGGTCAAATGGGAATTCGTGCAGTAAATCTGAATCGTATTCCTATCGGTAGTTCACCATGTAATATCGAAAATGGCGGTTGTTCTCATATTTGTGTTAAACTGTTATTTTTTATTTTTTACTTCATTTTACTCATTTATCCGATTATATCAGTGAAGATTTTTGTTATTTTTTAGTCCATGCAATATTTTTATGTTATCATTCTTGAGTTATTTTTAAATAAAAAATCATAATCTGTGCTTCTAATAGGCCAAACGGTAGTCGAAAATGTGTCTGCCCAGTGGCGCATGAATTGCTTGGAGATCATATGACTTGTGTGATGCCAGATGCATTTTTTGTCTATACTCTATCGTCTAAAATCAATTCTGGTTCAATTATGCGAATATCACTGGAAAAGAATCCAGCAAATATGCGTGTCATCAATATTGCCAATTTTTCATCTGTAGCGCATAGTGTAGCCGTCGATCAGGTAAATATTTTTACCTAATTTTACCTAATTTTTACTTAATTTTCATTTTTGCCTTAATTGAATTTCATTAATATAAATTTTTGCGGTAATCCGTTGATTTATTAATTAATTTAAATTCTTTCTAGCAAATTTTTTTGATTTTTTAGAACAGGCAGCGAATCTTTTGGGCTTCTGAAATCCGTGGACGACTAATCTATTCAAGAATGTATAGCTCATTTTTTAACGGTTCGGATTTGCGAATTGTCGTTGAGAGTGCTTCGATCAGTCATATTTCCGTGGATTGGATTACAGGAAATATTTATTGGTTAGTAAAAGCCCAATTTTATTTATTTTTTTCTATTTTCTCTAGAGAAATTTCGTCAATCTTTTTTTTTGAAGATTATTCAAGAAAACTTGCTGATTTTTGAAATTTGAAACTGTAAAGATTGTACAAATTATCGTTATTCTTTTTTTATTATTTTAGGTGCAATGTAGAGGAGAGGCGTATCGAAATGGCTCGAAATGATGGCTTAGCTCGTCGTACCATCGCTTGGAAGAAAATTATTCCACGATATTTAGCGGTTTATCCAGTGTTAAATTTCTTGGTATTCGCAAATTTTATTGAGGAGAGAAAATTTTTTATTCAGGCATATATTTCTTCTTTCTTGTCAATAAATGTATCGAAGTCCATGGATGGAAATATTCAATATATTTGTCGCATATTTAATATTTATTATATTTATCAATAATATATTTATCGCAACTGCATTTTGTTTCCTTTGAATGAATTTGAATTTTAATCGGATTTAATCAAATTCAATTTCGTTAAATATCAAAATTTTAAAAAATTACATTAACTTATTATTAGAAACTATTTATTAGAAATTAATTAATTTATTACGAAAAAATTGACAAACTTATTACATATTACATATTCTGTAACATATTATAGAAATGTCCCTTAGAAGGAGATCAACTCGGCGGTGTTGTATTAATCAGTGGTATTGGCCATTTAAGTTGTCTTACCATCGATTTCGAACTGCATCGTTTTATATGGGCAATTATTGATGGTGATATTGGCCGAATTTTTGCAAGCGACTTCAGTGGTTTATTTCTTTTCGATTTGTTTGATTCTTTTTCTTTTTTTGGAGTGAAAACTTTATTTTATGAATAAAATTAAATATATTAATATAATGTTTTTGAGGAGAAAATGTGGTTCAACTAGCGCATAGTAATTCTTTAATGCCGGTAGCATTTGTCGCTTACAATAAAATTTTATATTTTGCGAATGGCAAAACGAATTCGATTGATTTTATTAATGGCAGTTCCATCATTACTCTTCATTCCAATATTTCTAATATTTCATCACTCTCTATCGCTTTTTTTAACAATGGTTATTTTTTAAAAAGTCCAAAAAAATATTTAAAATAAATGAAGATAAATGATTAGTGATTGATAAAGATTATTCACGAAAACTTTCGTAAATTTATCATTTTTATCATTTTTAATGTCTAGAAACGAATATAAAATGGAACAAATGTATATACAATAATGGAAATTGTAGTCATTTATGTATTCCTTCATTTCACAACGATTTTGTTCGATGCTTCTGTGAAGATCATTTCTTACTGGATGTTAACAATGGAAAATGTTTACGTGAGCTGTTTTAAGAAAAGAAATCAAATTTTTGAAAAAAATTATTCTTATTTATTGGCATTAGAAATTATTAGCGCTGTTTTTCCACTCAAATTGCCAAAGTTCATTGTGTTTTTTTTTTATGAATATGGAAAATAGATATTGATATTCCATTCTGACTTTTTTCTTGGATTGATTTTTCCATTTTGCATTTTTATATCTCATTCAAAATATATCTCTTGAGAGTTTTTGAAAGTTATTGTTTTTGATTATAGCGCCAAAACGTTTTTTTCTTGTCGCAGTTGAAGGACGACTGATACGATTCAATTTAAAGCAAATCACTGATAGTGATAATGAATTCTTATGGAAGCAGGTATTTTATTTATGTTATCCATAATGAGCGATAGATCAGTGGAATTTTATTGACAAAATTTTTTTGGAAATGAATATAAAATGGAACAAATGGAACAAAAAACAATTTCAGGATGCATACGCAAGTCTTCCAGTTAAAAATGTTGGGATGCCATCATCTATTGCTTTCGATCCTTACTCATCAAATCGTTTTATTTATTGGATTGATTCGTACGATGATAAACAAATTAAGAGATCATCGGATCTGTCAGTTTCGAAAGTTTGTTTTCTGTTTGTAAACTTTGTTATTGAAGCACACAATTCGTATTTATTCGTAATTCGTAAACGAATTTATAAAAATTTTCTCTTCATAATTGTAACAAAAGGTACCAAGAAACTATATATTTTAGCTATTTTTAATCAGAAAAATATACTTTCTTTAAATTAAATGCCGGAGATATCAAAATTTGTGATAGAATTTTCAGACTCATTCCATATCATTAGCTCGTTATTCTGGTTGTTCTTTTTTATTTTCGTTGGCTGTTGATGCTCTTGGTCGCCAGCTATTTGTTTCCTGTGCAGAGCAAGGTTTAAGTCACGCTTCTTCTATCCATGTTTGGAGAATTAAAGTGAGTTTTTTAAACTGATTTTCTTTTTCAACCACGGTAATTGTTAATTATTGTTAATATATTTGAATCATTCTTGGATTTTTAGAACAATGATCAGCTGGAATATATCGGTATCGTGGTATCTGGTCGCCAGCGATCTTCGGTGACTAATCGTCCGCCGTATCCTCGTCAAATCGCGTTATTTCCTAGATTGAAGTATTATTTTCTTTATCTTCTTTCATTTTTTAGTAAATCTTGTTATTATTGTTATTATTCGCTGTAAATATAAGGATATGATGGGATTCTTTTTGTTATCCATGAAAACTCCCAATTCTTCACGAGTTCATTTTTATCGAAAATTTACTTTGTTTTTTTTTGTCATTTTTTACCATATTCATATTTGATATCATAAATGTTTCTTAAATATTTTTAGCCTTCTTTTTTACGTTGATATTGGTGGTAAAATTCCAATAATAGTTAGATGTTTTCTTGATGGACGTCAATGTAGCCAGTGGGAAGTAATAAATAGTATAGCAAAAATATATGCGAATGAGGCAAACGAACGACTTTATTACACTACTGCAAATGGTAATTTTACTCGTTTGGTCAAAACTTTTTAAGATTGTCCTTTATTTCGTTACATAACTGTACCTGGTGCATTTTGATTCATTATATTACTTTCACGTTTTTGTCAAATTGTCGTCGATTTTGTTTTTGGAATGCATGCATTAAGTCAGTTATAATTATTTGATTGAAGGGCTGTGGTCTCGCGATGGTCATGTTTACTCTGATGTGCGGCATCATATAAATACGTCACCCTCTCATATCGGAATGATTCCTATAAGTGAATTACAGCTTATAATAATCGCCAAAAATGATTCTTTGTGAGTATTTTCATAAATTATAAAATGAATACTTATGTTTGCAATGTAATAAAAGTATATTTTAAATTATATTAATATTTTTTTATTTTCCATATTTTTTAAAACTATTATGATTTTCCTGAAGCACATACTAGAAATAGTGATATGTGAATAATTCTTATCACTCCAACAATAAAGTGAATATCGAAATGAGGAATCCTCATAAATGTTTTAAAGTTGCAGTAAAATTGCAAAAATTATCACTTAGGTAGGTTATTTATTTGTAGATTATTCTTGGCCAATTTTTATTACTTACTTCGTTCTTTTTTTTTTATCTTTGCAACGTATTTATGTGGATATCAGCTTTTAATGTTCTCTTGTTTATGTACTTTTTAAACAAAATTTATAAGAGAGAGCATGGTGAGATTGAATCGAGCATTAAATTATGCAGTTATAAATTGCGAATTATGTCTGAGATAGAATGGTTTGCTAAATTCGGATGCTCGTACTCTTATCCTCTTAATGTCTTTTTCTTTCCTATGTAAAAGGAATTACTTTAAAAAATATTTTTTTAGAATATTGTCAAAATTTTAATGCTATTTTCAGAAATGGCGATATAATGATAGAAGTACAGGATGATGTTCCTACAGTGTCTTTGGAGCAGCTGAAATGGGATGATACAACCTCATTATCAATCGGAAGAATTTTGGCATCTACAGTCGTTGGTGTCAGTGGTCTAGACTCAGCTGATTCGATAAATCACACCTGCTCAACATCACATTGCTCGCATATGTGTCGTATACCTCGTGATTCACGTAAACGATATGAATGTCTTTGCCCATTTGGTTATGGATTACAATATGCAGGGTAATCTCAAAAATCATCCATTTAAAATTTTTATGAAACTATTTCGCAATGATTCTTACTTTATTAGAAATGTTTTTTAGAGGTACTTCATGTTTTGAACTCGTCACCTGTGCAAATTGGCAATTCAAGTGTGAGAATGGACAACAATGTATTCACTTTATGGGAAAATGTGATGGTCGTTTTGATTGTAACGATGGAAGTGATGAATCTCATAAATGGTGTCGGAATGTTGCTATTGACAGTTGGCCATGCGATGGTGGTAAAGCATCAATTACTCGGAACCTCGTTTGTGATGGTATATTCTTATTCTTAAATCAAAGCCATACTTTGAACTTCACTACATCGAAAGATTTTAATAATTTTTATTCAGGTAAAAGCGACTGTGGTGATAACTCAGATGAAGCGCATTGTCGATGTTCTAATCCTTCATTATATTTTGATTGCGCATTGAGTATCTCAGCAACTGATTCAAATGAATGCATAAATCGTGAACTTTTATGTAATAATATAGCCGACTGTTTAAATGGAAAAGATGAAATACCATCGGTAATTTCTTGATGTATTTTGCTAATTTAATAGTAAAAATTTAGCTTGTTTTGACCTTATTTAAATCTTTAAATCTTTTATTCTCCCATCCCTAAATTTTTTTGTAATTTCCGACCTCAAGCCGTTTCTGTCTCCAAAGTGCTGAGAAAAATCTTCTGTTTTTGATTAATTTCTTCTTTTTCAGTTTTGCAAACAATCAATGTACTCAACTACCCATTCTCCTTCATTTTCGCATTCATTTGAATTTATGGTTCCTTTAATGATTTTTTTCATCATATTTGGTCTCATTATTTTCGCTTGTTGTCTTCATTTATCATCAAATCAAACATTTATCCCTCAAAATCTTTCGAGGCCGATGAATACTACTGCAGAAGCACGGGTTTTGTTGCCCACTCATCCTAATGGTACTCATGTGGAAGTAAGTATTCAAACTTTTCATCTTTCGGCTTTTTTTTGATTTGTAAGTGATAAATAATCCTTAAATTGTATCTGCATGGTGATTTTCAGTTTCAACTTCGAACTTATTCAGTAGCAGCTTCATCATCTATCTGTAATGCACTACCGCCACCGAATCTGCAGTCTACTTCAGATGGCAGTTATCATTTTAATGGCCCATATTCCGTCAATAGTTCATCTTTTGACACGCCTCCAAAATCGGAATTTTTTAATTTTTATGCACCTCCCCCTTCTGCTGCTAGGTAATGCTCACAATTTTTCATAATTTTTTGAAATAATTTTTGTTATCAAGAATATTTTCAAATAATCAATTTTATATATTTTTTGTTTAATTAATTTTATTTAAATTTAAATTTATACAAAATTATACAACAAATTAAGTTATAAAATATGAATCTTTTTAAATATTAAAACTAATTTAAATTTAAAATATTTTATATTTTATTCTATAAATATATAATATTTATATATAATATTATTATTTGAGTCCCAAGTAAATTAAAGATTTAAACATTGCAGGAGTTTGATAATAATTTCAGAAGATTTCAGAATTTCAGAAGATAATCATTTTGCAGTTTATCTACATATGGTGTTGTGAAACCTGCTGGAATGCGAAATCGTGTTGATAGTCGTGCGATAGGCTCATCGTCGAGGAAAGGACGTAGAAAAAAAATTAGGAATCAAATTCCGAATAAATCAAATAGTCCGCCTCCTTCTTACTCTCAGGTTAATAAATGTTCGATTTTTTCTTTTAATATGTACTCGAATAATTTTTTTTCTAAATAGTCATATTTTCGTAATTTTATGGAATAATTGGGATTTAAGGTGACTACTGATCGAGCCATTTTCATAGATGGTGAATTTGATACAAAGGATGGTGCTCGAGCACCAGTGAATAGTCGAATCGTTTCTTCTGTTGATTCTTCATCCGTAGCAGACAGTTTGATAAAGGAGGAACAAAAATATTCTTTATCTTCATCGTCATCTGGTTAATAGCAAAAGGATGCTTGCCTGTTTCTAGAGAAATATGCTCAAAGAATTTAGTGGTTGCATGAAATGCAATTGCATTTCTTTTTGTTGATTTTATTTTTGTTATTTTTTATGTTATGAATATTTTGATTTGTATTAAATTTGTATTAAATTTTTTATGATGTTTGTACTATTTTTAATTTTTTTTCATCTTTTTTTATCTGACATCTGAAATGTTATAAATGAGATCTCGAAAATATTTATTATAGTTTTTGATAAAATCTCGGTACCGCTTTAACTATTCCATTTGTATTTTAGGATATTTATTTTCTTAATTTCATCTATTTCATCTATTGTATTTTAGGATATTTATTTTCTTCATTTCATCTATTTTTCTCTTTTAATTAAATTTTTATCTTTTATAAAATTTAAAAATAAAATATAAATAGTTGCATATTTTGTAAAATCCAAAATTCTACGAAGAACTTATTACGAGAATTGTTAAGATTGCCAAAGAAACTGATTTTTATTTTTCTTAATGATAGGTTTTCAATGTTCCAGAATGAATGTCATTGAATGAAACTTGCTTGACCCAAAGGTTTAGTTGCAGATGTTATATTCATAGGTTTGCGAGTGTCATGCAGTGACGGCGCTTCCAAAATTATCAGAAATGCTCCAATATTAAGTATCGAAAAAATAATCAAAAATAATCGATCCAATACCATTGCAACAAATCGCCATTCAACAATTCTCTTAATTTTTTAGATTCTTTTTAAGCATTAACATTCTTATTCAAGAAATTTTTCTTATAAAAAACTAAACAATCTCGAAATTATTTCTCGCAAATCTTATTTTGCTACAATTATTTAATTTTTAGAGGCAATTTCGGCGATTTTTTATATGAAAATAGACCAATTAAGAACACTAAAAATGCTTACTTCGGCCTCTTTTTCGTCGTTTTTGAAATGTTCAGTTATGAATCGAACTTGGCTAAGAATTTCAGTAAATATTGAACTGTGACAACTGTGATTCGATAGTTGAGAACTTTTTTCAGTTTCCTCGTTCTGTTTCATGAAATAACTTTCATGCAATTCACTTCGTTTTAAATCCTTCAATTTATCATTTGAATTATATAAATGAAGAATTTTGGAGCATATAAAATTTATTGGATCGTAAAAACTTATTGATATACGCAAAGGAGATTGCATTTGCTCTTTGCTTAGCTAATAATATTGAATTTATGCATGGTTAAAGTTAAGTAATAGAGGCTATTTCGGCTGTTCTTCTTAGACATGCAAAAATCTATCATCGAGTGGAACATTGGATTAGACTTGGGTGGTTAGGTTTCTTGCGCGTAATATCATTTAGGAAACAAGAAAATTGTACGAACATTTCTTCTCCATGACTTACAACCTTTATGGTACAGAAAGCCTTTATTTCTTTGCGATTCGGTATTAAAAATCGATGCAGATGGTGATTGTTGGAAAAAATAGTACGAAAATACATTATCAGTTTCCTCATCCGAAGATTGAACTGAAATGACTTAAAAGCTCGTTTAAATAAATGGGCGTAAATTTCTATCGAAAACTGCAAAAACTGATAAGATAACATAAAACGTTTACCGTTTGAGAGACGAGCCGACCATCGCTTTTTTTCAATCAAAGCGATCGGATCAACGAGATGATTGGGCTTTAGATGATCGCCGTTATTCTTAGATTTCGGACGAGACATAAATAAAACTCTGAAAGCTTCTAATTTTTTGAAAAATTGGCTGCGAATAAAAAGTAATGAGAAGTTCACTTTGGAAGAAAATTAAGGAAAATGCTTCGAATCCACTGTGGCATATGACTTTCTGGTCCACTACGGAAACGCAAATTGAGAGTGATAACAGAAACAATTGTTGATAACGAGACGAGAATCATTGTTGTAATCAAGTAACGACCGAACATTGGAATAACCAATGATGTTGGAGGTATTATATCAATTAAAACCTTAAAAAATAAATGAATACTAATAAGAATAACTAATACTAATAAGAACACTAATAAGATTTGCTTGGATTATTATTTTGAAGGTGGAGGTAGAAGGATAGAAGCAAGGGGCTAGAGCTATTTCTGATGAAGTTCGCTCCACGATTGTTAATACTGTAAGAAATTTTTGCTTGAAAACCACACAACAATAGAAGTAGAGATGGTTCGTTTAGCGCCATGAAGGCTTTTTCAGCGATAAGATTGGAATTTTAAGCTCGATAATTTGAAGAACCACCATCCGGCTATCCTGCCCACCCGATTTATTATAGTAAATTAACTAAAGCCGTTCCAGAAACACTTCCTAAATACTGATCACTCAAATCCTAATTCAATTATCAGTTATAATTATGAAAACATTATAAATATTATATTTATAAATAAATCTTATCATATTATGCTGATGAAAAGATTGACGATTCTTAAGTATATTTTATATGTTGATTCTTGATTCGCTTAGAAAAATTAAGCTCAATTTTAATTTTACTTATAAGCTTCTACATAGTTAAATTAATTTAAGGTAATCATTATCAACTTTTTTATCGCTTTTACTTTTTTTATTATCACTTTCGTTTGAATTGTAGTTTTAACAAATAATGGATTGAAGATTTGCAAATCAATTTAGCATAATTTCTTCATAAGAAATTAGTTAATTACAGAAATTGGCTTTTACTCTTCAGTAATTAAAATGAAACTAATACTATTCATGAGCATTATCAGAAGAAGACGCACCCTCAATCCATTGATAGAAATTAAAGATTTAAAAGGGATTAAATTAAATAACTAAATAATTAATAAAATCAGTAAGCAATAATAAAAATAATGAAAATCGAGATAAAAGAATTAAATATTATTTTTAATTTTCCCTTATTTACTTTTACTTTTCTTTCGAGCATCAGCATACAATTTAAATAAAGTAAAATTCGCATTAATTTTAGATAAAATAAAAAAATAAATAAATTTTTTTATTGCAATTTTATTGAAATCTATTAAATAAAAAGTTTTTAAATCAGAAATAGAATTTACTTACCAGAAAAAATACAGTAAGCGTAACAAGAATCGATATAGAAAAAGTAATTTTATGATCGGATAGGTAGAAGACGGTCGTTGTAAGTAGCGAAATTAGAAAACATGGTATTATTAAATTACACGTAAAAAAAAGTGTTTTACGGCGCAGAACGAAATAATATGTGATGTCAACGTATTTTTCTGGGCCACAGCAAGTTGTATAAAGAACTGAATGTCGTGCCGACGATAGAGACAATAAATCCCATTCCGCCGATCTGAATTCAAATTTTCTTAGTATTTTATTTGTCTCATTAATTCTCCCCTATATATTTTTATGTTCTAACTTATATTAGTAAAATAGTAAAGATAAAATAAAATAGGAAATGATAAAGAGTGACAAAAATCACTGAAATTTTCAAACGAAAACAAGAAATATTACTGATAAAAAAAGCTTAAATCCATTCCTTTTTCCATGATTTCTACATTTTGACCATGTTTGTCTGTTCCATTAATGACTTCTTCTAGAAGAATATTTTTAAAAAATATTTCAGTGAATAAAATATTCAGTGAATCATGAGGGCTCGTCTATATCTCAGTTTCCAGAGGGATCTCCAGAGGGACAAAGGGGCTCTCACCATGATCTCACCCGATGCGTGAAAATATTTTCGAAAATTTCTCCATATAATCGCAATCAACTAAGCCAGAAATTGTATTTATTATTACTCACAGGGTTGTTTAAAAAATTGTTCTGGCTAAAAACAACTTAAAAAAATTATTTACTAATTCAGGCGATTTATATCGTTTAAATTTTTTCATTAAATTTTGATCGATTTATATCAAAATTCGATGAAAAATTAGTGAAAAGTAGGGCACGAGTATTAATAATGGTATTTATTACTAAAAATTTACTCATTAATGCTCCAACTATAAAACTGTGGAAATATGCATCGTGCATTTTACCTTTTGGTAGCTGCTTGAGATCGACATCGGAGCCTGTATATGACCATGTGCCGAATTTCATTTCGCAGCTTTGTAAATCATAGGGAAACCAAGTTACATCGATCTAAAAAAAGAAAAAATTAATTTTTCGAGTAAAATCTTTAAAATGAAAATGAGGTGCAAACATGAATTTTCCTAATATTTATATCAGTGGGCAAAATTTTTGGCAATAAATTGTCAGATTTTGATAAAATTTTTCTGACACAGCAGACACAAAAGCAAAAACACTATTTGCATCTTTTTTTGCCAAAAAAAAATTATATATTTTTTTAAATTTAAGATATTTATTCGAAGTTTCAAAAAGAAGCTCAATTTCTAAGTTCTATTTCTATTTTCTATTTATATTTCTATTACAATTTCTATTTAATTGATAATTTTCAACAGTTGCTAGAAACTCTGATAAATTATCATTAATGAATTTGTCATAAAGAATTTTATTAAAATTTTGCGCAGCATTAATTTATGCAATTATTTTATCAATCATTAAAACGAGCAACATAACATTATCGATAAAATTCGATTAAATTTCTTTTGCATCGAATCAAATAAATTCTAAACTTACTGGACAAAATGATTTATAGATAGCTGGTGGACGCCAGTATATTCGACCGTCATAAGCTACTAACGCATCTGTCATTATAGTTATATCTGGATCTCCAACAGCGCTAAATTATTAAAAATTTACAATGGAACAAATCATTTCTATGGGCATAAAAAAAATCCCTTTCTTATCTTTTGTTGGTGTTAAGGATCATCTTCAACCACGAGTCCTCTACTGGTGTTCTGGAATACTGAGGGCAATGCCTTAGCTGTTTCTAGTAGTCGTTTTTCTGGATAGAGATCTCTATTGTTTCTGCTGAATCTGCTTACAACTATTTTTCTAGTTTAGAGGCCATAGTTTTTGGGCCATGCTCCAATTGTCACTGAGATTATCTTGGCTTTCACTTTCCATGTCTTCTCTAGCTCTTTTTTCAGCCCTTAGTATTTCTTTAATTTTTCATATCTTTTTCCTAACTTTAGATATAACTTTAGACATGTATAAATGGAAAATGAGGATTCCAGGGCATTAAAGACCATAATAAAGCAGTGCTAGGAATAACTAAAATATTGCGTGGAATCTCTCAGGCTTCTGGTAAAAGATCTCAGAAGATGATCCTTATCACCTGCGGGAACTCAGAAAGGGATTTTTATATATACATGAAGATGATGTACAGAATATGCGAATGCAGAATTTTTGGATGAAAATAATTACTTATTATAAAGCACGAAATCAGGTATCCAAATCAGATCACTTGGAATATGTAAAGTCTTAATTCCACCATATTTTGAAGGATTCCATGTTAACTTCGCATCGTACCATTGCTTTAAGATAAAATAATTAAAGAATTCTCGGCTTCAAGAAAGAAATTTGAATTCATTTCTAACTAACAGTCATCAATAATTAAGAAAAAAAAGACTGAAAAATCACATCTAAAATTAACGAAATAAAGAAAAATTTGTCAATTTGAAAAGTTCGCAAAATTCAGATGAAATGTTAATAAAATAAAATTTATTATACCATGTCCAACCACAGATTCGTCGTTAAAATTTGATTTTTTTCGTCCTATAATTAAAATATATCGAATAGGAAAATTAATAATTATTTAACATATCAGTTTTAGTCAAATTTTAACATATTTAGAAATCGAATCCATCTTCATTTTTGCCTAACATTATCGTTCAGCTGGCCGCATCGACTGATGTGCTAAACCATTTTAGCGTAGATTCACTTGAAATGAAAACACAAATGAGTACTGCCGAACAGTCGACAGTTTGTATTTTAAGCTGAAATGATCGAAAATTTCGAAAACTTACAATGTCAATTATTCTGATCAATGATGCTCCAACGTGTACTATTAAAGCATCACTGCTATTTTTAACTGGTCTTGGAACTCGATTATAGCCATACAGCAAATCTTCATATAATTGGCCTTGCATTCTACTTAGACGACTTTTAACAGCCATTTGAAAGAAACAATGGACAGCGAGGTAAAACAAAATCAAAATTGCCATAATCTGATAATTATTTTTTTTTCATTTTTTGCTTAAATTTTTTGACATTTGAGAAATAAATCTGTAATTACTGCATTATTGGCTCGACGTCTCTAAATTTTGCCTTCTTTTTTGATTGTTACCTTCAATCTCTTTCAACTGTTTTTTCGGAATTTCAAGTTGGATTATGCCTCTATCGATTTTCCGTTGAAATTTTTCGTTGCATTCGACGAAAATGTTAAAAATGCGATATTCTTCTTCTTCATAGATGCAATATAACAAATTAGGTGGAATACTAAAAATATTTCTGTTCTAATTCAAATTCAAAAAAATTCTTTGAGAGTTGTTTGGAACGTTCGAATATTTTATTTGACAAAGTTATTCCAAGGAAAATTGCATTTAAAAAAGAAAATAGAAAAGAAAAATTTATTTTTAGGAAATTAAATAATTTTGATTTCAAATCAATCATTTAAAATTAAAATTATATCGTTTTAAGTTAATTGAATTGAGAAACTATTTTTATTGTATAAAATTAATAAATTTAGCAAAAATCAGAAAAATAAGCCAATTTAATCGAATAATAGAGAAACATCGACATCATAAAAGAAAATATTCTAATTATTAAAATTAATGTAAAATATTCAAAATTTTTGAAAATCCATTTTTCCGTATATGAAATAGAAAAAAGAGAAAAATTCATTTCTAAAGAAAATAATAGACGCGAAACAAAGCAGCCATCCGTCTATATGCAGAAGAACAATTGAAATATCGAAATAAGTAATCTCTCTTTTAAGCGCTTTGCCCATTCCTGGATCAATTTTGGATCGGCATTAAATTGTAAACATTAAATTCTCCAATAAACTAGCAAATTCAATGTTATATCCATTTTATGTTAAATTAAATTAAATTATTCCAAAGAAATTAAGAGGGACAGGAGGACAAATGGCTTGGGTTCGATCCATGTCAATTGATAAAAGTTGATAAAGCTGCTATCGCTGCTCGAAATGAAATTCGTAGGAGTACCAAGAGGGACCGAGTCTGTTACCGTTCTCCGTTATTTATGCTTAAATAATACTGCTTAATATATTATCTTAAAGAGTGTCAATAAAATTCAAATGTTAATAACCGGAGGTTTCAGTGAAAATGATAGAAAAATATTTATGACATGTTTTGTGCGTTCTTTCCGAAACTTTCATTTTCAATAAAAGTGAATTTCGTCGTAATTCATTTTCTTATTTATCCTTATTCGTAAATGGTTTGACCTCTTTATTTTCGTTTTCTCTGATCTCAAAAATTCCAACACATTTATTCAGCTATTTATAATTTTAATTTCTAAGAAAATATTCGTCAAAAATTTTTACATTTATTTATTATTTATTCATTAAATAAATAAATTTTTCGAATATTTCTGTCGAAAAATATAAATTATAAATTCAATTCTGAGAAAATTTATGAGTTTTTAGTTTTTCTTTTCGAAAATTAAATTAAAGAAGGTTATGATTTATGAGAAGTCGCAATTAAAACATACAAAACATTGATAAATAAGGTCAGAATGAAAAAAAGATGGATATGAGCTTAATCGGTGAATAATTAGTGGTTTCAAATGTGGAGTAGGATCGAGGACCTTTGAAAAACCAAAGCCAAAGCTCATCCATATAGCCAAAGCCAATCAGTAATGGTGTTAGGCGAAAGCTAAGAAAAAAAACCACTTTCAGGTCATATTACTAGGTTTACTTTGTTTGAGATCATGAATTCTTGAAATGCGCGAATTTTTTCCAGTATTCGTCCCAAATCAAACAAATATTTCAAGGCAAATCTGGTGTTAGCGATAAGCGATTCTTGTTAAATTGTCTGAATGATGCAACTTCTGCTACTAAAAGTATTATTCAAAGTAAAATCAATTATTTAAATTTATAGATCATGGATATAAAAAAAAATATTCCTGTTATTGTGCGAGAAATCAAGATTTTTAGACGAATTTCAAAAATGCGCATATGCGGCTGGAAAAAGGAACCGCCTGTTCATGGCCTACTTTCGCCGTGGAACACTTTCACTATCATCGATTTAGTTTTAATAACGCGGATTTGGCAAATCCGGGCGGCCTTGTTCCTGCTTATCTTCAGCTATATTAGCTTGAATCAGAACATCTCCTGTAAATTTCCTCGCTATTTTCTTTTTCTAAGATCAGCTCTTATCAAGTCTCTCTTAAAACGCACTACTAAGATGAGATTTTTTCCTTAAAGAGCCAACTTAGATAAGGCTGCACATTGATAAAAAGTTCTGAGCTTTTATCTTATTTGAAAATGCTAAAATTTTTTGAATATTTAGATATTTTATTTTTACGCACTTTTATGACTGTTTTTCCTAATTTTAACGCTTATAAATTCAATTTTGCAAATAAATTAAGAGCGCCCCTGGTTAGTTTCGCTCCATTAGCGGACTTGCCATGGCAGGGAAATTTTGCATTTATCGAAACGGAATGCAAGCAAACTTCAAGTACGTCGGAGTGTAAGCCTCGTTTGACTGCTGCAGGATGTAAGAAAATTTTGACCTTAGTGACTGGTTTAATGAGTTATAAATTCTTAGATGATTTGTTCAAGCCTTAAAAAATTTTTTTCTTTGTTTTTTCGCATATTCGATAATTTTGTTCGGGCCAACAATTTTTTTTTTTGATTGCAATAGACAAGCTAGTTTGACAGCGAATAATTGACCCGTTTTCGAAAAGTATGAAAAATTTTCTAGATAAAACCAATAGTTGTCGTTAAAAAAATAAAATCATTGAAGATTTCTCAAATTCCGATTTAATTTTATAATTTTCCATCTTCTTTCGATCTATTTTATTTAGTTATTTTGGATAATATATTTATTTTTGCTGAAAAATTTTAACAAATAAATGTAACATCTAAATATTTTGCTCATATCCGATTATTCTCGATTATAAGGCTTAGAAATTAAGAATTTTCCAGTGGATGAAACTTGAAACTGGCTAAAATGAAGAATTTTTAACAAAGCCTTATGAGAATGACATTGCAAGCGAATCTTCATTTTAGTAATGTTTCAAAAAATTTTTTAAATATATAGTAATTTTACTGGTAGTACAGTCTAAATAGTTCCTAATTAATCCCCCTACTTCTTAGGCAAACAATTGCTGGATCTCGCTTAAGATGTTTTATATCTTAAGGAGGAGGGGAAGTAGTCGTAATAATCGATAATAGCAGAATAAAATTTCAGTACCATTCGATTAATGTAATATAAAGTTAATAAGGAGTTAATAAGGATAATTCGAAAATGCATTATTTCAATAGGTTTAATAGGTTTATTTAACAAATTATGCTGTCCATTTCAAAAATTTTTCACCATATTCCAAAAAAAGAAATAAAAACATTCACTCAGTGGAACTAAGGAAACTGGTATGGAAGTGCGTCGTACCAGTACTTAATGGAACTTGTAGCGAATCTAAGCAGAACGCATTAACGCTGGAAGAAGAAACTGAAAGATTTCTTAGCTTTTTTCATAAACAACATTGTCAAATTTTTTGTTCTGGTAATTTCATTTTTTTTCGAATTTTTTTCTTTATTTCATAAATGCTTCATTAAACGAATTATGCGAAAAAAGTCATTTTTTTCCACTATGACAACTCTCTTTCACCTCCTTTTTCCTTCATTCCTCTTCCAGTTCCTTTCGTTTTCCTTGCCTTTCTTATCGAACGAAACTTTACGGCTTTTTACTGAATAAAAGAAAGCCTTAAATTTAAATTCTATTCTTACAAGTTAAATTATTTTATTTATATTTATCACCTATTATATTCATTATTTATCAAATTTTTTGAAACATAACTAATTGTTTGTTTGCTAAATTTTTATGCTCTATCTTAGTTAAGAAATTTAAATGAATTCATAATTGAATTCAATAATTTTTGCTCACTTTAAATAAAAATAAGTATTAATGATATTAATAATGATAAAAGAAAATAAATCTTTTAAATAAATCTTTTAAAAATGAAGTAATTGAAGTAAAATGAAGAACGATTAATTAAAATAGAATAATTGACTAATTAAAGTAATAATAGATGACGAATTTTTCTCATTTTTTTAAAGAATTTCTTATGAATGAGAAAAACAAGTATCACCCGAATAGAAGATACGAGTTTTTTCCGTCATTTAAGTGATTTACATATCATTCTGACCTATATTATGACAAATAGTATCCGCGCTTTCAAACGTTGGTTGATTAGGCAGTTAGTTAGATTTTCAGCAAACTAGTCTCTATTTTGAATACATGAAAGAAGAGTAAGTTTATCATAAAATGATAATAAAAATTGGAAGAAAACCGACTTAATTTTCCTTTTTTATAATCAATGAATTTTATAAAACAAAGTTGGATAGTGAAGTGATATAAATCGTGGAAAGAAATAGAGGCACAATGGCGCAATATTCGCAGTTTTGGGAGTTTTGGGTTTTTACTCTTTGGCAAATTTACCGTTAAAAAATCCGGACGATGGCGGTGGTCCGGCTGAATTTCCATTATCAAGTGACTCTCTGGGAAAAAATTTTCCTAGTTCAACAAACCAGTAGTATCCAACCAGAAATGGTGAGAAAAAAGTGAAAATTAAATCAGTGCTTTCAACTTTTTTTTGCTTAAAGTATGAATTTGAATTGTTTCGATTTTCTAAAATAAAAATTTGGAATTTAGACTACCGCTCAAATCAGAGAAGTCCACAACTATCCACAACTGAATAGGCCACAAATCGAAAAAATTATCTTATTTAGAAATATAATTACGACTCTGCCTATGAAGCGGATCAAAAATTTTATTATTTATCATTATTTTTCTTCTTCTTGTGGCTTTTGCCACCATTTTTGGCTTCCCTTGCCAAATTGTCTAATAGGTTGATTCCTTTTGCCCTTTCGTAGAGTCGGTTGGTTTAGAAATATGCACCTTAGCAGCAATGCAATTCATAATTAGAATAGAATTTATAATAATAGAATTTTTTATTATTTCTACAATTTCCCTCTTCCTTCCCGCATCTGTCCCACTCCTTTCGCGTTTTGCTTCCTTTGGGTGATTTTTATCGTCATTTTATCGACACTTTCGTGGATAGTGATTTTTTTTCATTAATTTCACATCTTTCAGCTTTCAATTTTGAATTTATATGAATGAACCGAAAAAAACTTTTGAATATTTTTTATACAATAAAAACTATTCGAAATGAAAGATATTTTATAATAATAATTTTTAAATAATAATGCCTGGCTGATCCCAAATAAATCATGCATCATATAACCGAAATTCCATCTTTTTTCCTGCAACAACCAGACAGAAGTGAATATATTTCAGCTAATAGATAAAATTATCATATTTCATTTGCCCATATAAATTTCATGTGTAGCAACCAGATAATATATCTTCCAAACAGATTTGGCCAAGTTTTTAAAATCAAATTGTCTCTTCACAAAAAAATTTAAAAAAAATTTTGCCAAGGCGCATTTTTTAAATAACTAATGTCCTTATATCGTTTCTCGCCTTTAGCAACTCTCTTATTATTTTTTCAATTATATTTCAATTTTATTCGTGCAAAAAAAATCTCAATTGCAGTATATCTCAAAATTGAACGTTGCATATTCTTCTTTATTAATTGCAAAATCTAGCGATGACATTTGCAGAACGTTCTGATTTCATATGAAAATGGTAAATCTTTTATTGATAATTGATCAATGGCCAAATCTTGCATTAATTTTAATACGAATCGATAAAATTGAAGATAAAACTAACCTGTTTAATATGAAGCAAGTTCTGTTCTCGCTGCTCAGAATTTGATTCTCATTACCAGGTCTACGAGTTTCTTTAAATAATGAGCGATTTCAAACAAAAGAATTCAACAATATGTTCAATTCTATGATGAAATAATATGAAATTTTGTATGTTTGCCGAAATTTTATCAACAAATTGTTTAAAAATTAAAGTGAAAATTTTGAGAGATTTCTTGATGAACTTGTTTTCTTCAAATAAATAAAGCATTTAAAAATTTTTAATATTTCATCCGATAATTTCTTATAAATCCAATTCAAAATCCATTGAGCAAAGCTAAAAATTTTTTGATTAATCGTAAATTATGCACTGAAAATAATGAGAAAAAAAATTTTATAAATCAAGTCGAATCAAGCATTATTTTATAACCATTGTGAAGTAGGATGGCTCAGTGGGTTGTTGTTCTCATTTCAGAGCGCTGATGCTGGCGTTCTACTCCCGATAAGGGTGAAAAACCCGAATGATGATGACGACACGATTCAGCTGTAATTCTATTGCTAAATGAGCCCCTGGCAAAAATTAACCTCTTCCCACTAGGCTGCTCGAGCATAAAGAGAAATGATAAGTGCACTTAGAAAAAATACTGTATCACTTATGACTGAGAAGGAAAAATTCCATTTACTCTCTTAATTCTCGAAATTTTAAAAAGTTTTAAAGTTTTCTTAATTAAAAATTTTAATTAAGAATTAATTAAAAATTAAATTAAAAATTAATTAAAAATTCTTAATTAAAAATTTTTTCCAATAAAGCAAAATATTTTTCAAAAAGCAATTTTTTATTTGCTTTAAATTATTTACTTTTGTTTTTACTTTATTTTTGTTTTTTCCTTTTACTCATTTACTTTTAACTTTTTAAAACTTTTTGTTCAACTAATTAATCAAAATCCACCACTGTCAATGGATTTTGATTTTGAAACAAATTTAAGTTATTTTTATTATCGTTCTAATTTTTAATTAGCTAATCGCATTAATTGGACATCATTTACTGAATACGAATTCTCATTCTTATGTATATTACGTGCTTACGTGACGTGCTAATCATAAGACGTATATAAACGTATCTTCAAATCATTGCGAGAGAAATACGAATAACAAAACAGCAACGCCTTTTCCTTGCTATAATCGAAAATAGTGAACAAGTTGATGTTATGTTGGCGTTAATCTTGATTTGTTATCGAAATATTCTAACGGAACATTGTTGAATTTTGATATTTGTCAGTCATTTGCTATGATAATTATAATCGCTGTGGATCAATGGTCAGCGATCGGGAACGACTACACTGGTTTCACCCAACTGGTTTCATCATTTTCTATCCGGTTTTTCACTGACCTTTCATTTTGTTTTCTACAGTTTGCTAGAAATGATTCTTCAAGGATAAATATTAAATGACCCAATTAACCAGTAATATTTTGCTTATTTGAATTTTTTAGTTAATTAATACCGAATTCTCGGTCGAACTATTTGCTTTTTTTGAAATTATAGTTTCGGTTATCTAATCGATTCATCTCGTCTTGGAAAGTTTAGACGAATTTGTGGTGACGATAATAACACATAATGATAATAAATCTATACAATCTATATAAAATTTGAATTTATTGTTCAGAGAAAAGCAATCCATCATTAAAGTTCAAATCTCTTATAAGTGAAGAGAGTTATATTTTCGTGTAAAATCGCGTAAAAATGAAGAAAATGAAAATTTTTTTCTCTGCAATACTTTTTAACAATCGAATTTTACTGTAAATTCTTAAAGAAAATATGAGCAAATAAGAATATTATATAAATAAGAATATTCGCAATAAATTATTTCATTAAATTTGGCTCATAAAAAAAAAATTTTATGGAAAATTGCAACAAAATTTGACAAAATTCATTATTCATTTATTGTAATATATTATATTATTATTCTTTTATAAATTTTTAAACAGTAAATTTTAGTGAATTTTTAAATAATTGTTTTCCATGACCCAATCGAGTTATATTATCTATCACATATTAGTAATATTACAGTAGTAATTATGAGGATTGAAGGACCTAATAGGAGCGCCAATGCTGAGGATGCACCTGGATTTCTATCATCAACTAATTGCTTTAAAAAAATTTATCTCGTTTGACGAGCAAGTGCAACGGACAGAACCAGAAATTTGAGAAAAGAAAAAAATTTATTCATCCGCAACAAATGCAATCACCAGAAATGAAAAATTCGCTTATACTGTCCTCACTTAGTATAATTATTTATTAATTAAAAATATAAAAATTATACAGAATTTAAAATTGAAATCGCAAGAAATTAAAATTTTTAAATATTAAAATTTTTTGTATTAAGAATTTATATTTATTTTTTATTTTATTTTTTATTTTATTTTTATTTTGCCACTTTTTATCTTTTATATTTGCTCTTTTATTTCCTAAAAATTTTTCATTTTTTGGATTTGAGTTCATTTCACAGCGTTCAGTAGTCAATCGTACAATTCATATCCGATAATACATGTGAATTCCTATATAAAGAAGCGTTAAACGAGTAAATTAAAGGCAGAGGAAGTGTAAACAGTTCGAAACTCAAATTTTTATTTGCTAATCAAATCGATGATTATTTGTGGTTGCGTTACTGACCATTACAATCTTAAGAATTGGTTGTTATTAGTATAATTCTTTATTTATTTGCACAATTTTTAATACTATCATAAATTTTAATATTTCAGTCATAATATTAATATAAATTTTAATATTTCCGTATTTTGTATGAGATTATATCATTCGTTGGTTGCATTGGATCACTATAAAACACCTATTATTCCCATATTTTTATTTTCCTCTAAAATTTATGCAAAAAAAAAATTTTCAAAAATAATTTCATCACGAAAATGTCACAAATCTTTTGCGATAAATGCCAACTTTTCTTTCATTAATGATTTGCGATTGTATTCTTTTCGAGTTTTCTTTCTTTTTTTTATTGTTTTGCAACAAATTATTGCAGATTTTTCAGATGTATTGGTTGTCAACTGAAGAAGAGGATTGTGGATTTTTAAATACACGAAATACGCGATATATTTATTCTTCTTTATCTTTATTATTAATTGATTAATTTATTAATTAATCAAGCAGTTACTATACTACTAATTATCACTAATTGCATTTATATTAGAATCTATTTAATCAGAATATTCCGAAATGGATACTATAAATCCTTCAGTTGTCGACAACGAAAGTACGTTGGGTATTTACCGTTGGTCGTCCATTAATCCTACGCTTCTTTCAACCGATAGCGATAATAGTGTGAATTTTTGTCGCCCTATTAAAATTGAGCATCCATTCGAAATGGACGCGGAGCAATCTTATCGAATTTCATCACCGTCACAACTAACATCGAAAAATACAACAACATCATCCGCAACGACTATTCCACTTGCTTCTTGCGCAACTGCCGCAGCGTCAATTTCTTCCGCATTTTGCAGGAGGAGCAGTGGCTTTATCAAATCCGTGAGTACCTATGAAAATTCTTTTTTAAACCTTATCTGTTGTGTTTTAAGCCAACTTAAAAACCAACAAGTGGTTTTGCTCTTTCTAATTTGTATTTGTATTCTTTGTTGTATAGCTATTTTTAATTATTATTATTAATTATTAATCTATTTTTAATTATAAAATGATTTATTGAGCTTAATTAAAATATCGACAATTTCAATAAAATTCCAATAACTCATGCACAATTTTCAAATATAACAATTTCTTTTAGATTAATTTGCTTTTCGAAAAAAAATACAGTCAGCAGTTACAAGAATTTCTTCATAAATTAGATTAGATTATTTTTGAATAGCAACTAATTCTTCTAGAGCACTTGCATTTTGTAGTTTTGATTGGCAACTGGTATAATCCCTACTCTGGTAAATGGCAATAGAAGAGACCCATAATTACATTTGGATTTCATTTTTAATGATAGGTTTATTCGCGTCAAGAAGCAGGAATCGCATCCTTCATGGTTTGATCATAACTGAAGCAATACGCCACTAAACTAAAGCTTTTTTCCTTGCGAATTATTTGAGAACTAATTTTATTTTGCACAAATTTCATAATTCTAACTTGCAGAATCGCAGAATCAGAAGATAAAGAATATTAATAACTTAAATCATTCTAAACATCATTCGAATAAAAGAAATTTTTTGACGGCGTTTTTGTTAAATTTTGAATTTTTATGACTAAGTTCCGTTTTATATAAAATAAATTCCTAAATTAATCTTAATACTGATCGTTAATTTGGAGGAAAAAATCGCTAAAACTTCAGGTTTTCGCCTAATATTTAATTAATTACACTGGTATATCTCTTAAAAATTCGGATATTACTGGCGATTCTCCTGTATTTGCCTCGCTAGGCGACTTCGTGGCAACAGTTGTCTGGTGAAACGGGCCAGCAGAGTCGTTGTAATCTGACATGATGAGAGCCTTAAGAAAAGAACCCAGGCCATAATATTTGTGATAACACGCTTGCACTTAAATAATGTACTTGCGGTCCGGCTTAATCTTACTAGTGCATTAATTATTTTTTCCTAAATTATTTTTCATCTCTATATCTTACGCGATTATTATACTATTTTCTTCACCGAGCTTCGCATCTGCATTCTCTTATAATCTAATGGTCTCATGACCGCTATAAGAACAATAAAACAATTAAAATGAATTAAGTAGTATGGTATTCTCAAGTAGCATGATGACGTTTGGATCATATCAACATTTCTTATTGTCAATCTCGCCAACAGTGATAATGATAAAGCATGAAAAATAGTTATGAACCATTTTCCATGAAAGTATAGACAACAGAGTAAGCTATAAATATTAGTGATATATTACAATAGTCAATAATGAGAGGTAAGACAACGATGGTACGATAGCTTTGTTCAAAATCACTGAACACAGGTTCGGTCGAATTCGTTCGATTATGCTTGTAAACCTGTCACGAAAAGTCAAATAGGGGTCGTTGGGAATCCATCTGTACTCCTCTGTACTCTTCTAAATGAATTTTTGGCGAAACGGCCACCTAAATGCACACTTATGATGAACGGAGCCAATGTCGTTGGTCGAAGAAAAAATTCTATGATGAATCATTTTTATTATCTATTAATATATTAAATTATCTATTATCTTTGTATTTTCTTTAATATTTCAAGAAAATTATGGGGAAAAATATGAAAAATTATGAAAAATATGAAAAATCTGATAGGAAATTTTTTATAAAATTATTTTTATCAAAACCCTTTTAGTCTTTTTTTTTCAAAAATTGCTATTGTTGTTTTGATTCACTAATAAACAAAATAAATGCTTAAAATTTGTTTCAGCGCTGTTACTAATAGAATAAAAATTTAAACCGAAAATTGAAAAGATTTTCCAGTTCCATTTTTTTTTAATTTTCATAGATTTTCTCAATTATTAACCATAAATTTCAGCGTGGAAGAATTCCCACTTTTTTTTCTTTAATAATAAAACTTTTAATTTTCGTAGTCTTTAAATTTTCAAATAATAAAACTTTTTCGTAAATGTTCAAATGTATTAGCTATGCATCGTTCCTAAATTATTCTTGAAAAAAAATATGATTTTCAGCAACAAAATGGTGGAACTTTGGTAAATGATGGTTCCGGAGGATCAGTTGAGAGCAGCGCGATGAAGAATAATGAGGTAAACTGCAATAAAATTCCAGAAATTTTTTTCACAACAATATTAGTAGCGATAAAGTAATAAATAGTCAAATAATAAGAAAACTTTTGATTTTCATAGTCTTTAAATTTTCAAATAATTTTTACACTTTGCATTTACAAGAAAAAAAAATTTTACTAAATGGCTAACTTGAGAAAAATATTGGTGAAGCTAGCGTTTTTTGAAATTTATTTATTATTTTAGGCCTTTTTTTAAATTTCCGTTTCATTTATATCATTGTTTCATTTCATTATTTGAAATTTGCATGTGGCTTTCAGTCATCAGTTGAAATTTATTAATTCTGTGAGAAATAGATTTACTTTAATCTTTTCTAGTCAATGTTGATAGGCGAACAAGAATATCATGGAGAAGCTCGAATTCCTAGAACATCTATGACGATAAAAGCAGAATTATCACCGAGACACAGTATTATTACCATATCATTTATTATATCATTTATTAGTTATGCGTCTTTTTTAATTAAAAAAAATAAAGCAAAGAACGATGAAAATTGAATTTATGAGGATTTTGTTTATTAGCAGTAAGCCATAGATGTAGTATTTATAGCGAATTACAGGAAATCAGGATGGATTTACCAATGAGCAATCGCATTTTATAGCCGCAGATATGTCATGTTCGGAAAGAGAAGATCCTGTTGAAGACAACAGTTTCAGTCCGAATTCTTGCAATGATGCTGCTCAAATAGATATCTACCGCGATTTGATTTTACGGCACCTTATCCAAGATATAAATAGTACTTGCATCAAGCTAGCTGTTCCCACAAGTTCGTAATATTTCGATTATAATTCAACGGATTTCAGAAAATCTTGTCCCGTTTCGAGGCGAAATTTTGAAAAAAATGGCGGCATTTTTATTTCAGTTTTTTAATTTAATCTCGAAATAATAACTAAAAATAGAGAGCAAAGTCATTGCAGAATAGTTAAGAGAATAAAAAACAGTTTTAGTGAATGCAAAGAAAGGAGTTTTAATTATTCAATTATACCCAGTGAAAATTAAAAGAGCTAAGATGGCGAAGGTAATGTGCAGCTTTGACTGAAGTCAGATATCATCATAGATTCCTGAACTTTGGCAAGCTGTCATCCAAAGTGGGATTATGGTAGAAATCCATCTGCACCTCTGTCTCCAGTTAAATCTCCGGCAAAAGAGCATCTTTCTAGCAGTCAAACCAAGCCAAAAATGATGAGCGCTATTAGCATAAATCTTAAATTAGCGTCATACAAAATACGATAAGTTCGATTCATAAAGTTACCTTTTTCACAGATGAAATAATTAATAGGATATCCAGAATCATTTCGCAAATATTTCGATATATCACATTTTTCTTGCTTTCTTCTCGTTCTTTTCTCTATCACATTTATCATGTTTGTTATCATACTATGCTGATGAAAAGATTGAAGATCCTTACGTATGGACAGCTGAACAGAGTGCGAGGTGGATATCAGATACTTGCTTACAATTTCAACTTGTTCCACCACGTCAACTTTCATTGCCAGGTCGCATTCTTCTTGCTATGAATCAAGAAGAGTTTATTGCTCGGGCGCCAGGAGGAGCCGGTGACACACTTTATGCACAACTTCAACTATGGAAGACAGGTTTAAGATATTTCTGGATTAAATATTAAATATTAGAAAAATAAATTAGAAAATCATAGAAATATAAGCTTCTGAATAAAGACTGATTTACTCATTCCTTCTTTTTTAAAAAGATTGCGATGTTGCGATGAGAGTTTAACTTCGACGGCCAAGAAATAGCAATATCATCGTATTTCTTCATTAATAATTTGCCATAATTTATTTATTGTAATCTTTTTTCATCCACTCTCCCTTCCCCCTCCTCTGTGGCTGTTCTATTTATTCCTTAATACTTAAGGCCAATGAGTCCAACAATTGACTTGGCCAAATTGTAATAGTAAAATCCATAATTTTTCCATAGCTATAAACTTTCATTCATGAATATATTTCACGATTTCTTGCTGTCGATAACTCCGGTAGCGGATTTATGGGAAAACCTAAAATAATTGGCAATTCCAAAATTATTACTTTATTGAAGCTTTCGACTCGTATAATTCACAAAACTCCGCAAATCTCAGTAATAACAATAATATTAATTCTCAAATTCTTCAAAAGTCGAGTAACAGTTGGGTAAGAAAATTCTTTTATTTATTATTTTTATATTCTTTTTATAATATTTATAGCAAAATTGATAATTCTGTAATTATTTTTATTTTGATGATTAAAAAAAGGTGCAATAAGTTCGATTTAGTTCAAATTTTATTTTGTTAAACATTTGACCTCCATTAGTTAAATATTTAAAAAAAAGGGTTTTTTAAGCAAACCAATTATAAATTCTTAAACCAGTTCTGAAGAGAAAATTACGTCGAAAAATTTTTATGTTCGTATGGAGGATGAAAATTGTTGAGGTGGTAATTTCGTATAGTGAAAACGCAGTGAAACTTTAGTGAATCGAACAATTATTTAACCATAATAAGATTTAAATCTCTTTTAAAATCCAATTTTTTCTTTTCATTTTTATCGTAAATATTTCAATTATTCGAGTTGAATTTATTTAAGAAATCATTAAATATTATTTATTGAAATTTTAAAGTTTTCCTTACTGAATTTGTTCTCTGAAAGAATTTAACTTTCAGACGTCTTCAAATAATTCATCGTGTGCCAACGCAATTGTGACCAATGAGCGAATGGTATCAGCGCAGGATTACTTAACGAGCTTCAGCACAAACGTTGTGGATGTCGTCCCTACCATGAACTGTTATCCTTCTAGTAACAAAAATCATTTAGCTAAAATCTCATTACTAAATGTTATTGCATATTGCAGTACTAAATTGCCTATGTCATAGTATGTCATATAATATGTGCACCTTTGAAGTATTGCAATATGGCAAGCACAAGCCACCAAAATGAAAATTTATTAAGCGGTCATTTACCTGTTTATAAGGCTTATAAATGTTCTTAATCCAGAAGAGCTAAATATTCTTAAAATTACGCCTATACGCGCATACTTGAACTAAATAAATTAGCTACAAGTTGGAGTATTCGGGAATATCGTGACGCCATTAATTTAGCAGTATATGAAAATTCGTTTTCTGAAGCATCCAGGGATCTATAAGATCGAAGAAAAGCGAAGGGCAAAATGCGAGTTCGATGGGATAGCTGTGGTGTTTAGTAATATTAATAGCGATTTAACTCTTGAAAAGTGCATGTCTTCTTCTGGAATAACAGCATATAGAACTAATTTTTTGTGCATAAAAGAAAAAGTTGGAATAAAATAGCTTCGAGACCGTTCGCAAATCATGCGCCATGCGTCACTCTCAATGTTGATCTCGCTGAGGCTCAATTCTTCACTCGGTTTCTCTGCTATTGTAAAAAAATGAAGTGTCCAAGGGGTGGAATAAATGCCGATTGTACGATGAATGATACTCACACCAAACGACTTCGCAAAACTTCCGGAGCCATCAACGAATGTTAATGTTAATGAACATCAGAAGTAACGAAGTTCCAGAAGATGAGAAAAAGATACCAGAATTTAAAAAATCATAGCTGATGATTGTTGATAATCGTAGATTGATAGAGGTATTACACTCTCTTGAAATATAACGCTAAGTTTGAGTAAGTGCGTTAAAAATGGAGCTTGCACCACTGTAAATGTATCAGTGCATTCGCTGTTGGTTGGAGAGCGGAACGAGTTTCCTTACCTGCGGTTGAAATTCATGTGCACTAAGATGCGCAATATTTTGCAGCTATACATGCTGCAACAGAAAAATATGTGCCGACGTGCTGAAGGGAAAGTCCCTTTCTTTGCTCCGCGTTCTGTAAATGCAAAATTCCTTTTCGACCACATGTACTGTAGGTTAAACTGGAACTAAACTTTTTTTGTGGTCAAATTTTTTAAGCAAAATTTTTTGCAACTTTATAGCTTACACTTAATTTAGACGAAAGTCTTAACGACGGTGATTTATTGAATAATCACTCACAGCAAACTTTTTACGTTTCAAATCAGGATTCAGAGGGATTGCTATTAACCAGCCCTTCTAGCTCTGACACTCAGCTATCTCCTGTTGATGAATCAGGTAAAAGTATAAAAACTGTCAATTTTTTATTATTTTATTATTAATTTTTATTTTTTATTATTTCATTAGCTAAGTTTTCCGACAAATATTTTAATATTTATATTATTATTAATATTTATAAGATTAACAATAATATTTTCAATTGTTTTTGGATTTTTCAAATTTTTGATAACTTATTTTCAATAAAAAATTATAAAAAAATTAGAAAAAATAAAAAAATAAAAAATTAAAGAATAAAAAATCAAAAAATAGAAAGATATAAAAAATAAAAAATTATAAAAATAAAAAATTGGTTGTAATGCTCTCCTAAAGAATCTTTATTCAAATTATTTAAATAATGCTTTCTTCTAATAGCCATTACTGGCTGGCAGCACTGGGTACTGGGCAAAAATGTTTTAAAGATTTCAAATCTACAATCCAATCGTATGACTGTTATCTAAACCTGCAAATAGCTGAGTTTCCTGTGCGTTGAAAATTTGCAATTTTTCGCCCATATCGATCCAGGTCTTGAGTCTTAAGCGTCTTCAGGCCTAATGCCAATACATAGAGTTTATCATGAGAAATATGAAATAGATGACGAAGACCACAATCTAATCAGAACAGTTGGCGCTCTTTAACTAGCATTTTATGCATATATTATTTGAATATTATTTGAATGATGGAATTCTCGAAAAAGTAAATAACTACTTATAATAACTAAAGTAAATACTTTTTTCTTCCTAGGTAAAAATAAGCGAAATATCATCGAAGGGACATCACCGAGCGTTGTCCATTTCCATCGGCCATCTGGATCAGTGCATCTATGGCATTTTATAAGAGAACTGCTCGATCACCCGAAGCAATATGCATCTTGCGTTCGATGGGTTGATAGAGCAGAAGGTTTTTTCATCAATGCGGGATATTTTATTGTTAACAAAGATTCTATAAATTTTGAGTCTAAAAAATTTTTGCGTTACAAGCAATAAATGAATAATTCAAAAGCAAAAAATGCAATTTAGTGGATTTATTTCTCAAAAATTGCGCTATTTCGTTAGCATCCTTAAAAACTGATACGAATTTATTTTTATAAATTTTTTCTATTTTTAAGGAACCTTTAAAATTGAATCGTCGCATCATTTGGCACGATTTTGGGGGCAACGTAAAAATCGCGCGCAAATGAACTACGACAAATTATCACGATCACTACGGCAATACTATAGAAAAGGAATTATCCAAAAGCCTGAAAAAAAACAACGCCTTGTATACAAATTTTTACCGCCATACAATCTATAATAATTTTATGCATAATAATTTTACTTATATATTTTAATAATCTTAAATCTTTCAATACTTTTTCCTCTTAAAAGAGTTTATGCGCGAAATTTCTAAATTCCTCATTCATGGGCTATTTCGGTAATTTATAATGTAGTTTTATTCGTTTTCTCCAATAGAGTATTTGAAAAATTTTTAAATGTTTGATAAGAAAATTATTTGAAAAGAAAAATTTTTTTGAAAAAAACTATAGAAAATGAATGTCGCGTATCCTATAACCTCTAAAATTGTTAATATTTTATTCTTAAATTAGAATTATAATCTAATTTGTTTTTTTTGGTATTTCTTATCATTTCTTATCAATGTCAATTTGCATATTGAATTCATCGTTGCAATTCCTAGTTAATTTTTATTTCTAAACCCGACAATTTGTAAACAATTCTCTTAAATATTTTTTTGCTCGTTTAAGAAAATTTCTAATTATTATTTGCTGTTATTATTACTGCATTACTGTTTCAGTACAAATTTGTAGAGTAATTACAACGAATAGAAAAAAAAAAAACATTCTCGTGGAAAAATTTTTCGTTTAATTCGCAGAGACTAATAGTTTTTGTTGAAATTTTGCGAGTTGCAAGAAAAATATTTTCTTTTATTAGTTAAATTTTTAGATCAATCCACATCGTTCTTTCATACGATTTTCGTTATATTCTCGCTGTTACAAGTCTTTCAACATTTTCTGCCTTTTGCTTATTTATGCAATCACTTTGTTTTTTTTAAATGGGTTAAGTGCAATACTTTTAATTTTTTATCAGCGATTTCCTTGTTTCACCGAAGTTTATTGAATATATTTAAATGAATATTTACGATCAAAACAAGCTAAAATATTGTCTAAATATTCGTTTTGGTTTGACTATTTAGAATACTTTGAATGTAAAACGGATATGTATATGTACACATTTCCTGTAACATACAAATATCGAACAGTGCGTTCATATTATTTTTTATTGCTCAAAGTTTAGGAATTTCCAAATCATTCAATAAAAATTCAATTCATCTTCAAAAATTCCATAAAAGCTTTTGAGATAGGCTAAAATTTCTTATAGAATTGGTTCATTCGCAATATTATTCCAATCGTTCGAAAATTCCCTTTGGTGCCTTTAATTGCAATTAATATTATATAAGTAATCATTCCAAATGGCAAAATAATTAATCAAATTCTACTGAAAGCGAATCGTTTTATATGACTTTATAAAAGTTTTTATTTCGGTTAAATTACTTCTTTTGTAAAAATTGCACTTTTCTATTTTTCGTTTGACTTTTACAAATACAATACAATACTTTGTGATACGAACAATGTGCATTCTCATCTGTTATTATTGTTTTTTCTTCTATTTTTATAAATGATTTTGTAATTTGTACTATTTATTAATTGAAAAATTAGCAATACAAAAGTATTGCTTTGCAATATTCTGGATGAAATTTAAAAATTGTATTGCTGTGATAAATGTTGGCAATCATCTAATTTCTCATCTCATTTTATTTCTCTATTCAATTTTCATTAACATGGAATCGTCGAACTCATTGCAGCTATTTTCATGCATACAATAGCTTCGTTAGTGGATTAAGGTTGCATTTGATCGCAGTTTTGTCATACGACATTAGTTTTCGCAGATATTCACATATATATATAAATTTATATATATATATATATATATAAATTTTGAACGGCAATGAAAAATTTTTGATTAAGAAAAAAGTGTGAATTGATAGATAAAAAAACGTTAAAGCATACCATATGTAAAATTGAGGAAAAGCATTAATTTCCATTTTGAATCGCATTAATCGTTCGGTGCTGAGAAGTTTAAATTATACATATAGCGGATCAGATCGAATGTGGATATAATATGAATGGAGTTTTTTTATATAAATGGTTCGCTTAGTTATTCCTGTTAAAAATAAATGCTGGAATTTTGGAATGAATATAAATATTCCGGATAAAAATTCATATTTTTTGCTGACGAAATTAGAAACATAAAAATTGAGTTGAGCTTTTTGATATCTCAAATTTGTAATTCTTTTATAGGTTTTCATATGTAATAGATTTTTTACAAGGCATTGTAATATGAAAAAAGTTATCAATAATAGAAAAACTGGAAAAATTTTAGTATTACAGCGTTTGCTTGAATGACGAATAACTATGAAATTAAACATTTAAATTCATTCTCTTCATTTTATCACTACCTGTAATTCAGCCATGTTTGGCCTTTCGATTTAGAAATTTGTTTCAATCGTTTTATGCTAAAAAAAAATGAAAAGAATGGAAGAAAATTAGTTCTTTTCTTATTTTTACATAAATTTCTGCGAAACAAAGAACAGCTCTTTCCATGAATTTTTTGAAAAGAAGAAGCCTTCTTAATGAAGGATACTTGGTGATAGTGAAAGTACAACGTTCAATGTTAACCAACCCATTACTTTCTAGCTGCATATGCAATTCGTCATCGACGATTTTCCCATCGCGTTACTAATGCAAATAAGTCGTTCATCGTGGAAATCTCTTACGAATAAATTACTGTAGATATCGAAGTAAATGGAAACGCTGTGAAGTCTCACATCTGGTGAACTCACATATTTCCGGTTTCTTAATGTATTTAATGTTTATGTCATGTGAGTAGCCAAACCCTTTTATGAATATCCTTCTCATATTCGTATTTGCGTTTTTTTTGCGTTAAGTTTACCCATAAATATTTCTGAGCACCAATTTCGCCTTAAATATCTTTTTGATAGCCAAACGATAATTTCTCCCTTTTTTTTGTAGAAAATATTAATTCATTCAATCGATATTCAATTTTTTTCGAGGAATCTAAAAAATCATAAAAATAACTAGAAAAAATGGCGAAAAATTTGCTCGTTTTTTCTAAAGTTCCATTATTATTTTTTAATTTTTTTAAATGATCAATGATCAATATGCTTGTAGCAATTAAGAAATCATTAACTTCTAAATTTTTATTCTCATAGCTTATCTCACTTATCGAGTTTTATTTATGAATTCTATTCATTCTATGCTTTTATCAAAAATATATTTTATCGATTCAACTATTTTTAAAAATTCAAATTTTTTTTTAATCGTTATTTTTGTAAAAATATTTAAAATATCTTTAGAATTCAATTATTTATTTAAAAAAGTATATCACTTTTTAAATTTGAAAATCGAATTTTTTCAATATAAAAGAATTTTATAAAAGAAAATTTTTTTCAAAATTCTTTATTTTTGATTGAATTATTTAATTCAACACTGAATTGTAATCTCCAATTGCCATAATTAAACCAAAATCGCAATATGCTAGCTTAGCATTTCAAATCTTTTAATCTATAGATAAACTGCTTTATAAACGGATTTGTAATTTATACATAATCGACCCTATCCATAATAAAAGAATTTCGCTTTTTTTTGTAAACTTCTTCAGCTTGTTCAACGAGCAAAGCCAGTTTTTGGCTATAATTTGTAAGCGAAAGATTTCTGGCTAGACTCACTACATAGGTTAGAATGAGATTCTTTCGGCAGAGAGCCACTTGAGGATGGAAGTACCGTCGGACTTTTCGCAATATTCGTCACTGATTCGTCACGATGAGATCCCTTTCGTGCAAGGGCAAAGCAGCATATTTGAAAGCAATGAACTACACGGATATATTACAACCAAGAAGAACGATTATCATAAAAATTTGAAGCTATTCGTCAATATTTTTTTGCTTGCAAATAGTCGAATCGAATTTTTTAATTTTGTATTTTCTTTCTAATAATTGGTAAAGCATTTAAAAAAGAGAAAGGAATAAAAGGAATCAAAGATGGCTGAAAATTGCTTCATAAAATTCATTACAATATGCCAAATGCCTTCAAAAGCGCTGCTATCATATTTCATTACTTCATTTTATATACTTTATTTAAAGCGGTATACATCGCTTAGAAGTTTCGACATATATTTTCTTCGATATATATTTTTGTATATATGCATATAAAGCTAATCAATTTAGCACAAAGGCTCATAAAACCGTTTTCTTTCTTCAATTTTCTCAAATTTTCACTCATTTTCATCTAATCCATCTTGAAATAAGTTTAAGTTTTTTAAAAAAATTTTTTCATTTTCTATTTTCATCAGTTTTTTGAATTTGAAACTAATTTTTTTTTTCGAAATTTCACTGAATAAATCGCCTTATATTCTACAGCCTTGAATTAATTCACATCTTCAAATTCCTCGAAAAAACTCGTTAAACCTCTTTAAATAATTAAATTAAGTGAAATCTTCGATCATTTTAGATGATTCAATTTTTTTCCACAGGAAAAGTGTCACAATTCATTAATAAATACGGTATAATGTCGTATAAAAATTTAATAGGATTATATCATTTTTAGTTTTATCAATCAAAATGATAAGTATGCAAAGCCGAAAGAAGTTAATATGATTTAATATCGCTCACACTTTTTTTTTGGTTACCGCTCTGCTAAATTTCTTCTACCATATTTATTTAGGAAAGCACTTTTCATTCCCACCATTCATATATTGACAGAAGAACTAAACTAACTGACTTTTTTTTCTTCACACGATGAGTTATTTATGTATATAAATATATGTGTATATATATATATATATATAATTTTTGAAGAGACTATCACCAATCGTTCCATCATTCATCATCGTCGTTTACTTTTAAATTTGTTATGAAAAAAGTATTATTTGTGATAGAATCGATTATATTCAACTTTTATTTTAAGATTAAACAACTACGAAAACTTCGAAAATGTCACTGTTTTACTGTAGAATTGGTAGATAATCAAATACTTTAAAAGTTCTATAATTTCGTAAATCTCCAGCAATTTCATTTCCACTTTCATTGATTCGAATTGCAGCAATTTCCAAATAGTTATTTTATTTTATCATAAACCATGAAGTGATCGCTGGCTGAATTTATGAGAATATTCGCAAGTGCAAGTCATATTTCTCGTTTAGTTTCTACTACATAGGATG